AGGGTCTTGCAAGTGAGAACCCCTGGTTCGAGGCCTAAGTACGTCTTATCCGGCCTAGCCTGTGTTGACTCATCTGGTGCAACAGGGATCTGCAAGGGAAGGTCAAACTCATAGGTTAACCCGACACTCCGAAAGAAGTCCACGGCACAGGTCTGGATAATGCTTGTCGTCAAATCGAGGGAGGGGAAGCCCTTGAGGGGTCTACCAAGGGCAAGGCGTGGGAGTTTGCAAGGGGCAATCGTGGGCCGAAACGGCTCGAGTGCTGAGTGGAAGGGAGCAAGGACGAAAGAACTTTCCCTTCCATGAGACCTTGACCTGGACCTGGACCTGGCTGAACGGCGACCTGGAGCGACCTGCTGGTTACCTTGCGTTGCCTGGGATGAATCACGACCTGTGGCAGCCTCGGCATGTTCCTCATCAGAGTCATCACGGTCCGCAGGGTCTGATCCAGTCTCTGACTCAGAGTCTTCTTGCTCCTCCGCAGCATCATCGTCTAGCCAGGGCAAATCCTGGACGAATCCTATCGTCACCGTATCACCTTCGCTGAGGTGTATGAGGCCGCGTGGTCCTGGGCGAGGCCGAATTGCAAGCCTGTATGCTGGAGGTGGGCGAAGATGTAGAAAGTCGAGCAGATGCTGGGGGTCAACCCTCTGGTCAGGCAGGTATATGTGCTGAGGAGTGCAATTGGCAGGGCGAGGATCCAGGAAAACCAGGATACCTTGGCGGTCCGGGCTAGGGCAAAGGGGGAAGGTGGCCAAAACACCTCGGCAAACGACCCCGTGGACTGCCAAATCCTCAAACTGAGGTCCGGTTGGGACACTGCAAATCGATGTCTCAGGCGTCCGCTCGATCAGGTCGGCAATAAATTCCCGGGCTTGAACCCCTGGATATCTGCGACCCGAGAAAAACAAATGGCGGTCATGGTACAGCACCAGAACCGGTTTGTCCTCAGGTGCAGGGGGCAACTGCGGGTTGGCAACCCACATATTAGGTCGGTCAAGCCTAATAGTGATGGGACTAAACCAAATGGGAGGGGTCTCGGGTGCGCGGAATTGCACTACACCTCCCATAACTGACAGAACACTGTCCGTTGGCATAAGTGCCGCAGTGTGGCCAAAAGGGAACGCATGCCACGGCGCCCCGATGTGTCGATTGGCCTCCCGCTGGCAATCGCCATGTGTCAGCCTCTCATAGGCATAACCTGCATAAGTGGGGCCGCCTAAACTGGAGAAGTCAAAAATGACTACCACTAGCCCGGAAGTCGGGACCCACGATGGGAACAGGATAAAAGACCCATGGTCTGGGGCTAGTTGAGGGAAGGCTGGGACTACGAGCTGTCCAAAGTCACTACCAAATACCCTTACCGACTGTAAGGTCTGAACCGAGTCGTGGACCGCAGAGATCAGTGATGAGTAGGGACAGGGAAATCTCATGCTGACCGTAACCGTTTCGGTCTTATAATGCGGCGCCAAGATTTGGAACACTCCTTCAATAGGGGCTGCAACCTGACGTTCTGGCCCCCGGACCTCGGGAGGCGGCACGGGAATATCCTCATTCTCAAGCAGAGGGCATGCAACACAGTGGGCCTGGTAGTGGTCGGCAAGATTAACAACGGTATCCATTGCCCTCGGGTCTGCCGGCACAGGAGTGTGTCGCGTATTCCGTGCTTCTGCCTCGGGAAGGGGCTGGGGATACAAGAGAGAGGCAGCAATGAGAATGTTGACGGCTTCTCCGAAATCCGGAGGGGCAGCCCATATTTGCTGTGGCATGGTGAGAGCCAGCATCATGGGCAGTCGCCAGGGTCGGCTTGGCCGCGGAAGATCGGAGTGATCAGACCTCCAACGGGCCCTTCGACTTGCACAGTAGGCACGGTTATGCAGTGGCCGAGAAAGAGTGCTCTCGACTTGGCATCTTGGGTACAAGGAAGCCCAGGACCAGCCAGAATTGCGGTGGCATGGTACAATCAAGCACCTGAGCATCCGAAGCCACGGGAGCATCCGTCCGAACTGTGAGCCTAAAAGACTGAGAAGGCGAAGAAGAACTATCAGCTGGGCTGTCACAAGCATGCCTGTGGCAGAGGCGGCAGGCTCGGCAAGCAGACTACTGACACAAAGGCAGAGGCTTACTACCCCGGGTGTTGCAAAAAGCCAAGGATATACCCAATGGCACGGGGCGAGCACAGGGCTTGGCAGCCCGTATGGATCGGGTGGCAAATATGCTGAAGGGTAACTGCAACCAAAGAGGAGTCTTGCAACATATGGTCGTTGCCACAGCCCGTGCAACAGGCCCAGTAAAAGAATCAGTAGGCAAGCCCAAGCAGCCCGCGTCCCAGAGCCACCGATACGCGTGTTTGGCGCTGGTTGGGAACTTGCCATGATACTAACATTAGGGACCCAATTGAAACCGGGAGGCCCTAAACCGCTTAGGGTTGGTACACAAAGGAACTGGGGAAGCTCACAAAAGAGCACATCCAGTGTGCATGTGCAAAGGGGTGTGCTGTGCTGCGCCGCGGCCTGTGTGGTACACTGGCCCGGAACTAGGCAGGGGTACTGCACCAACCTCTCCAAAGCCCAAGGAGAGGTCAGGCAGACCGAGGAAGAAGGGACAGGCGAAGGATGTAGCGTCGAGCATATACGGCAGAAAGTCCACAGGGAAGACTCAAAAACCTGTACAGGAAATCCTACCACGTCACTACTCGCTAACTGTGGGCATTTGGAAAGAGGCAGCAGGCCGCTCGCACCCGCGTCTCGTACAGTCAAGGACCCGAGGGTATCAGACACTGCCTGACCTGTCAGCACACGGCAAGACAGATCCAAGGGGTCCTTCGCCCGCGGGAACCACGACTGTACCGACGTGACATGGAGCAGTCGCTGCCTCAGCGTCACTCCATACGGCCCAGTCCGGGACTGGTGGAAGTTGCATCGAAGGCCGCATTGTGTAGCTCGTCGGGATCGTCCTCCACAAATCGTGGCTCTTCCGTAGCATGGCGCCGGCCGGCTCCACCAAAGGGCTGCAAGGCCTTGCGCTTGGCTTCCGTGAGCCGCTCTGCAAGGTGTGTATCGCCAGGGTTCCCACCATCGGATCCAAGATGGCCCTCGACATATGGCCCAACACGTGGTGTGCGGGGCCGATCCCTTCTCACAGGCTCGGTCGGGGATTTCCCTTCGCCAGCGGCGGCCGAAACTGGTGCACCAGTTGGCGCTGGGCTGGCAACCGGCATAGTCGGGGCTGCATTGATGTATGCATCCGTGGTGGCAGGAGGTGGCGAAACATCGTGGGGCCCAGGTGTTCTGGGCAGAGCATGCGTAGGCCTCACCGGAGTGATTACCGGCTCCGCTGGCTCTCTCAGAGCTCTCTGCAGGACGCCGCCAAGCTCTTTGGACTGTTCTGCATCCCATGCAGCCTTCATGCGATCCCATTCGTTGTCTTCTTCTTCCATGGGTTCCGGTACTGCAGTCGATGGACAGTGAGCTTGGCGGATGCGGCTCCTGGCCTCTGCCTGGGCCTCCATAGCACTGGCCACCTCCTTCTCGTGTCGCGTCATGGCGGCATTGAACCGCTTTTTCTCTCTCTGCCACGTGGCCTTCAGCTTTTGGTCGAAGGCTTCCCACTGAGCTTTGGTAACTTCTCGCGCTTTGCATGCGCGTCCCATCCTCATCTCGGCCTTCCTTGCGTGGTTCAAGAGGGCTTGCAAGTCCTGGAAGAGATCTGCAACTTCGTCGTTCTGGCCTTTGTTCTGCAGCTCCTTGCGGGCAATCTCCCTGCCATTCTCCTTCAAGGTCACTGCTTCTGCATCGTAAGCAGGGAATGCTACATCCTGCGACGAACGCCACGGCCGTGAGGATGGCGACTGTGCACCTCGCCAGAGGCCCCATTTGGCATGCGGTTCCGGTTTCCAGTCTGGCTTTCTCTCGGATGGCCATCCGTTCCGTCTGCCCATGCTATAGTGAGGCCGCGAGTGATGGGCTTCAAGTACTGCCACGTGGCGGGCCAAGGGACGCAATCCTTGACTCCGCCGCTTGTGTATGGCCGCTCGACAAAGAGAACGGCGGGCCCTCTGCCTTCGGTGCCAGTTTGGCGAAGGAGCCGTGGCAAGCGAAGGGGGGAAGCAATCGTGCGGCTTTCCGCACTGGGGCTTTCAGCTATTCCCGCTCGGGATGTTCTGAGCCCTTAACCCATATTAAGGGACATATCACCCTACTGAAAACTACCCACGAACCTCCAAATAGACCTGAAGCCTACAGCCTAAACCCTGAACCCTAAACCCCTAAGCCCAAATCCCTAAACCCCTAAAACCCCTAAACCCCTAATCCCCTAAACCCCTAAACCCCTAAACCCCTAAACCCCTAAACCCTAACACCTCCCCCCCAAAACCCTGACACATCCGCCCTAAACCAGCCTTGTCCTTTTTCATGGTTCCCCCAAAAGAATAAACAGACCGGCTAGTAGACCTTCTACAATAATTCCTACTAAGGGATATAGGTATAGGGCTCTGTCTCTTATTTCTAAAAGGACAAGGGTGCCCTAAACCCTAAACCCTAAACCCCAAACCCCTAAACCCCAGACCCTAAACCCCTCCGCCCTAAACTGCTGCTTCCGGGTACAATTATAACTACTATTACTACCATTCTTCCATTCCCTACTAACCAAAGGTAAGCTATAACTACCTCAAGCCCTAAACTATATAGAATCCTGAAAGGAACCCTACTTATAACCACCCATGAAGCTACAAGCAAGGAGACCTGTGAACCCTAAACCCCTAAACCCTAAACTCTAAACAGGGGACTTATAACCCCACTTATAACTACCCATGATCCTTTAAGAAGGAGACCTGTGAACCCTAAACCCCTAAACCCTAAACTTCCATTCCCTACTAACCAAAGGTAACCCTTATGGTAGGTAGCTACAGTAGCCCTTATAGAGCCTTTAAAGGAACCCTATGCTAATTCCCTACTAACCAAAGGTAGCTATTGTAGCCCTTATAGACCCGAAAAGGGCGCCTTCCGGGCACCGCAGTGACAAACGCCCAAGATCTCCCCGGTAGTCGCCAGGAGACCTCATCGCTCGGAGTTTCCGAAAAAAAAAAGTTCCTTTAAAGGGTACAGAAGAAAGGGTTTAGGGTTTAGGGTTTAGGGTTTCGGGTTTAGGGTTTAGGGTCTAAGGTTCCTTTAAAGGGTACTATAAAGGTACTATAAGGGTGACTTTATAAAGGGCTACTAGAAGGAGCTTCCGAAAATTAGGGTTCCTTTCAGGGGGTACCAAAAGAAAGGGTTTAGGGTTTAGGGGTTTAGGGTTTAGGGTTGAGGGTTTAAGGTTTGAGGTTTAGGGTTTAGGTTAAGGGTTTGAGGTTTAGTGTTTTTTTTTGAGGGCTCTTTTCCACCTGCAGGTACAGCCAGAATCCCTATACTAGGAGGAGCCTGTTGGTTGGGACCCTCGTATCTGGAGGACAAGGACAATGCAAAGTTACACTTTCCACTTCGACATATGCTGGAGGCCCCAACCACAATACACAAATAGCTCAGCAATAGTGCTTTGTGTTGAAAGAGAAAACCGCAACCCTCGGGCAGCCACAGAAGTTCTGGCATCTCTGTCAGCAGCACAGACATAAAAAGGTTCCGTACTAATGCCATGTGGCCTTGGTTCCTCAGTCAGACTGTGGGGTCAGGCTATCTCGGGCACCGAGATTAACAAGTTCTCTGGCCTTTTCACGTTATCTTCCATGAACTCGACCTCGCTATCGGACAGGTCCAAGTCATTTATGTCCACCTCCATGCCCAAATCGGACACGGCGATTTTGCCCATGTTCCCGATGACCGCGGACGTGCTCCTGGTGGTAAACTCCTCCAAGTACCTCATCTTCATCTCGAAGGAGGACTTGTCGAATACCAGTGGGAAGAGCTCTTTGACGGTCTTTATCAGCTCCTCCATGCTTCTGGCTTTGGAGAGGAGCTCGAACCCAGTCCTCTCGATAGGGTTCCTTTAAAGGGTACCAAAAGAAAGGCCCATAGAGCCCAATACCCCTTAATTAAGGAATACACCTTAAATCATAATATGAAGCCCTATATAACTTAAGCCATATTCCGGAAATTACTTGGAGGGTCGGGGGACTTACTAAGTAGTTATTTTAAAGAGTTATAAGTACCATAACCCCAATTAGGGTCCCGTTTAGGGTACTCATAACTCTGCTTATTACCTACTTACTAAGTCCCCCGACCCTCCAAGTAGGGTTTCTTTAATGGGTACCAAAAGAAAGGGTTACTTTAAAGGGCTACTAGAAGGGTTTAGGGTTTCCGAAAATTCGGGGTACCTCATTTTGGGCGTCCTTATAAGAAGGATCGTCCTACTATTTAGGGTATTGTGTTAGGGTCCCCTATTTTCGGTAACTCCCATCTGGACCCCTCTTTCGAACTTTGGGCTTAAGGCTTAGGGTTTGGGGTTTGAGGGCGTAGGGTTTTGGGGTTTACTGCTTACGGTTCAGGGTTCAGGGCTTAGGGGTTTAGGGGTTCAGGGTTTAGGCTTTAGGTTTGTAAGGGCTTTGGGCTTTGGGTTGTTTGGTGCAAAACAAAGCCGTAGTAATGGACTTATAGGGTTTCAGGTTTAGGGGAGGGGCTTAGGATTGAGGTGCTTGGGGATATAGTCTTCTAATTGTTGTACCCCAAGCTAAGGAACCGTATTTCTATCATCGAGGCTCCGCCTACAGCAAACAAGGGAGGCCTAATAAACGGTGTTAGACACAGAAATCAATGGTAGAGGTGGCAAGAAAAACGAGAAAGACAAACTGCTGAAACACTAGCAGTAACCAGACCATTAAACGAACAACAAAATCAAAACACTAAGAAGTCATACGAACACTGAACAACAAATTTCAAAATTCTGCGAATCGCACCAGTGATAATGATAGGGAAGGAGAAGAAGTTCAAGAGTAAAAATAGGAGCAACCAATAACTCTGATGCTGATAATTACGGTACATAAAGCTGATCCTAAACCCTACCTGGACCCTAAAGAACCTACCTTTCTTGGGTTCCCGATTACGATTTCCGTATATAAGTCCTTCAAAAGCGTAGGTTATTTGGGGTCAAGGTAACCCCTAGGATGGTAGCCTCTTCCTCAAACTTTCAGCTGGCAGAAATCCTGATGGCTCTCACTCACTGACGAATGCCCGACCGGAACCCTAACCCCTAGACCCCAAACCCTCAACCCTAAACCCCAAACCCGAAAGCTTCAACCCTGAAACCCAAACCCTAAACCCTTTTTTAAACCCTAAACCCTTAACCCCAAACCCCAAGCCCTACACCCGAAACCCTTGAACCCTAAACCCCAAACCCGACACCCTTAACCCTACACCCGAAGCCCGAGGAAGGCTTCGACATGACCTGCAAGACCCAGGGGCGAGCAGGGCGCCGAGGATGGGCACCAGCACAAGGCGAGCTCCTCCGAAGAGGGTTATCTGGGGGTTTAGGGGTTTAGGTTGGAAGCTGCCCCCACCCTGTAATAGTGACTAGAAGGATTATATAGGATTATATTAGGGCCCTATCATATTCCTACTATACCACGAGTACAGGGTGGGTGCAGCTTCTAAGGTTTAGGGTTTAGGGCTTTAGGGGTTTAGGGTTTCGGGCTTAAGGGTTTAGGGCTTGGGGTCTAGCGTCTAGGGTTTAAGGTTTAAGGCGTTTCTTTCTGCTTATTTCAACAAGCAAAGCTTAGGAGTTTAGGGGTGTAAGGGCATTAACGTTCAGGCGTAGGGTTTAGGAGTTCTGCTCTGTTTGTGTCAGACAAGGCCCTTGTGGTGATTTGACAAGACATTCAGGGCGATTTGCAAGGTCGTACAAGGGCCCCTAAACCCTAAATCCCACGAACCTGAACCCTAAACCCTAAACCCTAAACCCCTAAACCCCTAAACCCCTAAACCCCTAGACCCTAAACCTTAAATCCTCTAAACTCTGAAGCCTAAACCTCAAAAAGCTTCCGAAGATTGGGGAGTTGGACTCCGGGCTCTGAGGCCAAATCCGTTTAGGGTTTAGGGTTTAGGGTTTAGGGTTGAGTATGCTCCACCAGCCCGGGCTTGGGGTCCCAACCCGAAAAACAACCGATAAACCATTGACTTGAAGAACCTACCTTATTTTGGGGGTCCTTAAAATAAAGATCCTACTATTTACGGTACTATATTTGTACCCGAAGCTCTTATTTTGGGGTCCTCAAAGTAAAGATCCTACTATTTAGGGTACTATATTTATACCCGAAGCTCTCAAGCCTGAATTCGTATAGTCCCAACATCCCCCGCCAGGGAAGGCAGGCCTGCAGAACGGTACCGGTGCCACGCAGCGCACCGAAGGAATAGTTTCGCCCGTCCTGCATGAACGAAGACGGGCCCGAAGGGCTCATGCTAAAACCCCCTGTATAATATAGGGGGCCTTAATAATTAGAATAGGGTTTAGGGGGTATATGATACCATAATTAGAACAAGGAACCCAACAAAATAGTTTTGGTAACTATTCCGGCCTGCTTGAAAACCCTAAACCCCGAATCCTGAACCCTACGCTGAATCCTACACCCAAAACCTAAGCCCCCACTAGTCTTCTGCTCTGCCCTGAAACCTGAAAGTTTAAACCTGCCCCTGCTCTCCTCCTGCAAGAAGTAGCAAGGAGGGGTCCGGGTTAAGGATTTAGGGTTTGGGCTTCAGGGTTTGGGGTTCAGGGTCTAAAGTTGAGAGTTTACGAATGAGGAGGGTCACGGGAGATCCAACGGTTGAGAACAGTCCCAAACACAGCACACCGCTCCAAGCACTGCGTGGGTGCCCAGCGACACACCTCTCTATGGCTTTCGCGTTCGTACCGCGCAGTGCGCTGATGTCGAACGCTTCGCTCATGAGCTCTTCAGCCTTGCGCTTAACCAAAAGAACATGGCCCCCCAAAACCACACCGTGAAAGGCAGACAGCCCATTGCAGCATTGAAACCCCTGAACAACCTGGGGCCCTCACCATGTACACGAGTGACACGTCAAGCTTGTCCGGCACCCCGAGCTCCTTGCACATGTCCCTGCAGTGAGCGAGGTACTCCGCCACGGGGTCAACTTTCGGGCAATCTGTGACCTCAATCATTCCATTAGCTGCAGCACTGTAGCCACAGCCGCAATAATCACTTTCCTACCTGCTACATCTCACAGTACTACCGGAAAGAAAAAAAGCTTGCATGCCCAGCTGCTTTGTGGGCCAAGACCTGCATCAGAAGGGCGGTGTTAATGGCCGTCACGCCCGATTCGTCCTCGTGACAGAAGCCCAACTTTTGCCACACTTCACCAACAGTTTCTGCTGCGCGTCCTGCGGTTGCTGCAGCGCATAAGCCGTGGCCCGGAAGCTCATGTTCGAGACCAGACCACGGGCATGCGGCGGCGTGTCCCGGCCCAGGGAAAACCGCCTAAACGCCAGGCCTCGACGAGCAGATGAGCAGGCCGAGTTGTTGCCAGAGTGCTATGAGACAAAAGCTTAACCATGAAAGGTTTGCAGCCAAGACACTGCGGTCGACGCCTGACGGCCACATGGTCTGAGTTTTGACCTCCTCCAAACCATGAAACGCCTGGCGTTCAATGTCCTTCCGACCGCCACAACAGCTTCGTGCTCGTGGTTCCCACGGATGTCACGAAGCTAGATCAACCACCTCACGAAACAGCTGCAACCACAGGTCCTTCCAGTTGCGCTTATCCACCCAGGGCTTGGTGAAGCGCAAGAACTCCACCAACTCCGACTGCGTGGTGATGCAATTCTCATCGCCATCCATGTCGCCTGACACCCCCCGCTTGCAAAAGCCTCACAACATGCCTCTAAATCCGACACCCTGCACCTTGTTACCAGACCCTGCCAAGTCACCGCCAGCCAGGAGCGTGTTCATGAATCCCTCCAGAGACAAAATCACGCAGTTCTCCGGAAAGGGCCCCATGTCCTGGCCACAGAAATTTTTTTGTGTTCCGACGAACACGACAACGTGCGTCTGCGGTTTATCGTCCGGAAACTTGAGCTCAAGACACTATCTTTATGTCCTCTGTCCCGAAAAAGAAAAACAAAAATGATTCGCCCATTCTTGGTGATGTTCGTTACGTTAGAGAAACAAGAACACAATTAGGCACAGAACCACATCTGCACACTGCCCGAGGCAGCACAGACCGTCCTCGCAAGAATTGCTCAGCACAGTAGTTCAGTAGTTCCTACAGCAGTCATGTCAATTTCCAATCCTTTTTTGGGACCACGGCCTCCAGGATGCAAATATCGCGTGGATTGTGACACGGATACCGCCAAACCTCAATCAATAAAGCCAAAGGTTTATAAACACACCACACGACAGCCCAAAACAAGAAAAAGCCTAGCCGAGGCACGGCCACGTCGCCCTTGATGAAATCTCGGCCGTTCGTGACCACGCATTGGTTTAGCGCCAAGACCTCGCCGTAGTCGTAGCCACAGACGGCTTTGACCGTGCAAGAGAACGCCGGCCTTTAATCAGCTGCTAACCATGCCGCAAGTGGGGCTTCCCAAAGCGTCTCCCGGTGAAAGAAGGGCTGTTGCAGTGGCTGCGGCTGGAGCAACTGCAACCGGAAGGCATGAGAGAGAGACCCGACGTAGGTGGTTCGCGGGCTACCAACAAACCCGAAACAAATACTATAGGGGCCTTAATAATTAGAACAGGTCTTGGGGCTACCTGGACCCTGAGAAACCTAGGGTTTACGGTTCCCTAATATGATTTCCTTATATACATCCTGCAAAAGGTGCTCATAAGTTATTCGGGGTCCAGGTAGGGTCTACGGAGTCTACGGCTTGGGTTTGGGGGGTGGGCCCCGTGGGCATACAGGTTTGACGGCTTCTCGTTGCAGTTTGTGCTCCGTGATGTAAAAACTCAGGGTCTGGCCTAGGATGCAACAAGGTTGGAAAAAAATCAAGGGGTTCAGGGGGTTTAGGTTCGGGGTTTAGGGAACCATGCAGATGCGAAGCTTTTGCCATGGCGACCTTGAACATCGAATGGAAGAGTTGTGCTGCTCCTATGTTTCTGCATTTTATACAGATGTACTTATGGTATACAGAGTACATGTATATATATATATAAATCAAACATGCCGCATGCCAGGTATAGATGTAGATATGTACATATACACCCCTGACCCCTCAACCCTATTGACCCAGATCCTGTTGTCTAGCCTATACCCTCATGCAGACCCAACCCTGAACCCCAAACCCTAAACCCCAAACCCTAAACCCTAAACCCCAAACTCTAAACCCTAAACTCCTAACCCCTAATCCCTAAACTCCTAAACCCCTAAAACTCCCAAAACTCCTAATCCCCAAAGCCCCAAAACCCCAAACCCCCAAACCCTAAATTCCTAATAACCCTAATCCCAAAACCCCAAAAACCTCAAAAACCCCCAAAACCCCAAAAACCCCAAAACCCCAAAAACCACAAAAACCCCAAAACTCCAAAAACCCCAAAAACCTCCGCTCTGGGGTCCGCCGTCACCGCCACGGAGTACGCCGCTCCCCAGTCGACGGCATCTGCGCTCTCACAGGTCTCCTTCTTCAAGGATCATGGGTAGTCATAAGTGGGGTAGTGGTTTAGGCTTTAGGGTTTAGGGTTTAGGGTTTAGGGTTCACAGGTCTCCTTCTTCAAGGATCATGGGTAGTTATAAGTGGGGTGATAAGTCCCCTGTTTCGAGTTTAGGGTTTCCTTCTTCAAGGATCATGGGTAGTTATAAGTGGGGATATAAGTCCCGTGTTTAGAGTGTAGAGTTTAAGGGTTTAGGGTACAGTGTTCAAGGCTTACTTAAAGGATCCTTGCTTGGAGGTTCATGGGTAGTTATAAGTAGGGTTCCTTTCAGGATTCTATATAGTTTGGGGCTTAAGGCAGTTATAACTTACCTTTGGTTAGTAGGGAATGGAAGAATGGTAGTAGTAGTAGTAGTAGTAGTAGTGGTGGTGGTGGTGGTGGTGGTGGTGGTGGTGGTGGTGGTGGTGGTGGTGGTGGTGACAGTAGCAGAAGTTATAAGTGTACCCAATTCCTCCATTCCCTACTAACCAAAGGTAAGCTTGAGGGCGTTTCGAGTTAGGGGTTTCGGTTCAGGGTCTAGGAGTTTCGATTTTGGGGGCTTAGGGCTTAGGCTTTAGGTTTTAGGTCTACTTGGAGGTTCATGGGAAGGCATAAGTAGGGTGATAAGTCCCCTAGTTTGGGCTATAACTATACTTATCTTACTAATAAGCCCACTTATAACTACCCATGAACCTCCAAGTCGAGGGCGTTTCGAGTTAGGGTCTCGGGTTTAGGTGTTAGGGTTCAGGGCGCAAGGCCTACTTTAACCCGAATAACTTGTAAGGACTTATATAAAGAAACTATGATAAGGAACTTTCAAAAGGTAGGTTGTTAAGGGTTGAGGTAGGGTTTAGGATTTAAGGCTCTGAAAAGATACAATCAAAGGTTCATTCTCGAGCATCTCCAGTACTCACAACAGCCTATGGCTGTCCGTTAGGAGCTTGTAGAGGAATGCCGATTTCTTGTGGCTTGTTCGTCTTTGGGGTCTCCTGTCTAAAGAGAGCCGCAAGTGGGTTCCTGGCTAATGTAGGGGCTTTAATTAACAGATAGAATATGGTTTTGGGGTATCTTACACTATAGCCATCGCAAGGAACCCCCAAAATAGTATGAGTAGATGTTAGGCACCTACACTGTTTCCCGGATAAGCCAAGGAAGACCCGCTTGAAGTCGTGAGGCAGTATTCAGCAAGAAGGTACAAGGATCACATGAAACCTCCTGCAGACCCTACCCAAGACAGCAAGCACAAACCTGGAAATTTAATCCTCAAGATAGAAATAACAGCAATTTAACCTTGAACCCTGGGCCGAAAGCCCCAAAACCTCTAAAACGTAAATCCTAACCCTAAACCCTAAACCCTAAACCTCAAACCTTCTAAACCCCAAATCCTAACCCTAAAGCAGAAAACTACGAACCTCGGGCTCCTTCGCCATGATCTTGTCGCCAGCACGAAGCCCTGTCCCCGCGAGCCCGGAAAGGGCGCAGTTCCTGGGCTTTAGAGAAAAAAACTCCTTCCAGAACCAAAGCAAACCAAAAGATAGAGCCCCGCCTCCGCCCTGAACCCCAAACCCTTAAACCCCAGACCCTAAACCTTAACCCTTAAACCCGCAAAACCCTACACCCCTTCAAATCCTAAACCCCTTCGAACCCTAAACCCTTCAAACCCCAAACCCTTAGAACCCTAAACCCTTAACTTAAAAACCCCTAAACCTTAAACCCTAAACCCCAAAAAAAGAGGCCGGGGCGCGGCGAGTCGACTTGGCATTCAAAGGCCTGGCCAAAGCGCGGCCCTTCGACCTTGAAGAGTCCAACCTGCCAGGGGAGCTGCGGGGGGGGACCTCTGAGGCGCTTAGGGGTTTAAGGGATTTTTGTTTTGAACGCCTTTTTCCGTCTAGCAGAGTCTGCAAGAAAGGGTTTAAGGGTTTAGGGTTTAGGGTTTTAGGGTTTTAGGGTTTTAGGGTTTAGGGTTTAAGGCTTTGGATGGGTTTTTTATGGGGTGTTAGAAGGTTTTGGGCCTTTAGCTGGCTTTGCGTCTGGAGTGTTAATGTGCTTCTGGATTTGTAGGAGTCCTTGGAACGCTTTTCGTAGTGGAGGAAAAGCTCTCGAAGCTGCACGCGTTGTTGCAAGTAACCGGAATTGAAGCTCTGAGGTTAAGAGTTGACGCTTGAGTCTGTAGGGCTTACCTGGACACACCTTTTTCATGACTCATATAGCAAAATCAGATTAGGGAACCCTAGAAAGATAGGTTTCTTAGGGTCCAGGTAAGGGTTAAAAGAAGCCTGTAAAAAGGCTACGCTCATATTTTATGTTTCCTGTATCTGTGTAGTCATAGTCTGTCGGGCCGTGACGAAGGCCGGCATGACCCTTCACCCAACCTCGAGAGGGCTTTGCTGGGATCGCAATGCGAAAACCCTTAGGGTTTAGGGTTTTAAGATCTGTTCTGTCAGCTAAGATCGGTGTCAGGTTTTGAATAGTGCTTCAGGATTGCTATGAAATTCGACTATGGCTCAGCACGAGGTTCCCATGAATCCGCTTTCCGATGACATTACCGGCAGTACCGACAGCGCCTGTACGGCAAAGTCTGCCACTGCTATGCACGGCTGCGCGAGATTGGGCTGCGGTCGGCACCTTACGAAAGGATGGGTTCCACTTCTAACCAGTGGTTTTGCGGTTCCCTTGGCTCTTTAGCTCCTTATTTAGGAGGGACTATCATCATCCCTGGCTCCTTAGCTCCTCCAATATCAATGGTTCCACTTCTTCCTGCGATTCAGATTGTAAAACAAGCAAACCCTAAAGTGGACACACAAGGGCAAAAGGGCAAAGCCTGAACACCTAAAGCCGGCAAACGTGACAGCAAAAAACAACCCCAAACCACCCTGGACCCTCACCTGTATCCCCAAACCCTACAAAATACGGTAGAAGCCAGAAAGTTGGAATATCATTATCGTAACCCCTTTAAGGTAAATTAAAGGGGATCCTACCATTAATCCATATTCTAACTTTCTGGAGTTCCCTTTAATAAGTTATGACCCCTTACTTAGAGGGTATGACCCTTCAAACGGTAGGGTTTTTGGATCCCCAGGCAAGTCCCAAGCCCTGAAAAATGCCAACACGCGGAACCCTTTAACTCCAAACTGAAACACCAGGGCCTCAAAAACTTACAACAACCAGGCAAAAACCTAGAAGACGAGCCCTGACAGGCTTTACAGCCTAATGTAGGGGGCCTATAACCCAAAATAGTAGGGTTCATAAGAAGGAACCCTAATGAATTCCCAAGGTTTCTTTATCAGGCTCTTACATTAAAGCCCTCTAATTCCTGAGGTGCACAGTGCACAGCCCAAAGCTTCTGAATCAAACCTCCCAAGAAACCCAAGCACAATCATTCCGAACGCACCGGAACCCGAGACCCAGCAAGCCTAAATCCTAAAACCCTTGAAGCATTACAACCAAGAGCCCAAAACCTGGAAGCCTAAACCCTAAACCCAGGCTGACGCCATAGAACCAAGACAAGGGGACGGGATAGAATCATGCGGCCAGGCCAAATTGGCTTTAGGGTTTAGGGTAAACCCCTGCAAACCCATGAGACCCTTGTGCACACCCGCCACAAACCCTTATAAATTCCAATAAAGCCACACTGTGAAACTTCTATCTAAGTCTGATATAGGTCTTGTGGGTCTTCAGGAAACCCTAAACCCTGGAGCCAAAACCCTAAAATTTAAACTCCTAAACCACCCTAAGCCATAAACCCATAAACTCCTAAACCACCCTAAACCCATAAACCTCTAAACCCTAAACCCTAAGCCCCACATGGGTAGTTGTCAAAATTATGGCACCTTTTTGGGTACCCTAAATACTAGGTGCCGTATTATAATAAGGACCCAAAAAGGGACCCCAATTTTGACAACTACCCACAGGCAGCACAGGGGACCCTTATATAGTACCGGAAATAGTAGGATCCTTATTATAACGAAGGACCCCCAAATAAGGTACCCCCCGTTTTCGGAAAGTCCCAAATAGATCCACACAGGACGAAGACGAAGAGCCCCCTTATCATGAAGTCCAATAAAATAGGGATATCCCGATAAAATGCTTATGCTTATGTGCCTTTTTGGGTCCCTAAACCCTAAACCCTAAACCCCTAAACCCATAAACCCCTTACTAAACCCTAAACCCCGAAAACCCTAAACGCTACACCCTAAGCCCTAATCCCCAAATAGATCCAAACATAATAATAGCCCTTAAACCCCAATTGCCCAACCTCAAAAACCCCCAAATCCATCACTGGAGGCCCGAGACCCCTAATTTTGACAACTACCCACCAATATAGCACCGTAAATAGTAGGATCCCTATTATAAGGACCCCCAAATAAGGTACCCCTATTTTCGGAAACTCCCAAAATAGATCCTCACAGGACGCAGACGAAGGCGCCAGCAAAGGTTGAACAAGCCCTGGCTGCTTTGGAGCACGGCGTCGCTCGCGAAGACGTAGCCTGGGCTCTGAAAAAGGGCGGTTGAGGGTTTAGGATTTAGGGTTTAGGGTTTAGGGTGTAGGGTTCAGGGTTCAGGATTCAGGGTTTAGGGTTTAGGGTTTAGGGGCTTAGGGTTTAGGGTTCAGGGTTCAGGATTTAGGGTTTAGGGGCTTAGGGTTTAGAGTTTAGGGTTGGCTCCGGAAGGGTTCTAGAGGGGGTTCTAGGAGCGTTCCTGAAGAGTTCTAGAGGGGCTTGCATCAGGTTATGAGGCTTCTTGAACTAGACCTTAGAGTAACCTAGGAATAAAAAGGGTGCCCTTTTTGGTTTAAAGGGGTTTATAAGGGAACCTAAGCCTCAAAAAAGGGAATAAGGGCCTACTCTGGGTCCTAGTGAAGGGAGGTAGCCCCTACGGGGTTCTATACGGGTCTAAATCTATAAGGGTCTTCATAAGTGTGCTCAAGTGCTAGCTTCAGGCTTTTAAAGGGTTCTATACAGAGGCTGATTGTAGAAGAGGTCTCGCAAGGGTCTGTAGCGTTGACACAGAAGAGTGCTAAGAGGATCATGCAGGAATGACGATGGTTTTGGAGGGATGAAACAGCAAGTTTCCAGTGTGCGGGTTTAGGGTTTAGGGTTCGGGCTTTAGAGGGGCATGTAGGATGTCAGAAAAGGGTTTACGCCGAGGATATCGGATGAAGGGCTTGATCCTGGTTGCACAAGACTTGTTTCTACACAATGTACGAGCATGGACGAGGTGGGCTATACAAGTATATACAGTTATATAGTTATGTGTATTTATATATATAACTCGAAATATAAAGATACACATGCATGTCAAATGTCGTTGAGCATAAGTCTTGCAAGGCGTGGGTTTGCTGCTGCAGACTGCAAGGTCAAGCACACACAAGGGCTGCATATCTATCCTCATCTTGTACCTATGTAACTATCTATCTACCTACCTATCTCTCTCTCTCTCTCTCTCTCCGCATGTCTGTCTATCTCGGTACCTATCTGTCCATCTATCTATCTCTAACTATCCAACTACTTTCTATCTCTCTATCTATCTCTCTATCCGCCTGTCTATCTGTCTACGTACCGACCCGTCTGTCCGTCTATCGCCTGAGCGTTGCTCAAGGGTCATGAGGGTTGTGGGCTTCAGGTTTACCCTAAGCTCTAAGCCCTAAACCCTGAGATGTCGGGGTTGAGGCTTCTTCTCGGGCTTAGGGCTTATATAGGGTTCAGCGCTTCGGATTTAGTGCTTTGGATCTAGGGTTTAAGGGTTTGGGTTTAGGATTTGGGCGTATATGGGGTGTAGGTTTGGGGCACCCTGAACCTTAAAAGCTGCGTTGGGTGAATCGCTTCAATGATCAATTAATACCCCTACACCCTAAACCCTAAACCCCTAAACCAACCCTAACCCTAAAAAGTCCCAGGAAACTGCCGTTGCCCCAGTCATCCGTGGCGACCTGCCACCAAAACAAGGGACGATTGACAAGTGGGCTTTTGGATTTAGGATTTATAGTAGAAGCCAGAAAGTTGGAACATCAGACTCCTCATGCCCTTAAGGTAAAGTATAAGGGATCCTAGCACTAATCCTCCTAAAGCCATGTTCCAACTTTCTGGCTTCTACTGTAGGGCTTTCGGCTTGCGGTGCAATAGAGTCTGAGGATTTAGGGCTTAGGGTTTAGCCGGTGGGCTGAAGCTTCGCGACAGTGATGCTGGGTTCTTGTTAAGGGAATTCGGAAGTAGTTTAAGAAGGAAACCATGTTATAGCACTTTATCCCTATTATGGTAACTTAAACTGAACTTCTTAACAAGAGCCCGGGATAGACAGATGGATTGCTTGTTTGATTGACAGCTTGTTTGTTTGATGGAGTGGTTGATTGGTTGACTGGTTGATTGATTGATTCATTGATTCATTCATTTCAATGATTGGTTGATTCATTGATTCATCCATCCAGCCATCCATCCAGCCATCCATCCATCCATCATCCATCCATCCATCCGTCCATCCATCAACTCATTCATGCGTTCACTCATTCGTTCATGCATTCATGCATTCATGCATGCAGTCAGTCAGTCATTAAGTCAGGCAGTCAGCCAGTCATTCAGTGATTGATTGATTGACTGATGCAAGGATGGATTGATGGATGAATGGATTCGTTCATTCAAAACCTCTGCCAGCAAAAAACAAAGCCGTCACCACTACCCGTAAACGCAACAACCCCAAACCCACGAAAAACAAAGCGCCCCTCTACATCCGGACCTAAAAAGCCGGAAACCCTAAACCCCCACACCCTAAACTCCCAAACCCCGAAACCCCAAAACCCTCTCAACACTCTCAACTCTAAACCCAAGCTCCCGACCGCCCGGTTCGGCGCTCAGAGCCTGCGAAGGCAAGCCGTCGAGGAGTTCTGTCTGCCCGCACAGCTCCTGGATGGTCTCATACTGTTGATGGACAAAATCCTGCATTACCCATTATGTAAGGAATATACCATAGTTCCCATAGTTTAGAGTCCTTAGGGTCATGCAGGATTTTGTCCATCAACAGTAATTAGGTATTTGGGTTTAGGATAGTAGCTGAATTAGGAATGTAGGAGTTTGGAGTTTAGGGTTCAGAAAACCTAGACCCCAAAACCCTGGAAGGCCGCAGGTGGCGGGTGGTCTCATGGGTTAGAGTTTTAGAGTTTAGGGTTCTGGGTTTAGGGTACGAGGGCTGTTTGTGGAGTTGATGGGTGGAGGGCTCGAGGGTGTTAGGGCTGCTTGTCCGACTTAAAGGATCATGGGACTAGGTAACTAGGGTTTTTTTGGGGGTCGCTCTCATTATAACTCCAATTAGGGTACTTATAACCTTGCCTCCTACGTCCCATGGTCCTTTAAGTAGTATGGAAAGATTCACTCCCCTTAGGGCCTTAGATACGGTGATACTCTCGTATGATCCTATGTGATAAAAACCTGGTCTGGCAGGGTTTCCGATTCTCCAGGAAGTTGAGTTAAGGCTCTATGACGCTTCGGACTTGCAGGTTTGCAAACTCGCCATGAGGGTTTAGGGTTTAATGTAAGAGTCTGAATAAGTAAAATCGGGTTTTGGGGTATAGTGTACTACAATCATAGCAAGGAACCTTAAGAATAATGTTTGTAATTGTTTCAGCCCCTGTTTCAGGGTTTAAGGGGTTCCTTGAGACTAGTAAGTTGTTTCTAACTAAGGGGCCTACATGCTGGATGAATACGGCTGTACTGGGCCAGGTGAATAAGACAAGCTGGAGCCAATGAGACTGGGGCCTTTAATAGCATTAAGAATTTGAACAATGTTTTTCGAATACATCATACCATGACTATAAGAAAAGGACGAGGAAGGAGATATCAGGACTACATATCATCACATATTACGAGCCCTTACAGTTGGGCGGAAAGCTCCTCATCTTCAGACAAGGGACAAGGGAGTGGGGAATCCCCAAACAAGAGGATCCGCACTGGAAAAAACAAAATCATACATTCAAGATACCGCCATGTGGAAACAGATAAAGCTGGAATTTGTGCGATTACGAGCTACGCCGACATCGTCCGGACAAAAAGCACCTTAAATCTCGTCCTCTTAGCTGGCAACCTCCAACACGAAACAGAAGCCCCCCATCCCCCCCGTCCGGCCCTCCAAAAGAGCTCAAGAAAGATAACATTAACAATAACAGCAGCAATGACAATCAGAATATGGAACAGAAGCAATGTTAATATTTTGAAGCACTATCCTAAGTAGGCTCTTCAACTTTCCCCTTTTGCTTAGGACGGCCAGGGGACTATGTAAGAAGGGCCAGTACCTCGGGCCTACAGAATTACCGACCCCTCAACCGCAAACCCAAAACAAGCCCACCCTCAAAACCCTAACCCCGAACCCCCCAAAGACCGGAAAATCCCTCTGAAATAGAATGAGACCATTTGAAAAAACACGTTTACAGCCTCATGAACCCGAAACCCTGAACACCTAAACCTTGGACCTGAAACCCCATCACCCTGAACTCTAAACCCTAAACCCCTAACCCCGACACCCTCTGATTAACCCGCAAACCCTGAACAACTAAAATCTATCATAAACCCAAAACCCTAAACCCCACAGGAGCCCCAAAGGAACCCTTAAAGGAACCCCTAAAGGAACCCCTAAAGGAGCCCCTATAAGCCCCTAAAAGCCCTACTCTCCTGCACCGTCAGGGCGTCGCCGGCCTGGAGACCCAGTCCTGTTATCTACGTGCCAACTGCAAACCTTTAGGTTCCAAAGCTGAGGGTTTAGGTTTAATCAGGATTTAGGTTTTGTTAGGGTTTGGGGGTACCCTAAATATTAGGTGCCGTACTATATTGGGGACCCAAAAAGGGACCATAATTTAAGGTTCGAAAGCTTAGGGTTTAGGTTTAGGGTTTAGGGTTTGGCGTTTAGCGTTTAGGGTTGAGGGTTTAGGGTTTAGGTTTTAGGGTTTAGGGGTTTAGGTTTTAGGGTTTAGGGACTAAGGGTGCCAAGTCCTGCCGTTTGGGTGCCAACTTGCCAAGAACCCAGGGACTGTAAGAGTGCCGTCAAAGGGATCTATAAGGGTTCCTTTAAGGTTCCTGTCTAGGGTTTAGGGGACTCCAATATCATCTAAATTTAGGAGCTCACCTTAGTTTCTACTAGGGATCCCACCATAATTTAAGCTATGTTCCTTAACTAAGGGATATTGGAGTCTCAGGGAAGGCTGCTGCGAGGGAGGCTTTTTTTTTGTGTTTATAGGCTTTACTGCTTTGGGCTTGGGGGGATGGTACGGGGGGGTTCTCAAGGTTTAGGGTTTACCTTAGCCCTAAGTAACCTACTTTTTGAAGAACGGATGTAAAAATCTCATATTAGGGAACCCTAAAAAAGGCAGGTTCCTTAGGGTCCAGGCAGGAGTTTAAAGAGGTTAGGGTTGCGGATTTAGAGTTGGCGGGTTTGGGGTTTAGGAGTCGGAACCCAGGAAACAAGGGCATTAGGTGGAAACGAAATACCTTCGTTACTTTGTTCCTGCACACAAAACACAGGACAAAAGGGAGGCTCCATGACTTTCCCCCTACAACCGACACGAACCAGTGGAGCGCTCAAACCCTGAACACCTAAAATCCAAGCAACTAAATCCTCACAAGCCCAGATGAGAACACGCATTGCAGCACCTCACCAGACGCAAGCCAACACGACCCTAAACAATCCTGTTAAAACTCCTATGATACCGGGTAAGGATTCTCCACACTCCAAGACTCAAACTGTGTGGTTTAGGGTGGTTTAGGGTGGCAAGCCGGGATCAGGGCCAAGATCTTAATGCAAAAGTCAAAGAACGGCTGCACATTGAGAGCCCTGCACCCGAAGCCGCAACCCTAGAACCCTAAACTGGACTTTCAAGCAAAACCCGAAAACCGTATGAAGCTCTACTTCATAACGGCTCCTTTAAGAAGCAGGTCCAAAACAGAGCCTTCCTTTAGAACCCCTTGAGAACCGTATAGATTCCTATAGATCCCCTAAGAGAACCCCTAGAAACCCCTTATGGTACTCGCAGAACCCTCATAGAGCCCCCCAAAGCCCAATACCCAATATCCCTTCCTCGCATCCTTCGGCAAGCGCCTCATCGCCTGAGGCGTGCCAGCTCCACCAGATATCCTGCAGGTCGAGGGCTAGCAGGCGCCAAAGAGCTGGAAGGTCCCGAAGGTCGAGGGCTAGCAGGTGCCAAAGGTCGAGGGCTGGCAGGTGCCAAAGGTCGAGGGCTGCCAGGTGCCGGACGTGCTTGAGGAGCAAGGTCTCGAGCCAGCTGGTTTTGCAAGTTCCGCGCCGCGGTTCAAGATCATTCATGCTCACGGCAGGGCTTGACATGCGCAGCACAGCATTTAGGGCACGCCAGCTCACCGAGGGCACAGGTCATCACACAGCTCAGCAGAACCCTGGTTTTTGCCTCCAGGCTTGGTCTTGGCCTTGGCTCTCGACTTCCTCTCCGCGGTCGCCCGATTTGGCGCGCAGATTTCCGGCACGGGGTGACTGTCATCGTAGCTCAGGCACAGCTCCCTCCCCTTGCCCACCGCGGCCGCGGACGGGGATGGGTGGGAGCTCTGGCTGCCGAGCGTTCGTGGCGGACAGGTGGGGAGTGGGTGGCCGCGGACGGGGACAGGGGGAGCTCCGGGTGCCGAGCGATTGCGGGAGGACGCGGCCGTGGAAGGGGATGAGCGTTCGCGGCAAGACAGCCACATCCCGAAACCCTGAAACAACAGTGAACCTGAACCCTCATCCTCACACCCTAAGCCTCCGGAGACTCCAATATCCCTTAATGGAGGAAATTACCTTACATCATATTCTCACTGGACCAAAACCCAAGGAAATAAAAGTTGAAACTTTCAGAATCGATTACCTTGTAAGAACCCAAAGGTTGAAAAGTTGAGTTTACAGCCAATAAATATTATTAGGGATCTATGAAGGCCCCAAAAATTTGAGCAATATCCCTTAATTGAGGAATATACCTTAGATCATAGAAAGGGATCCTAGAATGATTGATTGGAGGCCAAAAGGGGGGTTTAAGATTCTTGGGGTAGGGATTCCTTAATATGAACCCTATTATGGGAACCCTAATCCCTACTAAAGCCCCATAGGCTAACACCCCTGTTGACCTCCTATGAATGATAGGCCCTTCCCATCCTTGCAGCACCGGCAGCTGGCACTTCTGACCCAAAGCGCAGGTCGCCTGGTGGCCGCCCTGCCGGGTTTGGGGCTTAGGGTTGAGGGTTTAGGGTTTGGGGTTTCGGGTTTAGGGTTTGGGGTTTAGGGTTGAGGGTTTAGGGTTTAGGGTTTAGGGCTTAGGGGCATTTGATTTAAGGGATCTGTAGAGTTTGGGGTTTAGGGTTTAGTGTTCAGGGTTTAGGGTTGAGGGCTTAGGGGCCTTTGATTTAAGGGATCTGTAGAGTTTGGGGTTTAGGGTTTAGTGTTCAGGGTTTAGGGCAAGGGCTTCGGAGCCTTTGATGTAAGGGATCTACCCAGAGAGCCCACTACCCCTTAATTAGGGAATATACCTTAAGCTGCCATATTAAGTCCCCTATAATTTAAGGTCTATTCCTTGAATAAGGGGTATTGGGCTCTCTGGATGTGGATTCTGTACCCAGAGACTCCAGTATCCTTGAATTGCAAATCTTACTCATATTAGGGACCTCTGCTACAAACTAAGGTGTAGCCCTTACCTCAGCCCCAAGTAACCTACTTTTTAAGGACTTCTAAAAGAAATCACATTAGGGAACCCCTAAAAAGGCAGGTTCCTTAGGGTCCATAATGGAGTCGCTGGGGTAGCGTTTCCTAAGGTGTAGTCCTTAATGGAAGTTTCCGAACATAGGTGACCCGAGTTTCATACCTAAATAATAGGATCCTGATAAAAAGAAGCCCCAAAAATAAGTTACCCCTCATCTTCGGAAACTCCTAAATGGAGTCTAGCGTTCCTTAAGGGTTCTTTTGGGAGTCCGGCGTTCGGCTCGTGGGGACCCCAAGCTCTAAACCGCCAAACCTTACACCCTAAACCCTGCCTGGACCTTAAGGAACCTGCCTTTTTGGGTTTCCCTAACATCATTTCTTTATATAAGTCCTTAAAAAGGTAGGTTACTTGGGATTGAGGTGAGACTTAATAAACCCAAACCCCCTAACCCCCTAGCTCCTATAGAACCCCTTAAGAACGCCGCAAGAGCCCTAGAGAACCCTTAAAGGCACACTAACCTCCTCCTCGTGTCCCGTAAGAACCACTGAAGAGCCCCTTAAGAACCTTCTATAGATCCCTTAATGGAACCCTCAACCCCTTAAGAGCCCCAAAAGATCCCAAGTGGCCCCTGCCTGAATGCCATCCACGGTCAAGCTGGCCACAGCCTTCCCCGCGGTGCTGTCGTGGCCGGCCTCTCCGGAGCCAAACTGAGAGGCATACTCAGAAGGCACACTTGGAGGGTCATGGGGTTTAGTAAGTAAGGCTATAAGTACTCTAACTGGGGTTATAAGTAGTTATAAATATAATTATTTACCCTAATCATAACCCGAGTTACTAAGTCCCATGATCCTCCAAGTACTTGGAGGTTCATGGTTAGTTATAGGCGGTCTTATTAAAAATAGGATAGCTAGAGTTATAACCCATTTTAGAGGACTTCTACCCCCACTTCAAACTACCCATGAAACAGGAAACCCCTCCTAAAGCCTCAAGCCACACAAACCCTGAAATGGAGAATGTGGCACATCTCGTTCTGAACCGAACCTCCAAGTAAGGGTTAAACCCTAAACCCTAAACCCTAAACCCTATACCCTAAACCCTAAACCCTAAACCCTAAACCCGTGTAGGGCGCGACGTTCAGGGGGTTTGGGGTTTAGGGGCCTCTCTGGTTCTTTTTGAACTCCTTTTTCCAGGGGGCCTCTCGGGTTTCGGGCTTAGGGTCCACAAGAGCCGAGGCCTGCTTCGTATGACCCATGAGGTGGAAAAGTTCAAGCGGGTTTCGGGTTTAGGGTCTAGGGTCTAGGGTTTAGGGTTTAGGGTCTAGGGTTTAGGGTCTAGGGTTTAGGTTTTAGGGTTTAGGGTCTAGGGGACCTTCGGAATAAGACTACCTTATAGGAGACCCCAAAGTGAAACGCTGGGTTTCGGACCCCTAAGAAGGAATGTAGACCCTAAACCCTGAAGCATAAGCCGCGCAAGGTTCAGAAGTTTAGGCTGTACCTTAAGCCGGAATAACCTACCTTTTCAAGGATTTATATAAGGAAATCATAATAAGGAACCCTAAAAAGGTATGTTATTCCGGCTTAAGGTAGGGATTAGGGCTTAGGGTGCAGAGTTGGGGATGTAGGAGCTTAAGGTTCAGAAGTCAAGGGTTTGGGCTTGAGAACTGATGGTTAGCAATGTTGGCCATACTGTTGATTGACAAAAATCCTGCATTACCCATTATAAAGAATATACCATAGTTCCCATAGTTTAGAGTCCTTAGGGTCATGCAGGATTTTGTCCATCAGCAGTACCATAATATGTGTAATTAGTCCTTCAACCTTCGGTGCAGCAGGACTTTGGTGTGGTTGTGCCATCTAAGTAAAAATATAGATTATTGTATCAAGCTTCTGTGTGAAACCTTGCTGGTCCCAAACCCTGAACACAAAACCCCTATAGAGCCCTTGCAGAACCCTGTAGAAACCTCTACAAACCCCGACAGAACCCCGATAACAGAAGCCTAGAAAAAACCTTACTTGGAGGATCATGGGACTTAGTAAGTAAGATTAAAACTACACTAGTTGGGTTATAAGTATGGTTACCTTAATAATGACTCTACTTGCTAAGTCCCATGATCCTTTAAGTATAGAGCCCTATAAACCCCTTCCAGCGCGGCCCGATGAAGAAGTTCAAGAGGCCCAACAAGGGTTTACGTTTCAGGGGTTTACAGCCCGCCAGAGCATAGAGTATAGGGTTTAGGGGTTTCGGGGTTTAGGGGTTTAATGTATGGGGTTTTGGGGTTTAGGGGTTTAAGGTTTTAAAGTGTGGGGCTTAGGGCTTTTGAGAACCCTTTTAAGAACCCCTTGTGGAGCTCTGGTTTGGGCCCTCTTCAAAGTCCAAGCGGCGCAAAGGCACACGAGATATTGGCCAGGATCAACGGCGAGCTGTGGGAAGCTCGCGACGTAGGTGTCATTCCTCGGCTGCTCGTTTCAAAGGGGAAAAGGAGGGACACTTAATGGAGACCCCTACCCTATAATGGGCTATATAATGGGTATATAATGGCTATATTAAGGGTATATACCTAGGGGTCTTTATTAAGGGTCCCCCCTTTTTGTTTGATAGCTAGTATCATTAGGGAGACGCCTTAAAGCGTACCCCTTCTGAACGCTACTTCTGGCTCTCTTAAAAGGGGCCTTCTTGAGAGGGTCTATATCCCCAAGGTTTGAGGCTGGAAGGATGCGTCTCCAGGACATACTTGTCCTTGTGGTTCAAGGTTCAGGGATTCGGATAGATATGCAGCGTCGGATGGAATTGTCTTGGGAGGTATCGAACACCTCCAACATGCAAAAAGCATTGAACATTAAACTCTGAGCCACTGAACCCCAACCCGCAAACCGCCGCAAACCCTAGATCCCCCAAAAAATCGACACCCAGAAGCTGGACAACCAAAACAAGGACACGGCAGCTCATTTAGTTTAGGATCTCGGGTGTATGCTAAGAGTCGAAAACTCAGGTTCGGGCTCAGGGTTCCCCAACTCTTTGCCAAAAAACTCTTGAGTCTCTTTGCAAACATCCTATCCAGATCACCCAAAACCCAAAACCCTAAATGCTAAAAAAACCCTAGGATCCCCAAAATCCCTGAACGCTTGACGCCCAAACCTCTAAAGCCTAAAATCCCCTAAACCCTAAACCCCCTTGAGCCTCCAAATCCTCTCGAGAGCCCTTATACGAGTAGGAACCCTTACAAGAACCCACAAGGCGTCTTCCCTTGGCGCCACCAAGATGCAACTCGCTTCTCTCGGCAGCCGCCGGGGCATCGCAGGCCGGACAGATACCCAGGGAGAGGAACACCTCGACTCTCGTGCAGGCTTGGTTTCGGGTTTGGGGCTTCCAGGCATCAACTAGGCTGTTCAGTAACCCACTGGGAGAAAGTATATACTTTTTAATCTTCTTATTTTAGAATAGGAACCCAGAAATCTGAAAGTAAAAAAGTGTACCACTGAACAGCCTGGTCATTGGCTTTGGGTTTTAAAGTTAGGGTGTCGGGCCGTCAATACTAAATCCGAAGTCCCTACAACCCCAAACCCACTTCAACCCTGAACCCTTCTCGAACCTTTATAGGACCCGTTATACGGTTGATGATATAAATCCTGCATTACCTTAAGGACCCTAAACTATGGGAATTACGGTATATTCCTTATTATGGGTCATGCAGGATTTATATCATCAACCGTAGTTCCCTTAATAGAAACCTTAAAGGAACCCTTAAAGGAACCCCGAACCCCTAGAACCTCGAAGCTCCTACAGAACCCCTATAGTACCCTAGGGTTTAGGGTTTAGGGTTTAGGGTTTAGGGTTTAGGGTTTAGGGTTTAGGGTTTAGGGTTTAGGGTTACCCTAAACCCTTATAGATCCCTTAAATTACAAGAACCCCTTCAAGAAGCCTTGAAGCCTTACAGAAACCTATAGCTAGATCCCTCAAAGGAATCCGCAAAGGAACCCTTAATACAAGGAACCCTTAAAGGAACCCCCAAAACAGAACCCTTAAAGGAAGCCCTATAGAAAGGAAGCCCTCAAGAAACTAAACCCTAAACCCCTAAACCCTAAACCCCACAGGAACCCTTAAAGGAACCCTTGAAGGAACCCTAAACCCTAAAGGGACCCGAAAACCCTTGAGCTGAATCTTGAGACCGGGCTGCTCCCACGGCTGCCCCGGCCAAACGGCGTGCGGCATCGGCGCCGGCGAGCTGGCGTGCCAGGAGACCTTTGGGTTTAGGGTTTAGGGTTTGGGGTTTAGGGTTTAGGGTTTGGGGTTTGGGGTTTAGGGTTTAGGGTTTAGGGTTTTCTTTAAGGCTTCCTTTAACGATTCCTTTAAGGGTTCCTATGAGGGCGCCAAGGTTCCTAAGAGGGTTCCTTGAAGGGATTCTTCAAGGGATCCTCTAAGGGCTCCGTTAAGGGCTCCTTTAAGGGTTCCGTTAAGGGTTCCTTAAAGGGTTCCTTTAAGGGTTCCTTCAAGGAATCATTTCAGGGATCCTTTAAGGGATCTATAGGGTTCTACGGGGCCTTAGGTTGTATAGGAGTATCCCCTACCTGTTCGGGGTGGGGGTCGTTAGAAAACGGCTTAGCCGCTTTCTGGCGTCCGGAAGTGGCGTAGTAGCGTTGATGACACTAGCGGAATATTGGCTAGCGGTATGGGTGGTTCCGGACGCGGGTCCAAGCTCCTAGCCAATATTAACAGTGGGGGATATAGGAGTTTCGGGTTTGTGGTGAGGGTTTGGGGACTGTAGGGTCTGATGGCTTCGGAGTCTCAAACGGCTTTGAGTGTAGGGTGTTAAGGGTCTTCGGCGTTTTGAGGCTCAGGGTTGATGGCTTGGGGTTTTAAAGGCCCTGAGCCACAAACTACTATAAACCCTAAACCCCTGAACCCTAAACTCTCAGAGCGGTTGGGATCTCGAGAGTAGAGGGCGGAAGTGTAGGGCACAGGCTCTCATTTTTTCGGGCTTCGGGAGTTTCACTAAGGGTTCCTTTAAGAGTCCCTTCAAAGGTTCCTTCAAAGGTCCTTTTAAGGGGTCCTTTGCTCCTTCAAGGGATCTATAGGAGGTTCACTCTTTAGGGGCATAGGCACGTAGAGCTCTTCGGGTTAAGGGTGCAGGGCTTAGTCTGAGCAGACAGGCCTGAGTTGGCAATGCACCACGCAGAACTCCATGGAAGAAACTGGATCTTGTAGCATGGATCGTGTAGCATGATCCGCTTCTACGTCCCCTAAACCCTAAGACCCCAAACCCTACATCGAAGCCCTGCAGTCCCAACCCGAAACCCCAACACACTCAGTTGAAACCCTCCAAAAATCCCCGTGCACTGCTCTCATCGAGGCCTAAAAACGCGCAGAACTAAAGACCCTGAGCCCGAAACCGCGCAACCCTAACCTGCAGATAGCAGTTGGGAGTTTCCCGGAGATTCGGGGTACCTTATTTTGGGGTCCTTACAAGAAGGATCCTACTGGTGATGGACAAAATCCTGCATGAACCCCCAACCAAGGACTCTAAACTATGGGAACTATGGTATATTCCTTATAACTTATAAAGGGTCATGCAGGATTTTGTCCATCAACCGTTTTATTTAAGGTGCTATATTGGGGCCCCCTATTTTCGGAAACTCCCAGTTGAACTTCATCCACGTTGCTGTTGGAGAGGTCCACATAGCACGGTCTGCCCCGGGCGCAGGGGGCCTCCGCTGGAGTCTTGGGTTCAAGGCCCCTGGGTTGATGTGCCTTCGCTTGGCTTTTTTTTTAAGGTTTAGGAGTTAGGGTTTAGGGTTTAGGATTTAGGATTTAGGGCTTAAGACTTAGGATTTAGGGTGTCTGGGACAAGAGAGAGGAAAACTCCAAAACCCTACAGCAATGAAACCTTGAAACCACTAAACAATAAATCCCCATGCAACCCCTCCTAGAAACCTTATCAACACAAAGAGTCACCATCCTGATACAGAGCCCGAGCAAGCAGCCCCAATGCCCTCAAACCGCCCTACATCCTACACCTGTATTTAACATACGGGAACTTTCAGCTGCACAATAGAAACCTTCGAAATCCTACAACACACCTTGTAGACTCGCGGTTACTAAACCCTCTCTCTTCAAGGGCCCCCCCGTGACGAGGATCCCGATTGAGCATGAAGCGTTTATCAGCCAGGGGTGTGCATTACCCTTGAAGTGAAGAAGCTACCTCGATATGGAGCCCCCATGACTTAATTGGGATATAGCAGCTATTTGGGTACAGAACCGCACGAGACACCGTGAGCGATTGCCAAAAACATCCCCGTACACTTCCGATATACTCAGACTATTGTATCCCCCAAAACCTCGAATTTTCATGGCCCCTCCACAGGAACCCTTAAAGAACTATGCGAAGAAACCTATACGACAATAGAAACCGCCCCGAAACCAGAAACCCTGCATGCTACACCCTAGACCCTACATCCTACACCCCTCAAACCCTACACTTGCACTCCAACCCTAAGGGCCGCTGTATTCGAACCCTCTTCGGCCTGCTGCGGCCCGCCGTCGACGCCCTGGTCCTCTCCAGCCGCTCTCAACCGCAAACACTAAGAGGACCCAGAGACTCCAGCATCCCTTAATTAAGGAATATACCTTAAATCATACCAGGGACCCCTACTATAGTTTAAGGTATATTCTTAATCACGGGACATTGGAGTGCTCTAAATCCTAAGGCCCTAAGAAGGGTCTTGGCCCGGCTCGTCCCAAGAGCTCTATGCAAGGGTACTGTGAAGGGAGTCAGGGTTTAGGGTTTAGGGGCTTCAGGTTTAGGGTTTGGGGCGTAGGTTTATACAGTTTCCAAAAAGGTCTCGGGTTCTTGGAGTTCATATGTGAGAACGAATGAGTCTTATGGGTTCTGTTCTTCAAGGGTTTCTTGAAGAGTTCATCGGCGAGATCGCAAAAAGGTTCTATAAGGCTTTACAGAGGGCTGCAGCAAAGGAACCCCAACGATCAGACTCAAGCTTCTTCTGTGGAAGTTCCTTAAGGGTCTGGCTTAGGGTTGGGGCTTTAGATTTTTTTGGCTTTAGGATTTGGGAGTTTCCGAAACTGCGGGGACCCTATTCTAGTACCCTGGATAGTAGGATCCTGATTGTAAGGACTCCATAATAAGGTATCCCCTAATTTTCGGAAACCCCCATTAAGTGTTCAGGGGACTGCGCCGGTAGATAGACAAGTCTAGGGTTTCGGCCACCCCGAAACCCCTAAACCCCCTCAAACAAGACACGCGACCCCCCAAACCCCTTCATCAACAAAACAAAACCGCAAAACCCACCACAGCAACCCTCATATAAGAAATCTAAAGAAAATCTTATGGCACCCTTCAGTGAGCCCTTCAAAGAACCCTTGGCCGCAGCAAAACCCCTAACCCTAAACCTAAATCCTAAACCCTAAAGCCCCATCCCTGAACCCTGAAACCACTAAATCCCCAAAGCCCAACCCCTAAACCCTCAACCCCTAGTCTAAATCCTTCATGGAGCCCTTTGCCAAACCCTAAACCCTCAAACCTCAACCCTAAACCCTCAACCCTAAACCCTACACCCCCAAACTCCCCTTAAGGGAACCCCCCAAGCAGAACTCCCCCGGGCCCGGATATCCCCATATAAACCCCCCCCACAATGAAGCCCAAAAAGGTAGGAATATCCCCATAAAATGCTTCTGCTTGTGTGCTCTTGGGGCCCCTATATTACACCCCCGTAATACCCCTTAAAGTAAGCCTAATAGGACCCTTATAATACCCTTATAGACCCCTTTTAGGGAACCCTAAGGTAATCATTACCCTAATTTGAAGCCTTTGAACACTTATAGATCCCTTATAGTAACCCTTATAGTATTCCTTATAGTAACCCTTATAGACCCCTTTAAAGGAAGGGCCCCTAATAAAGTTTATAAAATGCTTATCCTAATCCTAACCCTAAGAATCCGAGCCCTAAACCCCTAAACCCCTAAACCCTAAACCCTAAAGGGTTCCCTAACCCCTAAGCTAGAATCCTAAGCCCTAAACCCCTAAACCCTATAGATCCCTTTAAAGGATCCCTTATAGATCCCTCTAAAATCCTAAGCTCAAAACCCTTAAAGGAACCCTAACTCCTATTTGCTCTGGGGCCCCTAATAAACTTCCCCGGGCTCCAGCAACACCAACGAGGCGGATGGGCTCAAGCCCTGGCCCTCCGTGGTCGCCACCTGCGCAGCGTTTAGGGTTTTAGGGCTTAGGATTCCTTTAAGGGTTCTATAGGGTTCCTTTCAGGGGTCCTACATGGTTTAGGATTTAGGATTTCGGGTTTAGGGCTTGGATTTTAGGAATCTAGAGGGATCTATAAGGGATCCTTTAAAGGGATCTATGGGGTTTAGGGGTTAGGGTTCGTTTAAGGGTTCTTTAGTGTTTAGGGGTTAGGGTTTAGGATTTAGGGTCTAGGGTTTACGGCTTAGGATTCTAGGGTTTAGGGTTTACGGGTTAGGGTTCCTTTAAGGGCTCTATAGGGTTCTTAAGGGGTTCCACAGGAGTCAGGGGGTTTTAGGGTTTAGGGTTCAAGGTTTGGGGTCTCGGGCATTAGGGCTTGAGGGTTTCAGGGTTTAGGGTTCAGGGCTTTAGGGTTTAGGGCTTTAGGTTCTAGGGTTTAGGGGTCCTCAAGGGGATTCATAGAGTTCCTTAAGGCTTCCTTAAAGCGATCCATAAGGTTCCTTTTGGCATCCTTAACGGGCCTCGAAGGAACCCTCATTGCTCAAAGGTGCCCTTCAAGGCAACCTTTCGAGGAATGAAAGACAAATGCATATTGTCAAAGCTCGGTGATAACTAATCATAGCAATCCTAACCAGAATGACATGAAGAAGAACAAAATTCAATAGTAATCCTAATCACCATAGCAATAACTGTCATAAAGCGGGAACCCAGCCTCAGCCACTCCTTCCAGCAACGTCAGGCCAAAGCACACCGCCTCGTCTCGCTCGGTGCTGGCGTCCTGACAGGCTTCGCCGTTTTTCCCGGGCTCTTCGGGTGTAGGGCTGAGGATTTTAGGTTTAGGGTTTAGGATTTAGGGTTAGGATTTAGGATTTAGGATTTAGGGTTTAGGGTTTAGGGTTTAGGGTTTGTGAAACGAGGGAGTAGTTACGTAAAGGATCCTGGGACTTAGTAACAAAGGGTTGGTATTAGGGTGGCTTTACCTGCAGTTTAAGGTTTGGGCGTCCAGCACGCACATCGTAAAAGCCCTGAAGAAGCTAGCTCTACGCCTCATTTGACCTCTCCAAAAAACTGAAGCAGACTTGTAAACACCCTCAGAGGCCTTATGAAACCCTCCCTGAACCCCGAACCCAAACCATGCGAAAACCCTGTAAAACTCCACCAGAGCCCCATAAACCCCGTGCTTTCGCCTCGAGCACAGAGATCAGCGCTGCGCCCTGGACAACGCCCGCGTCGGTGAGACTCGTCGAGGGAGCAAAGACGGCGCACCTGGTTGATTTAGGGTTCAAGGTTCATCGTTTAGAGCTAGGATTCAATGTTTTGGGGTTTAGGGCCTTATGGTTATGGGGTTTGGGGTTTCGTAGGATCTTTGAGCATGCCGTAGAGCCTACCATGCTCTCCACTATGTAGGGGCCTTCATTAAGGATGAACCGTGCTTCGAATTCACTATGCGCAACCTCAACTGCATCAGCCAAATCGTGCTCTAGCTTTCTTGCATGTACTGGGTCTAGGGTTACCCTAAAGCCTAAACCCCAAAGCACAAAACCAAAGCCCAAAAACCAATGCACTTAGCCAAAAATGTCCCAAAACGCAACAAATTCGAAACCCAGTGCTTCCAAGGCACTTCTCCCCGATCTCACCATCCGCCCAGGTGAGCACTCCGGGCGCAAAGAGGAAATCCTGACCTGGTTTACTTGGAGTTCAGTCCTATCTTTCAAAGGGCTTATAGGGTTCAGGGTTTTTCAGGTTTGGGTGGTTTTAATCCATGTCCTCGCATGGCTTCGAATAAGGGTTAATAAAGGTTCGAAAATAAGCGCTCTAAGGGTTCTTTAGGGGTTCTCGAAGGGTGATAATCAGGATTCTGCGGGTTCTATAAGGGCCCTAAATCCCTAAATCCCTAAACCCCTAAGTACCCCTAAACCCTAAACCTGCAGTCCCAGAAGGCTTCAGGGACTACGACGTCGGGACTTTTCGTCGTGCTTGAGGAGTTGTTGTCAACGACAGTGAACCTGTCCGAAGGATGACATCTGGGTGGTTGTCAAAACTACTTAAAGGATCATGGGACTTAGTAACTAGGGTTATTACTAGGGCAATGATACTTATAACCACTTAGAACCCCAATTAGGGCAAATATAACCTTACTTACTAAGTCCCATGATCCTCCAAGTATGGTCCCTTGTTGGGCCCCTGATGTAGCACGGCACCTGTTAATTAGGGTACCCAAAAAGGGACCCTAGTTTTGACAACCACACACCTGTAGACGCGGAAATCAAGCGCAAAGCGCAAACACCACCCGAACGAAGTGTAATGTCTGGAGCTGGTGTGGCAATGGGTTGGTAGAGCTTTGGGGTTCAGGGCAGACGGCTTAGGGCCCTAAACCCTAAAAGTTGGCTTTGAGTTTAGAGTTTCGTGCCTTTGATTTCGTGAATACCTGGTTTGGAGGATCATAGAGCGTAGCAGGCAAGGCTTCGAGCACCTTAGTTGGGCTTAAGATAAGCATTTACAAATATGTTGGCCCCAGAAATGACCCAAGTTACTAAGTCCCATGATCCTCAAAGTATCCAGAGATTCAGAAGGCGGAGGTTGAGGAGCTCTGTCTGTGGGTGATATGGAAAAGGGGCCTGAATACGTTTTGCAAGAGTTTTGCGTATATTCTTATATATTGCATTCGGGGTTGTAGGAGGGTTTAACTGTATACTGACTCTGAACCCAAAACCCTAAACCGACACCTCCAGTGGCAGCAGCACCACTCCTCCACGAAACCATGCCGGTCGTATCGGAACACCTTTTTTTGACTCCAACTGTTATGATAGCCACAAGAAGGAAACGATTGTAGGAATGGGAGATCCCCACCCCCCTCCCTAAACCCTAAACCCTTAAACCCTAAACCCAGACCCTTGAACCCTAAACCCTAAAGCCTTAAACCCTAAACCCTAAACCCTTAAACCCTAAACCCAAGACCCTTGAACCCTTAATCCCAGACCCTTGACTTAGTGGCTGAGTTCATAAGCCCCCAAAAAGTGTGCACTTTCAGTTTAATAGTGGGCAATATTATGCCAAAAAGCGTAAAGTGTATCCACTCAGCTACTAAACTAATCCTGAGCCCTACCCGCCGCCCTCGAGCCTTCAACGGCTGGACTCTCCTGGGTGAGGCACTCAGCCACCTGCTTCGGGATCGCTCTTCGGGCTTAGGGGTTTTTCTGGATTTTTGAGTGCAATGGCTCCCTTTTCTCCGCGGGGTTTAAGGTTTAGGGCTTAGAGTCTAGGGTTTAGGGTTTAGGGTTCAGGGTTCAAGGGTTTAGGGTTAAGGGTTTCGGGTTTAGGGTTTCGGGTTTAGGCTTTCATAAGGGTTTGCAGTGCAGCACACCTTTTTGGATTTCGGGCTGAGGGTTTTGTCGAGCATAGCTATGTGCGGAAGATACGGGAATGCTTCTGCCAATTATGCCTGCGCATCCAGCATGTAATGATATGGCTACCTTTTTCTATGTTATTCAGTGATTCAGGCTTGGGAAGGGGGCTCCAATCATAAGGTAGAGAGGTACCGGGATGCTAGATATCACGACATGCAATCTGCAAAATTCACGACTATGCGTGATCGATAAGCAGCACTAACAACGCAAGAGTTCATGCCGGCAGGATTGTGTCATAGGGACCCTTACGGGGGAAGGGGGGGGGGGGTAGGGGACTATACTTCCTTAAGTAGGCTTTATTAAACCCTTATTATGGGCATTAAGGCCCCCTACCTCCTCCCCCCTACCCCCCGAAAGGGTCCCTATGATTGTAAACAGTAAGATGGGAACTGAGAATGGGTGTGTCAAGTCAACCTCCGACCCAAAGCCCCACAACCCCACGCCCCAAACCACAGCACCGAGAGTCCTGAACCAAAAGCCCACAAATACATTCGCTTAGACTACTTAGACCCCCTGAGTGTCCTATGAAACTCAGCCCAAACCCCAACCCTGAACCCTAAACCCTGAACCCTGAACCCTCAACCCTAAACCCTCAACCCTCAACCCTAAACCCTGAACCTTCAACCCTCAACCCTCAACGCTAAACCCTAAACGACCCGAAACCCTCCAGGCCTCGACACGGACACGAGCGAGACCGCTACCTGAGCGTCTGCGGCTGGGGTTCACCAGTCAGTGGGCCTATAACCCAAAATAATAGGATTCATATAAGGAACCCTAACAAAGTCCCAAGGTGTCTTAATCAGGTTACATGGTTTGAGGTCTGCTGATACGTCCGATCTTTCCTTGACACTTCGAGGCGTTCTGCTGCGTGTTAGACTTCCTGCTGTGTTCTTCCGAAGACCTTGCCGCGAAATTGCAGCTTGGAGATAGGACAGCCAACGTAACAGCCTCGAACAACAGGGAGCAAGAAGGTGCACCCCGTCTACTACACTGTGCTTAGACCCTCAACTCTCCTGCTCTTAGCCCGAAACGAAACGCACTTACTACACCCCCAGCCCCTTCATCAGTGCCAAAACATAAACCCCAAACCCACAAGCCCAAGAACCCCAACTCGAACACTCCACACCACGCCTTTATGGAGCACTTATCGAACCATTTAACAGACCCGTATAAAGCCCTCTAAGCATACCATAAGAGGCCCTAGAAACCGCAGTCATACTGTTGATGATATAAATCCTGCATTAACTTACGGACCCTAAACTATGGGAATTATGGTATTTCCTTCTTATGGGTAATGCAGGATTTATATCATCAATCATACCAAGTCGCTGCCACCATCGCGACGTGCATGGAAGAGGCAGCCGTCACTCAGAGAAGTCTCCGGCACCCTTAGACAGGTCTAGGGGTAGGGACTCCTTTAAGGGGATCTGCAGGCTTAGGGGTTTGGGGTTTAGAGTGTAGGGTCTAGGGATATAGCGTTTAGAGTTTAGGGTTTGGGGTTTAGGGCTTATGGTTTAGGGCTTAGGGTTTAGGGATATAGCGTTTAGAGTTCAGGGTTTAGGGTTTGGGGTTGGGGGTTTAGGGCTTACGGGCCTTGGGGTTCCAGAAGGGTTCGTAAAGAGAGGTCCTGTCAGGGTTACACAACAATCCGCGTATGAGAGGTGCAGCTTTTTGTCCTGTAGTACATTGTGGGCTCTTGCATCCTAGAGAAATGCGGAAGACCTGGATAGGAGGAAGCGTGTTCTTTCATAAGGCTTTCGAGAAGGCTTCATAACAGTTCGCAGAAGGCTTTGATTTGGGGATTCCGGCGCTCCTTTTAGAACAGGGTTCCGTGTTTTGCATGAAACAAGGCGTTATCGGGCTCTGGGGTTCTGTATTGAGAGCCTTTGTCTGTACGGGCTCACAGAGTTCAATTTCCCATACTCACGACTCCGAGTGATAAGCATTCTTTTGACTCTGCTTAGGGTCTATATTGGGCACCTTTTCTACCCTGAACCCTAAAACCTAAACCCTGGGCCCTAAAGCCTAAACCCTCGAAAGTAAAACCAACGGCCGAACCTTCCAAACTGCTACACATCTTCGGAAGATTCAGACGGCCCAATATCCCTTTTATCCAGGAATCCGCCGTAAGTCAGCACCTACGCAAAAAGAGGGATAGGGACATGACCCCCTTATAGTGAAGCCCAACAAGGTAGGGATATCCCTACAATACGCTTATGCGTATGTCCTCTTTGGGCCCCTAATTTCCCTAAGTAGGGTCCAAGGGACCCAGTAAATAGGTACTCGGTTTTAGGATAGTAAGTTACTATTTTGAAGAGTATATGATCCCTAAACCCTAAACCCTAAACCCTAAACCCTAAACCCTAAACCCTAAACCCTAAACCCTAAACCCTAAACCCTAAACCCTAAACCGTGTATGATAACTGGGTACTTGGATCCTTGGGGTTTTATCAGGGAGAAGACCGTAAGTTAAAGGATTCAGGGTGTAGGGCTGATTCTTCTCCCATCCCTAAACCCTAGTTAAACCCTAAACTCTATAAGAAGGTACCCAGAGCCTCCAAAACCCCTTAATTAAGGAATATACCTTAACATCATATTAAGGATCCCAGTATAACTTAAGGTCTATTGCTTAGTTAAAGAGTTTTAGAGGCTCTGGGCACTGGGCTCCCTGAGAGAAACCCTAAACCCTAAAGCCCCAAAGCCCAAAACCCTAAAACCCTCAAACTTTAAAACCCTCAAACTCTAAAACACTAGAAACCGTAAAACCCTATAAACCCTAAAGCCCTAAAGCCCGAAACCCTAAAACCCTCAAACTCTAAGACCCTATAAACCCTAAAGCCCTAAATCAAAGAACAGCGAAACTCACCAGTCTGAACTCCCAGGCCTCGAAACTAGACGTCCACCAAACCCCTCTTGGAGGGTCGGGGGACTTACTAGGTAGTTACTACTATTTGCTTAAGAACCCCCAAAAAATAAAGAATATATTCCTTATGGGGGTAATATAGGGGTTATTATTTTTATTTTTGGGGGGTTTCTTAAGCAAAGAGTAGGTTATTTTAGAGAGTTATAAGTACCATAGCCCCAATTAGGGTCCCTTTTAGGGTACTTATAACTCTGCTTATTCCCTACTTACTACTAGACGTCCACCAGACCCAGAGGGTCCCTGTACACTACTCTTATGGAATTAGGTATCGAAAGACCATCCCTGTTATGGTTTTGGAGGCCTAATTCCATAATGGTAGTGTATATGGACCCTCTGGCAGACCCCTCTAAAATGCGTCTACCAGAACTTATACAACGATGTAAGTGTTTGCTTGTTTAGGGTTTAGGGTTTAGGGTTTGAGGGGTTGGGTGCACCACCCTGGTAAAAATAGATTTCAACCGTATAAACTTCGTGAAAATCCGAAACCCTATGCCCTAAACTCTACAGACCTTATCACTCGATCGAAGGCACACCCTGCGCTGGTCGCTGAAGCCCAGCTGTCCCGCATCCCCGTCGTCCTGTTTTGGTTGAACTTGGGATTAATATAGGGGCCTGAATAATTAGAAGAGAGCTTTGGGGGTTCCTTATTATATTGAGAGTATAATATACCCCCAAACCCTACTCTGATAAAGAAGGCCGCAACAAGTACAATATACCCCCAAGCCCTACTCTAATAAACAAGGCCCCAACAGTAAGGGTTTAGGGTTACGGAGATGATGTTTCTCCAGGTGGATGTTAACCTGATTCATATCTGTACTGAGTTTAGAACCCGAGCAAAAATCATAATTTTAGCTGTTTCTTAGGGATTATAATAGCCAAAATTAAAGACTATTTCTAAGTACCTCTGAGGTTAACAAGGGTGTCTTTACAAGATTTTCCTGGCGGAAGTTTCGGATTCTATGAGCGCTTTAGGGCTTTGGGCTTAGGGCTTAGGGTTTGCGCGCAGGGCCTAGGCTTAGGGTTTGGGCTTAAGGTTTAGGGTTTCGGGTTTAGGGCTTGCGGGTTTAGGCTTTAGGATCCAGGCTCAAGGTTTCGGTTCAGGGTTGTGGGCTTGTGGGCCTAGTTCAGCGTTTCCCCGGACAACAATCCTAAACCCTAGACCCTGAACCCTAAACTCCTAAGCTCTACCCTAAACACTAAACCCTAAACTCTACCCTCAACTTACTTTGGGTTTTGTTGGAAGATCTGGGAACATGGAGCCCTCCCTAAGAGAAGAAAAAACCTTCTGACTGGGACCTCTCCGTACTATAGGGGTGTTCATGTAATTAGAATGGGATTCCTTTGAAGGGCTCCTTCGAGGTGTCTACGATGGTGATTCAAAGGTGCCATGAGGCTTCATTTCATCTAGCGGCCTTCATACCTAGAATAGCGCGTTGGGGTATCGTATATTGTATGTTCCATGTACATAAAACATTCTGATGTTCCGGCCCCTGCAGTTGAACACCTAAACCCCATAAACGCGTACGCGATCTCATAGTACAGTAGAAGCCAGAAAGTTGGAATATTATTATCATAATCCCTTTAAGGCAAAATATAGGGGATCCTGCCATTATTCCATATTCCAACTTTCTGGAGTTCCCTGTAAGGGTATTGGTCTCTCTCCGTGCTACGACACGGCAATCCCCAGGCCCTGAACCTAGCCTTAACCCTTCGCCAAACCTCGCAACACCGGAAGCAGAAAATCCAAACTCGTCCTCATTCCTGGAAACGGCCAAGATACAACCTCTCCGCAGTTTTGATGGAAGCGCAAAAAGCACAAGACAAAGCCTCTCCCTTACTCCGAAAACTTCTAAACCCTAAGCTTCAACCACTAAACCGTAATTGCAAGCACCCGGGGAGAAAGAAAGCATAAAAGCATAAACTTTGCTCAAAGGCCCATTCGAAGAACAGGTCCTCCTGACAAAAATCAAGTGTGGTACTGGGGGACCCACCCCAAACCCCAAACTCCTTAAACCCCAAACCCTCAAACTTGATTCAAAGCTTCAAACCCCAAAACCCAAAACCCTTAAACCCCTAAACCCCTGAACCTAAATTTGAATTCTAAACCCTAAGCCCCTAAGCCCCTAAACCCCTAAACCCTTAAACCCAAACCCAAAACTCTTAAACCCCTAAATCCCCAAACCCTGAACCCCAACTCCCAAACCCCCAACTCCTGTATCCACACGTTACAGGTGGAGTTCTCCCCTCCCTGCGGCAGGCGGACGGAGAGGACCTGGTCTTTCCGGAGGCCATGGGTTAATTCAAAGGGGAAAAAGGAGGGACCCTTGCTGGGGACCCCACCCTACTGGGTATTTCATAGCTATATTGAGGGTATATACCTAGGGGTCCTTATTAAGGGTCCCTCCTTTTACCCTTGGATTAATAGTTTAAGGGCCGAGGGTTTGGGGCTTGAGGGCTTAAGGGTGCCCGCCATTAAGGGGGGGCTTGAAGGGGGGGCTTAATCCCCCCTTCGCCCGAAGGTACAGGGCCCATACTGGAGTTGCCAGTTACAAGTTGTAAGTATAATTACCCTGATAATAACCCTAGTTACTAGTTACTAAGTGCCATGATCCTTTAAGCCCTGAACCCCCATGGATCCCTTACAGACCCCTTTCCAGAACCCTTTAAGGAACCCTTAAAAGATACTAAGCCCCATGATCCTTTAAGTAGGTTTGCTTAGGGTTGTTTGCGGTGGTTGAGGGTTGGCTGCGGGACTATACGCTTCTGGCGCTCGACCTTTCTTCAAATCATCGAGGGTCTCAAACTAAACCTTAAACCCTAAACCCTGAACCCAAAAATTTTTCTGAAAAGTTTTTCCGAGGGACCCATAATACAGGGATATGGGAATCTCTGTACCTAGCCACCCTAACCCTTCAAACCCAGCCGAAATCCTGAAACCCTGAACCCTGGTTCCTCAAAAAGTGTCTCTTCGAAAAAAAGGTGTGGGAAAAATTACATCATAGGGATCCTTAGGGGTGTAGGGGGAGGGGGGGTAGGGGGCCTTAAGGCCCATAATAATAAGGCCTATTTAAGGAAATATAGTCCCCTACACCCCTCCCCCCTACACCCCTAAGGATCCCTATGATTACAGCAGACTCAGAAAAAGGAATCCGAAGGTCCTAACCTAAGGAACAATATTGGTAAGCTACGCAGGCTTCCGTGCTAAGCCCCTAAACCCCCTGAACCCTACTTAGAGGATCATGGGACTTAGTAAGTAAGGCTATAAGTACCCTAATTGGGGTTATAAGTATAGTTACCCTAATAATGACCCTAGTTACTAAGTCCCATGACCCTTTAAGTAGCCCTAATTCCCGAAGGCTTGAACCCCCTAAACCCTGAATCCCAGACAGGCATGTGGGTAGTTGTCAAAATTAGGGCCCCTTTTTGGGTGCCCTAAATATTAGGTGCCGTATTACAATAGGGACCCAAAAAGGGACCCTAATTTTGACAACCACCCATGTGCACACGTCTTACAAGGGTTTCAAACGAGGCGAGGCTTTAGATGCAACATGCTAAAGCTCCTGGACCCTTGGAGTAGGGTCCAAAAAAAACCCTGGCCCCCAAAGCCGAAACCCTCCCCCGGAAGGCCCAAGACCCTGTTTGGAGCCTTAGGGTGGGCTATCTTCTGTTTAAAGCTTGGGGTCTGCTGACTTCGGGAGTTAAGGTATAGCTTAGACGGGGCCCCCACCCTGTAATGGTGCTATAATAGTAATATAATAGGCCCTAATATAATCCTATAGTCACTATTACAGAGTGGGGGCCCCTTCTAAGGTTTAGCCTCGGGGGGTTTTAGTGCTCAGGGTTTAAGGCAATCCAAACCCAAGAAACCCCAACACACTAAGCGAGCCGCCACGTCTGGCTCAGCGACGCTGTTGTCCTGCAAGAGCTATTCCAAAAAATACATATGAATAACAACAACAAACAGCAACAATACGAAATAGAGCGAATAATACCACTAAGACTAGCACAATCATTATGTCAAAACCATAGTAATAATGGCGCAGATGCAGCATCACAGCTCAGGAGTGTGGCGCTGAGCATGGGGAGGCTTCAGGCCGTGATGGCTCTGAAAAACCCACCTCAACCCGATAGGGATTAAGGTTTAGGGGCCGAGGGGCTTAGGGCTTTTACGGGCTTAGGGTTTGTTTAGGGGTTTAGGGTCTAGGGTTTAGGGTTTGAAGGTTTTGGGGTTTAGGGGTTTAGGATTTAGGGTCTATTTGGATATTCAGGGGTAGTTGTAAGTAGGGTTGTAAGTAGGGTTCCTTTGAGGGTTCTATAGGGTTTAGGGCTTAAGGTTTACGGTCTTACTATTGCTTATAACAAAAGTTCTCCTACTTAGGAGCCCACTGTCAACGACCCATGAACCTCCAAGTAACCCCAAACCCTGAACCCGAAGCCGCTACAAGCTGTACTTAGAGGATCATGGGACTTAGTAAGTAAGGTTATAAGTACCCCAATTGGGGATATAAGTATAGGTACCCTAATAATAACCCTAGTTACTACGTCCCATGACCCTGTAAGTAGGCTGCCGGGATTCTGCCTGAGGCTTCGGGCAAAACAGAGATTTGAGCCGTAGACGGAGCTCAAACCAGCAGGCAAACGCAAACTTTCGAAGGTGGGCTTAGAGTTCAGGAGTTTAGTTAGAGTTGAGGGTTTAGAGTTTAGGGGTTTGGTCAGGGTTTGGGGTTTGAGGTTTCGAGGGTTTACGGTTTAGGGTTTGTAGGCCTCAGTAACTTTAATAGGGTTTCGGGGTATCTTACATCATGCATATGCTGCACCCCAACCCCTTTACTCCTAGCCCTGAAACCGTAAGGCTTAATAGTACACGAATGCTGGAGAGTTTAGGGTGTTGGATTCAACTACAGTAGAAGCCAGAAAGTTGGAATATCATTATCCTAACCCCTTTAAGGTAAATTATAGGGGATCCTACCATTGATCCATATTCCAACTTTCTGGAGTTCCCTTAAACCCTAAACCCTAAACCCTAAACCCTATATGGGGTACTATCGGGGCTTGGAATCACAGTGGAGGGCTTTGGGTTCAGGATCTGCGGCAGTAGCTTCTTCGGCTCGTGGCCTGCTATGAGCCCTGCCGTCTTTTGGATCGAACCAGCAGTGAAACACACAGGCGGAAGGTCTATATGTCTAAATGTTCTGCAGCTCATCCTGCACAGCAGTGCTGTCGCCACCAAACATAGCGTCGCCCCAGGACACGACAGATCCATTTCCAAGAAGGGCAGCAAATGCAGAAAAAGATGCTTGGATCTGTTGAACATTCTTCAGCTGGGCCTGCATAGCGGTACAGTCTCCACCCGTGCGACCACCCCCCCAAGTCACGACGGATCCATCTGCAGCAATGGCAGCAAAAGCCCCGCTAGAGGCCTGTATCTCCGCAACATTCTTCAGCTTATGCTGCACGGCACTACTGCTCCCCCCAAAGCGAGCATCGCCCCAAGTGACAACAGACCCATCTTGTAAAATGGCAGCGAAAGCGCTGCCACGTGTACTATTAGAGGCCTGGATGTGCTGCACGTTCTTCAGCTGATCCTGCACTGCGCTGCTGTCGCCACCAAAAATACCCTCGCCCCAGGTCACGACAGATCCATCTGCAAGAAGGGCAGCAAAAGCAGAGAAAGAGGCTTGAATCTGCTGCACATGTTTCAACCGATGCTGCACAGCCTTACTGTCACCTCCAAATTGATCATCTCCCCAGGTCACGACGGATCCGTCACCGAGAATGGCAGCAAAGGCCTCATGAGAGGCTTGGATCTGCTGGACATTCCTCAGCTGCTCCTGCACAGAACTGCTGTTGCCGCCGAAAAGGTCATCGCCCCAAGTCACCACAGATCCATCGCCCAGGATGGCCGCAAAAGCCTCACGAGAGGCCTGGATCTGCTGAACATTGTTGAGCTGATGCTGCACAGCAGCACTATCACCACCGAATCGAGCGTCGCCCCAAGTCACGACAGATCCATCAGCCAAAATCGCAGCAAACGCGCTGCCTCGCAGGCCACTGGTGGCTTGAATGTGCTCCACATTCTTCAACTGATCCTGCACGGCAATGCTGTCGCCACCAAAATTAGACATGCCCCACGTCACGACGGACCTATCCTCAAGAACGGCAGCAAAGGCGCCCTTGGATGCTTGAATCTTCTGAACATTCTTGAGCCGGTCCTGAACGGAGCTGCTGTCACCGCCAGTGTGACCATGTCCCCAAGTGACGACGGATCCATCGCCAAGAATCGCGGCAAAGGACTGGCTGGTAGCTTGGATTTGCTGTACATTTCTCAGCTTCTCCCGCACAGCACTGCTATCTCCACCACACTTGGGATTGCCCCAAGTCACGATAGATCCATCGCTAAGAATGGCTGCAAAAGCCGTCGAATTGCCAGATGCTTGGACTTTGTTTATGTGAAAGGTCAGCGAATCACCATGTTGAAGTCTGGCATTCTTGATCCGCGCACTTCCGTCCAGAATGCTTCCGGACAAATCCAGAAGCCTCCCCCTCCCCACTCCCAGTGCAGATTGTGCTCGACGCTTCAGCGTCGATACCTCTTCATCCAGGCCGGCTTCTATTGTAGCTGTCCGACCACTGAGCAATGCAACTTCCACAGATATCGACATGCTACAAGCGGGATAGAGACTACTGTTGATGATATATATCCTGACCCTTAAGGGCCCTAAACTATGGGAGTTATAGTATATTCCTTTTCATGGGTCATGCAGGATTTATATCATCCTAAACCCTAAAAAACCTATAGATCCCTTCAAGGTGCCCTTATAGATCCTTTTAAAGGAACCCCAGGATTTATATCATCAGCCGATAGGGGTGGGATCCTGCAACACTGTACCTACATTCGGAAGCCCGATGAAAAAGCAGCTGAGTTCAATGCACGCACAGCCTAAAACTGTGCTCCTTCTACTTAGAGGATCATGGGACTTAGTAAGTAGGTTATAACTGGGGTTATAAGTCCCCTAAGTGGGGTTATCCTAATTATAACCTACTTATAACCATACTTACTAAGTCCCATGAGCCTTCAAGTACGGAATTTTAACACAAGCGCCCCTAGTACGGGGGAAAGTAAATTTTGCCATCGATCCTGCCTATGTCAACTTCAGCAACTTCCTGAGCAAGAAGCCCTACTTGGAGGATCATGGGACTTGGTAAGTAAGTAAGCTTCTAAGTACCCTGATTGGGGTTATAAGTTTAGTTACCCTAAAAATAGCCCTAGTTACTAAGTCCCATGATGCTTTAAGTACCAACGCGAAGCAGATTTAGCGTTTATGGGTTTGGGGCTTAGGCTTTAGGAGTTTGGGGGTTGCGGGTTTAGGGTTTAGGGTTTAGGGTTTAGGGTTTAGGGTTTAGGGTTTAGGGTTTAGGGTTTAGGGGGGTTGGCGCCGTCGGAAGGAAGCAAAACGCTGGATCTGCTATACGATCACTATACAGTAAAAGCCAGAAAGTTGGAATATGATTATCCTAAACCCTTTATGGTAAATTATAAGGTATCCTACCATGAAACCATATTCCAACTTTCTGGAGTTCCCTGTACTACTCCTGAGGCTCAACACGCGAGAGTTTGGGACTCCTTGTCCTCGGCACCATGATATAAATCCTGTGGGTTCCTTTAAAGGGATCTTTAAGGGTACCTTTAAGGGGTTCCCTTTAAGGGATCTAGAGGGTTTTGGGTTTAGGGTGATGATATACATCCTGCATTACCTCAAGGACCCTAAACTATGGGAATTATGGTCTATTCCTTTTTATGGGCAATGCAGGATTTGTATCATCAACCGTATCTTGCTTCCCACATACCCTTGGGATATAATAAAAAAATGCCTTCTAAGAGCCCGAGAAGTCGAAAAGCGTAGAATTAGGGTTGTTTTGCGGCGCTGCATGAGAGCCGACATGAAATCCTAATATGGAGTACTTACCACATAACCCTGATCCCTAAACCCTTAACCCCAAACCCCTAAACCCAAAACGCGCAATCAATACCTCCACCGAACCCCACGACCGGCCCACAAAACCCAGGCCCCAAAGCCCAAATCCCTAAGCAGCGCTGCACTCGACCCGAAATCCCCAAAACCAAGCAGGACAGGGTTAAGGATCTAGGGTTTAGGGGGGAATAGGGGTCTAGGGTTTAGGATTTAGGGTTTAGGGTTTAGGGGGGAAAAGGGGTCTGGGGTTTAGGATTTAGGGTTTAGGGTTTAGGGGGAATAGGGGTCTGGGGTTTAGGATTTAGGGTCTAGGGTTTAGGGGGAATAGGGGTCTGGGGTGTGATGCAAGCAGAACAGCACAGCTAGTTATTCAGGCGTCCACTATAACAGCCATGAGTCAAGAAAAAACTGATTTGTTAGTCTAGGATGCAGCCCCCTCTGCTGGCAGGCACGTTCTGATCACGGGTACGTTCCCTAATGAAGAATTGTGGGCTCACCGAAACCCGTCGTAAACCTTAACTGTAATCCCTAAACCCCTGTAAACTCCGGGGCCTAAACCCTTGTAAACCCCTTGTGGAACCATGATAGAACCCAGGAGGTCATTGAATACCATCAACCCCATCCCAAACAAAACAAATCCTAAATCTCAAATCCTCAACACTGGGCTTTTAAGAGGCCAAGGAGAAAAATGCATAAACGTTGATTTCATAATGGTTCCTCTAAGAAAACAGTAGTAAAGTATGCTACTCCAGAGCCCAGAACAACTGGTGAGAACCGTTTGGGGCTCTCTGAGAACTCCGGAGGTCCTTGAATACTACGGCGATGGCCTTCGACCTGGAATCGCCATGGAGCCAACCTTCGCAGGAACGGAGGGAGTCAGGCTCCCAGTGTTTAAAGCTTGGGGGTTTAGGTTTAGGCTTTAGGGTTGAGGTTTAGGGTTTCAAGGATGCTTAGGGTTTAGTGGCATTTTGGCTTCAGGATTTAAGAACTGGAATTTGGTGTTTAGGGTTTGGGATTTGGAATTTGGGGCTTAGGGTTTCGGGTTTACGATGAGCTCGGCTAGCAAATCACCTGTCAAGCAGTGGGTTTTTGATTTAATCTTTGACTAAAACCCACCCGCCACTGACTTTCAAACACAAAGACAACGAAGGTTTTCAATTGCTCACTTGATACATGCTGAACCCTAAACCCTAAACTCCTACTGCGACTGGAACTGCGACCGTGATTGCAACTGCGACTGAGGCAGGGGCTGTGACTCCGACTCCGGCTGCGACTGCGACCAGTACTAAGGTTGATGGGATCTATAAGGGTACCTTTAAGGGGTTCCTTTAAAGGGATCTATAGGGTTTTAGGGTTTCAGGGCTTAGGATGAAAATGTAAATCCTGCATAAACTTTGAAGACCCTAAACTATGGAAACCATAGTACGGGTGATGCAGGATTTATGTCATCAACAGCATTACTGGTGCGAGCAACTACTAGTCGCACAAGAAACCTAAACCTTAGAAGCTGCCCCCACCCTGTAATAGTGGTATAATAGGAATATAATAGGGCCCAAATATAATCCTTATAGTCTTATTATAGTCACTACTACAGGGTGGGGGCACCTTCTAACCTGAACCCAAAACTCTAAAACCTGGAACCCAAAACACCTAAAACCCAAACCCAAGACCCCAAAATCCGAAACATCCTCAAACCCAAAACACCCCCAAAAATCCGAAACACCCTAAACACGATAAAAGAACACAAGACACCCCCCCCCCCCCAAAAAAAAAAAAAAAAAGGCATACAATAAAATAAAAAATAAAACAAAATACATAAATAAATACATAAATAAACCTAAATGAAGCACTACTGGGATCCCAGAAGAGGAGGAGCGCTCAAGAGCTCGAGGCGGCGCCGGGGCTCCGGCTCAGCGTAAACCCAGGCCAGAGGTAGTTGAAGTCCTGCATTCAACCAGGATCTACCCAAACCCTAGGGTTTTAGGGTTTTGGGGTTTTGGGGTTTAGGGTTTTAGGGTTTAGGGTTTAGGGTTTAGGGTAGTATAAACTAGGATCCCCAGTAACCTAAGAATAAAAAGGCCTCTCTTTTTGGTATTGGGTAACTTTATAAGGAACCTAGGACTACAAAAAGGGAATAAGGGTACTACTGGGCATCCTAGGCATTCAACCAGGATCCCCCCAAGGGCCCGTTAACGGTTTAAGGTTTAGGGCTTCTTGGGTTTAGGGTTTAGGCTTTAGGGGATCCCCCCAAGGGTCCGTTAAGTGCTTTGGGTTTAGGGTTTAGGGTTTGGGGGGTTTAGGGGTTTAGGGTTTAGGGCTTAGAATAAAGCCCTTATGGCCCTGAATAGCGGGTATTTGGGGTATATTAGAGGGTAGCTGAAGTCCTGCATTCAAAGACTTGGCTTCGTTTAGGGCTTAAGATTTAGGGTTTAGGGCCAAAGACTCATTCAAAGACCTGGCCTCTCTTGGGGTTTAGGGCTTAGGGTCAACGACCTGGGCTTCTAAAGAGAAGAACAGTTTGAAAAGATGATCTAACTTTAAAAGACGGTAATTCGATCAAACTCAATTCGCAAAGCCTTCAAGGCTTCAGGCAACCCTAAACCGTAAACTACGGTTGATGATATAAATCCTGCATGACCCATAATAAGGAATATACCAGAATTCCCATAGTGTAGGGTCCTTCAGGTAATGCAGGATTTATAAAATCAACAGTAGGACGTTTGGGTTCAGCTTCGTGGCTCGACGACTTCAGGGATTTCCGGGTTTGCGGGGTTCAGGGCCAAGCTAAGGGCTGCGGCGGTTTGGGGTTTCTGTTTGGGCGCCCTTTTCCGTCTTGCAGTCCGGAACCGCAGGGTTTAGGGTTAAGGATTTAGGCTCTAGGGTTTGGGTTTAAGGTTGAAGGTTTAGGGCCAAGTTTAGGGTTTAGAGTTTACAGCTGATGGTTTACCAAGACCCCAAGTAGTACCCTGCAACTGGGGCCCTGCAAGGAGGCAGTCCCCTTATCCTTGACAGCGGGAATTTTGGCCTACCTGGAGGGAAGTGGGGGGAGGGGGTCCTGGGCTCAAAAGCCTGGGGAACTTAGGCTTCCTTCACGGTTTGAAGGTTTTAGGGTTTACAGGGCTTGGGGTTTTAGGTTTGGGGTTGCGGGTTGAGGGTGTAAGGTTCATGAGGCTTTAGGGTTCAGGTTCAGGGCTCAGGCAAGCAAGAATTACAGACATCTCGCATCTCATTTCATGCATCGCGAAGCCCAACTCTAGGCAGCTCTAAACCGGTTCTAGATGCATGACGCCTGCGGCTGGATCTAGATACTAGGTTTTCGTGAGTGTAGAAAGCGCTCCTTGGACTACTGGTGGGTGTATGCCGGGGCCTCCTGTTTGGGGTACGACGTATCAAACCGCTACAAGCCAGTTTCGTTGGGGCTAGGCTAGCAGCAAGGTCTGTGAACACGTCCTGCACTGCCGCCGAGCTGTTGTCCACCTGCGCAGGAGCAGAATCATGAATCCCTGAGAGTGCTCTCTAGCGTACCATGCTTGCATGCTGATCGCTGGACAAAGCAGATGCCGGCTAAAGCAGAGGCTCTGCATGAGAAAACTGCATTCTCAACGGGCGTTTGGTGGCGTAATCCCTTCGGCTACTCCTCACCCCAATTGCCCTAAACCCTGAACCGAGGGCTTCGGGTTTACTATACTGAACTTAGAACCCTAGCAAAAAATATATATTTTCGCTGTTTCTTAGGGATTATACTAACCAACAATGAAAAATATTTCTAAGTACCTCTAAGTTTAAGGCACCTTAATCCCTGAGGGAGAGCAGAGCCCTCTACAACCCGAGAATCCCCGTAAACTCGAAGTACTGTTGATGATATAAGTCCTGCATTACCTTAAGGACCATAAACTATGAGACTTATGGTATGCCTGTAGCCGAAAAGACCTACCTCTTTAGGGTTCCTTATTATGGCTTCTATATAAAGTTCCTTAAACAGGTAGGTCTTTGCGGCTACAGGTATTCCTGATTATGGGTCATGCAGGATTTATATCATCAACCGTAGCACTGGGAGACAGCCTGGAGCTCTTGAACCCTCGAAGACGCTAACTTGCAGGGTTTAGCGTTTAGGGCAGTCACTAGCTACACAAAATGATGAATTCTGTCAAAATCCATGTCCTTCGATTTTCGTTTCCAAAACCCTAAACCGCCTATACCCTAAACCCTCAACCCTAAATCCTAAACCCTAAACCCTAAACCCAAAGATGTGTACCTGGACTTTGAAGTAGCCAGGGAGAAAAAAGTATAGACTGTTGTTTCAGAATGACTCCTTTAAGGAACAAGTACAAAAAATGTATTCAAGTATGCTAACCCTAAACCCAAAACCCTAAACCCTGAACCCTAAATTCGAAACCCTAAACCCTGAACCCTAAATTCTAAACCCTAAACCCTGAACCCTCAACCCTAAACCCTGAACCCTAAACCCTCAAAACCCAAAAATCTGTACCCTAAACCCTCAAAACCCAAAAATCTGTATTGACTCCGGCCCTCCCGCGCCTCAATCGTTGTGGTCAACCTCCCATAGTCGCCACCCACACCTTGAGTTTAGGGTTTAGGGTTTAGGGGTTTAGGGGTTTAGGGGTTCAGGGGTTTAGGGGTTTAGGGTTTAGGGTTTAGGGGTTTAGGGGTTTAGGGTTTAGGGTTTAGGGGTTTAGGGGTTTAGGGGTTTAGGGTTTAGGGGTTTAGGGGTTTAGGGGTTTAGGGTTTAGGGGTTTAGGGGTTTAGGGTTTAGGGGTTTAGGGTTTAGGGTTTAATTAGGGGTTTAGGGTTTAGGGGTTTAGGGTTTAGGGTAGATTCAGGGATAAGGAACCCCAAACTTAAACCCTCATAGAAACGCGTGTGGGAGTTTCCGCACCTACTATTTCGGGTATACTCTATTAGGGTCACCCCCTTGTCGTGCCCTTAAAGGAACCCTTCAAGGAGGCCTCTGGAGCCCTTCAAGAAACGCATGGAAGGCGCTGAAATCCTACACCCCATCGCCCAAAAGGTGCCTTAGGGTTAAGGGTTAAGGGTTTAGGCTTTAGGGTTTTAGGGTTTAGGGTTGAGGGTTTAGAGTTTAGGGTTTAGGGTGTTCGGGTTGAGGATTTGAGGTTTTAGGGTTCGGGGTTTAGGGTTTCGGGTTGTGGCCATGCTTCTCCCACATCGACGAGAGCTCCACCGCACAGTGGGCTCAACAGCGACCGATAAGCCTTCGCGCCATCTGTGCGACAGGCACTGCTCTTTACAAAATGGGAGTTTCCGAAAATACGGGACCCAGATATAGTACCCTAAATAGTACGATCCTTATTATAAGGACCCCCAAATAAGGTACCCCCGAATTTTCGGAAACCCCCAAATCGGCTCATCAGAATCCAAAAGCAGATCCGCCTCGGCCTTTCAGCGTGATGCGATTTTATAGGGGCCTTAACAAGAATACCCAGAGAGCCCAATACCCCTTAATTAAGGAGTATGGCTTAAATTATATAGGGCTTCATATTATGGTTTAAGCTATATTCCTTATTTAAGGGGTATTGGGCTCTCTGGGTAGGGCTAGGGTTCCTTTCAAGGGCTCTATGAGGGATCTATAGTAGGGTTCTAGAGTTTTAGGAGCCTTAATAAGTAGAATACGGTTTGGGGGCCATTATACTAAGGAACCCCCAAAATACTATTAGTAGTTATCCAGGCCCCTATAGTGATCCAGACGTTGCAGCCGAACCAAACTGGATGCGCTCCGTGCGACTGCCAGGTATCTGAGCCAGACAACTCCGTGTTCCCGACCGACAGAACGAAAGGAAACGCTACAAACGTTTGGGGTCTAGGGTTTAGGGTTTAGGAAATGCTACAAACTAAGCCCTAACTTCCCCTAAACCCGAAGCAACCAAAAACTGCCCTTCTGTCTCTCAGCGAATCCCAAGAATTATTAGGTTTATGTGATAGAGTTCAGTTTTCTTAAGGCCTTCAGGGCTTTACTTGAACGTTGGTTTAGCCATGTTGTTGCACTATCGGGTTTTTAATAAGGAGCTCCAAAAAGAAAAAGTGCCAAAAGGGTACCACTGGGGAGCCCAGTCGCACATTGGTTGCATGCGAGGACCCGCGGAGGAAACCCTCATAACCCGTGGGGTAGCCCTTGTAGTAAGCCTTAGAGGATCCCTTACAAAAACCCTTTGAAGGAATCCCCCACAAAAAGTCGGAACGAGGCTCGCTTCACCACCACGGCGCCAACCGTGCCCTCTCGAACATAAATCTCCTTTGGTGGACTTTGGGTTCAGAGTTTAGGGTTAGGCTTGGGGTTGGATTCAGGGGGGTTCTTTTGGGGGCTTTGGGATTGGGATTGGGACCAATGTAGATCCCTTACCCCTGATGCTAGAAGCCTCCTCTCTGAAACAAATTGAATATGGAGATCCTTATATAAAATCGGGATCCTTGTACGTAATTATTGCGGCTTGTCAAGACAGGGAGTTTATTAATCAGGGTTTGGGGTTGTTAGGCGGATAAGGGATTCGGATCGAGAGGCTTTGGACTGCAGCTCCTTCTGTAAAAGTAGGATTCGCAATTCTTTCTGTGTAGGACGACAGCGAGTAACAGGATCCGACTATACCCTACTTCCCACGTCCCATGGTCCTTTCAGTAGATGTGCTTATGGGGGTCAGTGAGTGAGGCCAGTAGCGGCTTGAGGCTTAGGACAATCAAAGGTTCGAGTTTGGAATATGATGAACGATCAACGTCAAAAGAAGCAGCCAACACCGCCGCCACCGCTGCCACAAGCGCTACCATCACCGCCACCACGACCACTGCCACCGCCGCCAACGCCGTCACAACCGCCACTGCCACAATTACCGCAAACACATCATCGCCATCAGCATCGGCGTAAGAGCTCTCCACCACCAACATATCGTACACCAAATGTCATATGCCATTTAAGTTGTACTATACCGTACACTATACATGCATTATGTTGGTTTCACCCAAGGTCAGGAAGCTCTGGAACTGAAGCTCTAGACCAAAGAACGCTGAATCATTGAAGACCAAGACCTACATTCCCACCCCCAGATAAACCGGAATTAATGCCTAAACCTTGAAGCACTGAAAACCTGAATGCAAAATGTAGGGACCTTCATAATTAGAGAAGGGATATATACATATATAATACTATAACTATAAAAAAGGGGACCCCATAATCCTGATTCTAAGTATTAAGGCCACTACATTAATCTAAAGTCTGAAAGGAACCCTCGACCGGCCTGATGCGAGAATTCCGCCCGGCCCACGGGGGGCTCGCTGATGGTGAGCCTTCGCTGCGCTACGAAACCACTAACCCCTAAAACCCCTAAAACCCCTAAAACCCCTAAATCCAACACCCCAAAGGCCGAAAACCTTAAACCCCAAACCCAAAAAAATGAAACTCTAGCCGCTAAAACCCGGAATCTTACAACGCTAAAATCCGAAAAAAAACGAAACTCTGTAACACGCTGCTTGCGAGGGCTTTAGGCCATCCGAGCTCGAGCTCCGGCTTGAACTCTAAGCTTGGACAGTCGGGGAGACTTAGTAAGTAGGTAGTAAGTAAACTTACGTTCGTCGCATCGGGTAGGTCTGTTAACATATACTTGCAAGCCCCGGTCCCCCATAGACTCCTTCACGAAGTCTCGATGTGAGGCCCGGACGTCACGAATTCCTCCGTCGGAACAAAATAGTAGTATATGTTTATTTTGGCATAGAAATTTCTGGGCTGGCAAGGCCACGTAAAATGCACTTTTTGGTATTCCGAGTCCTCCGCCAAACAATACATCTTAGTGCGACAAAACTTTCATCCTGCTGATGTATAAGCACCCTAAAACGGACCCTAATTGGGGAGTTATGGTACTTATAAGTCCCTAAAACAACCAGTTACTAAGTCCCCCGACCCTCCAAGTAGGGTTAGAGGGTGCATGGTACTAAAGGGGTCTTAAGAACTTGAATAGGGTTTTGGTGCCCCTTATAGTTATAGTAGTGAACCCCCCAAAACAGTACAGGTAACTATTATGAACTTGACTAGGTTTTGGTGCCCCTTATAGTCATAGTAGTGAACCCCCCAAAATACTATAGGTAATTATTAAGGCCCCTATATTATGTCTCAGCCTGTGGGCTTGTAGGCTCAGGATTCCACGTTCAGCGTTCAGGGTTTTGTGGTCTCGGGCTCCGGGTCCACGATTTAAGGTTTAGGGTTTAGGATTCACGGTTCAAGGGAGAATAGCTATGGTGTATGGAAAATCCCTTTGTTTGGCAGGGTGCGGAGCATCCTCGCAGCATGAAGCCTCTTATCCCTAAATTGTGAAGCGGTCTGCAAACCCCAGATACAGCCCCCAACCCAGCCGAAACCCTTGAGAAAAGCCTCAACCCACGGTAAACCTTACAACCCTAAACTACGGCAAGCCCGAAAAACCCAAACCCCGAAACCCTTAAACCCTCGTTGAATCCCCAACCACTACATCAGCCTCAAACCCCAAACCATTCCGAGATAGCTTCCCAGACACTCCAATATCCCTTAATTATGAGGAGTGTACCTTCAATCATATTTGGGACGCCCCTACTATAGCTTAAGAGCTATTCCCTGATCAAGGGATATTGAAGTCCCCTAAGCCCCAAAACCGAAAGATCCCTTGTAGATCCCTTAAACGAGCCCAAGATATGTTCTTTTATTAAGGGATATTGGAGTCTCTGGCTTAGCGAGCCCCAGCAGCGAGAAGGACACAGGGTCAGTGCCAGTCCGTGTGCAGTCACCTGCATGGGATGGGTTCAAGGTTTAGGGTGCTAAACCATAAACCCCCACACCCTAAACCCTAAATCCCTTTGTGTGGGGCTTGTCGGCTGGAAGACTGGGCTGAAAGATGTAAGCTTTGGGGTGTAGGAGTTTTGGGGCTAGGTTTGCGGTTTAGGGGCTTAGTGTTTAGGGTTTGGGGCTGAAGGCTCAGAGATTGAGTGCTCGGGCTTTAGGATTTAAGGTTTTCGGGTTTAAAGTTTGGGGCTTAAGGTGCGATATGTAGGATATAGAACCCTAAACCCTGAACCCCCATGCCGGCCCTGAAGGGCACCGGCATCCTTCTTGTCACGACGCCCTCAAGAAAGGGTGCATGGTGGCGACAGCCCAGCGTAAGCGCCTGAATCGCGTATTCCCGAAGCCAGAGGCACCAGACCCTTGTGAAGAAGAGTCTAGGATTTCGTGTCCATGGCTGTTTAAGTAGGTACGATGTAATATGACGTAGTACTACTAACTCTTGAAGCTCTTGACCCCTACCGCCCGACCCTAAAACCCGAAACCCTTTCGAATCTGTCAGAACTCTCCGCAGAGCGCAAAAGCCCCGTGAAACGAACCCTTGAAGCAACACGCAAAGAAGAAACCCTTCAAGTAGCCCAGATCAAGCGCCTGTGTCCAAGCACCACGGGTAAATGGGCTCGATAGGGTTCCGCAGGGGGTTGCGGAGACTGCCAGGCAAGAAGAAATCCTGGCACAGTTCTGGGAATTCAGGGTTTTGGGATTCACTTCTGAGGCTTCAGATTTTGGGATTTAGGGTTCAAGGTTCTAGAATTCAGATTCTTGTGTTCAGGGCTGCAGGGTTTTAGCACTGAGTTTATTGCGATTTCCCTGAGGCTCCGGGAATTCACATGCTGGGCTTTTTCGACATCCGCTCCTCAAGCACTACTTTAAAACAAATCCGAACACCCTTAAACCCGCCACACAAATGCCTAAACCGCCTTGAACTCCTCAACCAAATGCACTGACTCCCCGAACCTCGCCGGGAACAGGTTCAAAAAAGGTATTCAAGTATGGCACCCTAAACCCCTAAACCCCTAAACTCCTAGACCCCTAACCCCCAAAACCTCTAAACCCCTCAACCCTAAACCCCCAAAAAACCCTAAACCCTAAGCACAGGTCCTGGGCATATTCACCCCTGAACCCCCCCAAAACCCCCAGAAACACAAATCCTGGGCATAGTCACCCCTAAACCCCCAAAACCCCAGAAGCGCAGCTCCTGGGCATAGTCACCCCTAAAGCCACAAAAAAAAAACCACTGAACCCCCCCCCCCCAAAAAAAAAAAAAAAAGAACAGAAACCTCGCCTGGGCATAGTCATCCCTAAAACCGTAAACCCCCCCAGCAACCCCCAGAATCCCGGCTCCTGGGCATAGTCGGAGTATGCCAGGACCAACTCCAGGTTTTCGTCTCCCAGGGGTGGATCCATGGCCGACAAGCTGATGTTCCTGCAGTTTTGCTGGGGGCTCCTTTAAAGGGATCCTTTAAAGGGATCCTTTAAAGGGATCTATAGACAAGCTGATATCCCTGGGTGTAAGGTTAAGAGGTTTAGGGTTTAAGGGTTTTGGGTATTCCTGGGTGATTTAGGGTTCCTGGGGTTTCTAGGGACTCCCTTAAAGGGACTCCCTTAAAGGGATCTAGAAGGGATCCTTTAAAGGGATCTATAGGGTTTAGGGGTTTTGGGTTTAGTGTGGAGGGTTTAGGGGTTTAGGGATTAGGGTTTGCAGGATTTAGCGTTTAGGGATTTACGGTTTAAGGTTTTGGTTCCTTAAAGGGTTCTATACGGGTTCTAGAAGGTTTTGGGGTTTTTGGGTTTGGGGGTTTAAGGGCTTAGGGTGTAAGGTTAAGGTTTAGGGTTTTTTCGTTTAGGGTTTGTGGGTTTAAGATTTAGGATTGAGGGTTTAAGGTTTAAGGTTCAAGGTTTGGGGTTTTGTGTTTAGGGTTCGAGTTTCGGGTTGAGAGCTTATTCCTGGGGCTCTAATCGGGGTCCTTAAATATGAAGCAAGCTTCTTTAACCCTAAAAAAGGTTTCGCATTGAACTACGGTGTTCCTGGAGCTCTAGCAGCAGGCCTTCATCAGTATATCGCTTCTTGGAGGGGTTCCTGAAAGAACGTTTATACGGGTTCTGCAGTGGTCTTTCTGATCTAACAAAGGGGCCTCCATAGCTAGAACAAATTTGGAGGTTTAGATTCTAGTATCGCTTCATAGATTAAGAAGTAACACAACTCCTACCCCTGAATTCAGGCTTTTGAGCTAGCTGGGGGGAGTCTCTCAAGGGGGTCGCCAGAGTTCGTGCTGTAATCATAGGGATCCTTAGGGGTGTAGGGGGAGGGGAGGTAGGGGGCCTTAAGGCCCATAATAAGGATCAATAAGGCCTAGTTAAGGAAATATAGTCCCCTACACCCCTAAGGATCCCTATGATGTAAGCCTGTCTGGGCTCCAGCCGCTGGGACAGCTTCTCGCCGTAGCGTGTCCAATACGTTTCGAGCGCGCAGGCTTTGGTGAGTTTGAGCCGATCTTCTAACTTTTTAACCTTCCCTAAACCTCTAAACCCTAAACCCCTAAACCCTAAACCCTAAACCCTAAACCGCTATCACTTCTCGCCAACATGGGTCCCGCAGGCGAGTTTTTTCCGCCAGAGGTCCGGCGTCATGTGGCTGCGCTAGCAGCTGCAGCGTCGGGCGACACATTTCCCAACGGACGTTCTGCCGGATGCAGTGAGCCACATGGGAGTTTCCGACAACTAGGGGTACCTCATTTTGGGGTCCTCCTTTTAAGGATCCTTTTATTTAGGGTACTATATTAGGGTCCCCTATTTTCGGAAACTCCCACATCTTCTGCCTAAAGATGGCGCCAATCATGGTTTAGGGTTGGCTTGTAGGGGATGGGCTCGGGATGTTATGGTTTTGGATTTCGGATTTTGTAGTTTTGAGGCGTGGGAAGCATTCAGGACATGTGGGGTTGGAGGCCTCAGGGCTAGGGCGTGGGACTTTGGAGTTAAGGGTGGTGCTTTACTTAGAGGATCATGGGACTTAGTAAGTAGGTTATAACTGGGGTTATAAGTCCCCTAAGTGGGGTTATCCTAATTATAACCTACTTATAACCTTACTTACTAAGTCCCAGGAGCCTCCTTATAGAACTCTTATAGAAACCCTATAGATCCCTTTTAGATCCCTTTAAGGAGCCCTTTAAGGAACCTTACTTACTAAGTCCCATGAGCCTTCAAGTAGGGTTTCGGGCTTAACATTCAGCCAAACAGCGACCCCATCAAACCCTGCAAAAGGCTGTACACACGCGAATCCCAAGCCCTAAAAAGGAGCCGCTGAAGGACCCAGAGACTCCGTTATCCCCTAGATCCCCTAGTTAAGGAATACACCTTACGGAATAGACCCTAGATTCTAGTAGGGGTCCCTGATATGATCTTAGGTATATTCCTTAAGTCAGGGATAATGGGGCCCCTGAAGGAACCAGGACACCGAAATTGCGGCCCCGGGTCGTGCAAAGTGTGCCGTTGAATGGTGATTGCCAGCTGATCTGCTGGGGCCACGCCCAGCGCAGCGCACTCTGGGCCTCTCAGGGTTTGGGCTTAAAGTAACAGCCAGAAAGTTGGAATATGATTATCCTAAACCCTTTATGGTAAACTATAGGGTATCCTACACTGAAACCATATTCCAACTTTCTGGAGTTCCCTGTAGGGTTTCAGGGTCTAGGCTCCCAGTTCGAGGCTTCAGGTGCTGGCCCACGAATTAGGGCGTGGGATACAAAATGCAATTTGCACAAGCCCCTTGGACCCAAAACAAGTCTACATTAGAAGGGCCCCCACCATGTAATAATGGTATAAGAGGAATATAATAGGGCCGTAATGTAATCCTTATAGTCACTACTACAGGGTGGGGGCAGCTTCTAATCTACATGCATCAATAGCCCGTTAGGTCTCTGCAAGAGGTAACAAACAGGAAACACGAGTCCTAAACGGCTGTGTTGGGGCTTCGGAAACCCATATGGTTATACCATACTTGGCGTGAATATGGTTATTGTTTACTTATATTCAGGCACCCTGCGGGAAAAGTATGGGTATTTATTGCGATCCCTATAGTACTTATGCCGAAACCCGAAACCCAAAAGCCCTGGTTTAGAGCTCAGGGCTTAGAGCCCCGCAAAAAACATGGAACCCCGAAAGCCCACAGAGCCTCTACGGTCTGGGGAGCCCAAACCCTGTAACCCCTACTTGGAGGATCATGGGACTTAGTAAGTAGGCTCTTTATAGGGTTCCTTGAAGGGTTTCGTAAAGGGTTCCTTAGAGGGATCTATAGGGTTTCTATAAGGAGGATCATGGGACTTAGTAATTCGCGTTATTATCAGGGTAATTATGTTTATAACTACTTTTAACCCCAATTAGAGTACTTACAACCTTACTTACTATGTCCCATCATCCTCCTTATAGAACTCTTATAAAAGCCCGAAAGATCCCTCATGGATCCTTCTAAGGAACCCTAAAAGGAGCCTTGACTTACTAAGTCCCATGACCCTCCAAGTAGAGCCACGAACACCAAAATCCGAAACACCCGCCCGGATCCAGCAACCGCTCAGAGTCCCAAAGATCAAAAAGCTGCGCATTCGTTGGCCGCGATGTTTCGGGAGGCTCTAGGATTTACTTAAAGGATCATGAAACTTAGTAACTAGGGCTATTATTAGGGTAATGATACTTATAACCCCAGCTAGGGTACTTATAACCTTGCATGTAAGTCCCATGATCCTCCATTATAGAACCCTATTATAGATCCCTTTAAGGAACCCCATATAGAACCCTATAGTACCCATATGAAAAAGGGATCTTATAGCCTTGCTTGCTAAGTCCCATGACCCTCCAAGTAGGGTTTAGGGGAGGCGTTACCTCGGACATACTGACGTAACAGGTTCAACCCACCAGTCCTTCAGCTCGGAGGCCTGAAAAGGTGGGATGAGGGTTTAGGGTTTTAGGGTTTTAGGGTTTTTGGGTTTAGGGTTTAGGGTTTAGGTTTAAGCAATCAAGGAATAAGAAGGTGGTTAGTAGAGCCTTATGAAGCTACTACGCAGAGCACCTACATAATGCCAGGTGGCCAGGCAATGTAGCTTACATCATACGTTCTACAATCTGTGGTGTATTCCCTAACGCTAGACCCTAAACCTTAAAAACCTAACTCCTACACCCTAAAACCCCTAAAACCCCTAAACCCCCACATCCCTCAACCCTAAAACCCCCAAACCATAAGCCTCCAGGGGATGCTAGGCTCTCCGGATTGATAATCAGAGTGTGCGGCGCTATTGCGTTCGTAATTTTCTAGACCCAACAATAAGCTAGGAATAAAAAGGGGTGCCCTTTTTGGTTCAAAGGGGTTTATAAGGGAACCTAAACCTTAAAATTCGGAATAAGGGCCTACTCTGGGTCCTAGTAATTTTTAGGGGCAGGGCACAGCCTCAAAAGCTGCAAACTCCTCAAAAGGTGGAATGAAGGTAGGTAGGATTAAGGATCCCTTACATAAGGACTCTTAGTTGGGAATATCCCACCTACCTTCATCCCACCTTTTGAGGCCTCCGAATCTCTCTCTCCCCCCCCACCCCCACCCGCCAACGCCGGACAAAGCGCGGGCCCTCAAGGGCATATACTGCGCTAACTAGGATGCTAGAGCCCAGCTTTCAGGCTGAAAGCGCATGGGCCTTTACGTTGATTTGGGTTTGGGATGTTCGGGTTTAAGATCCATACGAAAGCGCTATCCCATATAGAAGCCCCCCGTGCAGCGAAGGGATATCCTTGCAAAATGCGTATGCCATCGTATGCCTATCCATACTGAACTTAGAACCCTAGCAAAAATTAGAATTTTAGCTGTTTCTGAGGGATTATAATAACCAAATAAAAAAATCATTTCTAAGTACCCCTAAGCTATGTGCTTTCTCGGGGCCTTGCCTCCTCCACTCTCAGAGTTCGAGGAGGGTCCATTGCGCTCGAGTTGTACTCGCTCGTGTACACCGCGATGCACACCTGAAGCACGGCGAATCTCGTGTGCTGTAAGGTTTATGGAACCCTAATCCCCGATCCCTGATCCCTGAACCCTAATCCCTAAACCTAAACCCTTACCCCTAAAGCCTAAACCAGGGCTCAAGTATCATATTTTAAAGTTGGGTCCGCTGGGCGGCAAGATAGAAGTACCTCCAACAAAAATGAGCTCCCCTTCAATTTGCCGATGGAGGTCTTGCCGGGGTTGAACTCACTGCTATCCAACGAATTACAACACCCATGTATACATGCAGTCATTATATCTTTGAGAATGTCAAACCAGGAAGGCAGCAAAAAGGATATTGATGTCATGGCTCTGGCTAATACCGTGACTTTGGTATCCGAAAGGGAGCTACCACGAAGCATACTCAGGAATCCCTGTGGCTTTCTGTGAATTGAAGGTTTTATTCTTTAAACGATTTAAGAGTTCTCGCCATCGAAAACAACTGACCCGAAGCCTTTCAGCATATCGTACTGCGCCCTTCGAGTCCTACGGTTGATGATATAAATCCTGCATTACCTTAAGGGCCCTAGACTATGGGAATTATGGTATATTCCTAATTATGGGTAATGCAGGATTTATATTATCAACAGTAGGTTTCGGAGTCTGCAACTCAAAGAACAAGCTCAGGCGGTAGCAGCTCGCAGTAGAAGCAGTAGCAGCAGCGGTACTAGCAGTAGAAGCCGTAATCGTGGTCGCCACAGTCGTCGTCGTAGTACTTAGAAACAATGGTGGTTGGAGTAACAGGATAGCAGCAGCAGCTGCTGATTAGCACATACCGCCTTGTGCCACCCTTAGAGGGCTCAATATCGTGGCCTTCGCCTTGAGAATCAAAATAGGGTCTTGGGGTGCATGATGGTGTAATGACAATAGGGAACCTTAGGAATACTTGGGCTTCTACCTCTCGCGACCAAAAGTAACCGTAAACGGAACCCGTTAGTGGAAGACTGAAAGGAACCCCAGAAGGAACCCCCTCAGACGAACCCTTAAAGGAAGCCTTGAAGAAGCATTTAAAGGAACCCTTAAAGGAACGCCCCCCCCCCTTGGACAGTTCCAAATCCCACCATTACGATCCAGCCGAAACCCTAGAACTGAACTTCATTTCGAGATCCGAAACAACAACCCTAAAGTTAAAACTCTGGTCAATATGGGAGTTTCCGAAAATTAGGGTACCTTATTTTGGGTTCCTTATAATAAGGATCCTACTATTTGGGGTCCTATATTAGGGTCCCCTATTGTCAACATCACAGAACTCATCAATCCACTCCCACCTCGCAGGCAATCGTCTCCCCGTCCGCTTTACGTGGTCGCGTACACTCCTGCGACTGGCCCGGGACAATCCGCACCTGCCAAAGCTTCATCAAAGGGTTTATACGATTGTACTCAGCGTTTTGCTTTACGGCAACGGCATCATACGACCTTACAAATGCTTCTACGTCTCATTTTGGTGTCTTTTGCGGTATCGGGTTAGGCAAGGCTCTGCTTGGAGGATCATGGGAGGTAGTAAGTAAAATTATAAGTACCCAAATTGGGGTTATAAGTAGTTTTAAATATACCTACCCCAATAATAACCCTAGTTCCTAAGTCCCATGATCCTTTAAACCCTAAACCTCCTTTGAAACCCTAAACCCCCGTAGATCCCTTTATAGATCCCTTTAAGGAACCCTTTAAGTTACTAAGTCCCATGATCCTTTAAGCACCCTAAACCCCCCCATAGATCCCTTATAGATCCCTTTAAGGAGCCCTTTAAGGAGCCCTTTAAGCACTGTTTAGGGTTCAGGGCTACGGCTCGAGGATTGATCCACGATCTACTGTGCGGAACTCTCCAGGCGCAGGCTTTTTGTCCTAAAGTCCTAGACGCTTTAAGGCTCCTTCAATAGGGATCTCTAGAGTTCCTTTAAAGGGATCTCTAGGGTTCCCTAAACCCTAAACTGGATCCTGCTGGGAATTTGATGTGTTGGATTCGGGACTAGCGGGTTTGAGTTCTACCTGTCGACGAGCTGAATTATGGAGTACATAGCTCTACTCCCCTTGGAAGGTAAGCAAAAAACTACTTTTTCGGAGACCCCTATAAAAGAAGACCGGAACCAAAAAAGGAACAAAGTAACAAAGTCTCCAAGAGCCTTAAAGATAGGGCTTAGGTCCAGAGCCTAGAGCTTGGGATTTACGGTTTGGGGGGTTCAGGGCTTCGGGGTTCAGGCCTTTCGGAGTTAGGAGTTTGGTGTTTGGGGGTTTAAGGTATGGAATTAATGTAGGGCCTTTATGAATAGAATACGGTGTGGGGGGGTTTGTTATACTATACTTACAATGAGGAACCCCCAAAAAACCCTATTCTGATGATTAAGGCCCCTACATTAAACCCGCAAATATCCCTTGCAGTATTCCTTCTTGCCACCTTTAAAAGGAACCCTTAAAGAAACCCTATTCTAATTGTGAAGAAATGCCGGTAGAATAAGGAAGTACTCCGTTTTCCGGAGGGCCTTTCTCATTCTGCCTTTAGGGTTTAAGAGTTTCGGGTTGGGGGGTTTAGGGTATAGAATCAAAGGCTCACAGGAGTGTTTATAGTAGAAGCCAGACCGTTGGAACATTAGTATGCTCATGCTACGGTAAAGCAACTTTCTAGGCCCTGGCCCCTGACTGTTGCGAGAAACCTTGGTCTTTCTTCGGGGTTCTGGGGGCCCGGTCCCTGGCTGTCTGTGTCTTTCTTCGCCCAGTGGCTTTCCTAAGGAACAAAAGTAAGTGTTTACGGAGACAACGTTGGCAGCAGCATCTGAATAAGCCGCGCCAGCACGCCCAACATTAGAGGACGAGGTCTCGACCTGATCCCAATTTCGCTCCTGAGCAACACCTGCAGCACCGCTCCTGTCATCCAAGACCACATCTGATGCTGAAACAGTGCTGTGCATGAGTGCTGTACCCGTGGCACTCGTGTCTGTGCAGCTCAGGCAACCGAAAATTCGCTATCCCTTACAGAAATCCTTATTAATGGGCCCCTTTAAAAGGAGCCCCTTAAAGAAACCCTATCCCAATTCTTCAGTCATAGTACAATATACCCCCGCCAAAAAAAACCTATTCCAATCATTAAGGCCCTTACATGAACGGCTCACGGGAGTGGTTCGGGCTTCCGGGTTTCGCGCTTCGAGATCTCGGATTTCGAGTGAAGAACAGAGCTTCCCCACAGGGAATTGCAGGTTTAGGCGCTGATTGTCTTTATGATGGGTTTAGGTTTAGGGTCTAGGGTTTAGGGTTTAGGGTTTGGGCAACCCCAAACACTCAACCCTACACCTTAAACTTAAACCCCAAACCGTTTGCGCTGTCGGAAGCAGGCCTCAGGCGCCGACGTATTACCTCACGCTGCTTAGGGCTTCAGGATTTAGGGGCTGCCACAACCCCAATTTAATTGGGGTTGTGGCTAATTATTAGGAACTTAGGGTTCCAGGGCTTGTTGTTGGCGGTTTAATTCCCTTACATTGCATAATAATCTCAGCTGTGTTGTGCGGTCTGCATATACACCTTGTATACAAACCTACCAAAAAAGACCGATGTTTAGGGCCAAGGCTTTCGTGGCTTGTGGGCTGAGGCACAGGGCTGTGCAACCTTGCTTGAACCACAGTTGCCACCAGTCGCACTCCCTCTGGTGGCTTTATTGCACACCCCCAGATCTCAAAACCCTGTCTTCAGCAAGGCCAATTTATGATCCGCAGCCTGTTCCAATTAACGCACCCTTCAATGGTCGTGGGATGTAGCGAGTAGCGACACACAAGTCGGCTTGCAAGATGGCTATAAACATCAGAAGCGTCCTTTGAGAGGCGATGGAAGGGCCTCCATTCGGAGTTGGCCTCGCCCGGCATCCTAGTCCCTTAACAGATAACCTAAAAGAAGGTATGTCAACAGACTGTCTGTTCTTGCTTAGGCGACCTTGGGAAAGGACAACCCTGGAACTTTTCGGAGGGTTCAGGGTTTAGGGTTTCAAGCGGAGCCTACAGCCTAGACTGTAACGCTACACGCCCCAACCTCTTGAACCCCTAAACCCTTCAACCGAAAACAAAAAAGAAGCCGAACAACTAAAGACTCAAGTCTATGTCAAACCCGAGGCTCGCATGCACTCTAGACTCTAAATTGTTGATCATCCCGAGCAGCCAAACCTCCACCATGTGGGTAGTTCTCTAAGTTAGGGTCTCTCTTCAGGTCCCCAAGACACCACGGCACGCTTGTAAAAAGGACCCTGAAGGGACAATGATGTAGCTGGCGATAATAAGTCGAAAATAGAATACGATATGTATGGTAAAAAAACTGTACAGGGACTATTATAATGAGAAATGCTTGCTAATTCATGCCAAACGCCGAATACAGGGGCGAGAACAATTTATTAGAATAGTCCTCCAGTATACACATGCTAGTTACAATATATCGCAAGAAGTTATGTTGAAACAATTAAAGCACCACACCCCTCTGACCCTTTCAACACACCCCAAACCCTAAACCCTAAACCTTAAACGCCGGCCCAGCACAGTTGGTGCTCATGGTCCCCAGAGGGCAGCCACAAAGGCCCACCCGGTAGTCGCAGGCGACCCGGTACCTCGGTTTTGCGGGTTCAAGGCTTTGGGTTTGGGGTTCTAGGTTTAGGCCATTCAAGGTTTTAGTAAAGGCCGTTACAACGAATTGTACCAAGCTTGTGAAAAACAAACCCTAAACCCTAAACCTCTAAACCCTCAACCCTGAACCCCACAAACCCGTAAGCCCTACACCGTAAACCCTAAACATCCCGAATCCTAAGCCTCCTCCCATTCCGCCGAAGCTCCCATGGGAGAGATGGCCACAGTCCTGCATGCAGCAGGCGCCGGAACCCCAAGCCCGATTCGGATGTTGCAGGATTTCACAGTCTGCTGTGGCTCTACTTAAAGGGTTCCTTAAAGGGCTCCTTAAAGGGCTCCTTAAAGGGAGGGGGGGTTTAGGGTACTTAAAGGGTTCAGGGTTAGGGTTGTTTCTTCATAGTCCACTATGCAAGGCTTTGTGGAAAGCACTGTAACGGTGTGGAACAAGGATATATCAAAGCGCACAAACAGTTCTACCCCGCTTCTTGTGAGGATTTTTGCAGGGTTTATGAAAGGTTTATCAGGGTTACGTAGGGCTCCGTCGGGTTTAAGGCTCACAGTTTGGGGTTCGGCCTTGTTTTACCGAGCCATTTCCTCAGCGCGAAAGGGTTCAGCACTTCGAGTCTAGGGTTTAGCTCTTGAGCTTGAGGTTTAAGGGTTCGGGACTCGGAGTTGACCCTAAACAACCCTAAACCCCAACCCTAACTGAACCCTGCAATCCCTGTCTCGACAGTAGCCAACTCACTACACCCCTGTTCTCCCTACAAATCCCAACCCGCGTTTTAACGTTCGTTGAGGGCTAGATCGAAGGTACCATTCTACTCTTCTAAACTCCTTATCTAGGATGCCCAGTAACCTAGAAATAAAAAGTGCCCCCTTTTTGGTATTGGGTAACTTTAAAAGGAACCTGGGATTACAAAAAGGGAATAGGGGTACTACTGGGCACCCTAGTTATAAATTTCTACAGGTCCCTAACCAAACCCTACACATCCAGCTTGGTTCTACACACCTGCAAGAGCGAGAAGACTTTAAGCGTTTAGGGCTTAGGGTGGAGAGCCCAACAGCCCGTCATCAAGGGGTTTATCAACAACCTTAAAGCATACATCCAAAAAGCTGATTATTGTTGGTAGTGTGATTTGGTGTTGTGAGGATCAAGAAGAGGCCAGAGAAATCTGGTACTGGAGGTTCACGGATAGCTATACGTGGGGTGCAAAGGATGACTATGATTATAAACCATGTAATGGGACGTAAAACCCCACTGATAACTACCCATGAACCTCCACGTACCCATGAAGCTCCAAGTAAGCAAGGAAGATGTCCTCAGACTAAGGGGGGGGGTTGATATGAACCCTTAACCCTAAACCCTAAACCCTATACTGGACTTAGAACCCTAGCAAAAATTATGATTTTAGCTGTTTCTTAGGGATTAAAGTAACCACAAATTAAAAAAATATTTCTAAGTACCCCTAAGAAAACCTAAAACCTCAGCCCGTCCTCCGCGCATCTCGTGCACCCAGACCCGAAGGAAGCCGGATCCAACTGCGGCCCCCCTGCGAGAGAGTGCAGGGCTCTCCTTTAAAGGGATCTATAAGGGTACCTTGAAGGGGTTCCTGTTAGGGATCTATAGGGTTTTAGGGCATAGGGATATAAATCCTGCATTGCCCATAATGAGGAATATACCATTACTCCCCTAGTTTAGGGTCCTTAAGGTCATGCAGGGTTTGTATCATCCACCGTCCCACTTGGGGATTTGAGTTTAGAGCTAACATAGGGGCCTTAATGATTAGAATAGGGTTTTGGGGCCCATTATACTATAACCATAATAAGGAACCCCCACCAGAATGAGGTAATTATTTAGGCCCCTATAGTACGGGTTTAGGGGTTAGGGTGTACAGTAGGGCTTTTCGTCCAGAGTTTGCGTAGAGTTCAAGCACTTGGAGGGTCGGGGGACTTAGTAAGTAGGTAGTAAGTAGACTTATAAGTACCCTAAAAGGGACCCTAATTGGGGTTATGGTACTTATACGTCCCTAAAATAACCAGTTACTAAGTCCCCCGACCCTCCAAGCAAGGATTAAGGATTCACGGTGTGCAGCTGCGCTCCGTTCGGAGTGATGTGAGCGGTCACAGAGGTGATGCAAGAACTCCATATTGGCACTTTAGACCCTTTTGGGTATAGCTGTGATGGATGCCCTCGCCCTAAGCCCTAGACATGAAATCCAATGCCGGTATCTACTTGGAGGTGCCATCGGTAGTTATAAGTAGGGTTATGAGTCCCCGAATATGGGTTATAAACTTACTTATCTTACTTGTAACCCCACTTACAACGGTTGATGATACAAATCCTTCATTACCCATAAGAAGGAATATGCCATAATTCCCATAGTTTAGGGTCCTTAAGGTATTGCAGGATATATATCATCAAGCGTAACTACCCATGAACCTCCAAGTAGACCCCGGTGCTCTCTCTGTCTGGATCGGGCTCTAGGCCAGTATGCCAGAAACCAAAACATCCAAGGGTAAAAGGAGGGACCCTTAATAAGGACGCCTAGGTATATACCCTTAATATAGCTATTATACACCCATTATATAGCCCATGATAGGGTAGGGGTCCCCATTAAGGGTCCCTCCTTTTCCCCTTTGAAAACCAAAACATACGACAGACACCAAGGAGTTGCGAGGGGGCAAACACTGCGGACCTGCCAAGACTTTACTTAAAGGATCATGGGACTTAGTAACTAGGGTTATGATTAGGGCAATAATGCTTATAACCTCAATTAGGGTACTTATAACCTTACTTACTAAGTCCCATGATCCTCCAAGTAGGGGCTTGACTGATTGAAGGCAAGAGCCGGGAACATGTTAGAAGCTGCCCCCCACCCTGTAATCGTGACTATAAGGATTATATTCGGGCCCTATTCTATTCCTATTATACCACTATTACAGGGTGGGGGCCCCTTCTAACGAACATGATTTTTTCGGGAGCACGACTTGCAACAACACCCCCAAAATACGCACCGGACTGCGGCGGGAGAGCGAAACATCAGCTGGACTTCCCTGAGGACGGGGCCACACCCGGATTGATGCTAAAGTGTCTTCCTGAATCTGCGACACCCCTTAACCCGAAGCTCCACACCGCACGGATGCTTAGGTGAAAAAAGCCCTGACACATCAAGGTCCCTGGGACGACGGGCAGCAAGCCTGCCTGCAAAAGAGATTCCCCCTTTGAAAGAGAGCGCCAATCTGTCCTCGTCCGGGAAGCAGTAGCTGTCCTGGATACAGCCAGAACCCCCTGAACCCTAAACCCTAAACCCTGAACCCTCACCCCCAAACTCTAAACCCTAGACTCCTACCCTAAACCCTAAACCCTAAACCCTGAACCCTCAACCCCAAACTCTAAACCCTAGACTCCTACCCTAAACCCTAAACCCTGAACCCTCACCCCCAAACTCTAAACCCTAGACTCCTGCCCTAAACCCTAAACCCTAAACCCTGAACCCTCAACCCCAAACTCTAAACCCTAGACTCCTACCCTAAACCCTAAACCCTGAACCCTCACCCCCAAACTCTAAACCCTAGACTCCTGCCCTAAACCCTAAACCCTAAACCCTGAACCCTCAACCCCAAACTCTAAACCCTAGACTCCTACCCTAAACCCTAAACCCTGAACCCTCACCCCCAAACTCTAAACCCTAGACTCCTGCCCTAAACCCTAAACCCTAAACCCTGAACCCTCAACCCCAAACTCTAAACCCTAGACTCCTACCCTAAACCCTAAACCCTGAACCCTCACCCCCAAACTCTAAACCCTAGACTCCTGCCCTAAACCCTAAACCCTAAACCCTGAACCCTCAACCCCAAACTCTAAACCCTAGACTCCTACCCTAAACCCTAAACCCTGAACCCTCAGCCCCAAACTCTAAACCCTAGACTCCTACCCTAAACCCTAAACCCTGAACCCTCACCCCCAAACTCTAAACCCTAGACTCCTACCCTAAACCCTAAACCCTAAACGCCCTAAGCTGCGAGGGACCGGTAACCGGAAGCCTCGGCTCAGTCGGGGTTTGGGGGTTTAGGGGGTTTAGGGGAAAAGGAGGGACCCTTAATGGGGACCCCTACCCGATAATGGGCTATATTATGGGTATATAATAGCTATATTAAGGGTATATACCTAGGGGTCCTTATTAAGGGTCGCTCCTTCGACCCTTGGATTTAAGATGCAGGAGTTAATGCGAGGGGCTAGGTTCAAGTTTGAGGGTTTCGGTTTCGGGTTTAGGATTCAGGGTTTTGGCATTTGGAGGTTTTAGGGGTCACGGCAGTGTTGAGAGGTTGTGAGTTCGGGCTTGGCGGTTTGCAGGGCAGGACTACTTCAGAAGGGTTTATGGTTCAAAGTTTAGGGTTTAGGAAGCTGGGTAGGTGGCCTTCTTGCAGCGGCTTCAAAGCACCGAATAGCCCTGCCCCAACTTGGTAAGAATTAAATTGCTATTGCACCTTAAGTTGGAAATTTTACGCCCAGCACTCAAATTCATACGGTGGCTTTTGCCATTGTTTCGCAAGCTCCTTTGTGAGACGTTCTCCCCGCAAACCGGAAAGAAACGGAGCGCCCAATAGTGCCAGAAGCAGGCAATGCCTTTAATCCCTGGTTTGGGGAACCTAAACCCCGAACCCCAATCCTTTAACTCTAAGGCAAAACTTAACTCAATCAAGAAGTCCTCCAGGGGTGCCGGGGTGGCCCTGAGCGAGATTCCCTTCAGGAAGCAAAAGGACCTGGCCGCTTTCTCGTAGATTGCCGAACCCTACTTGGACCCAAAGTGCATATTTTTTGTAGGCTCCCTACAAAGTTCCTATCAAGGGACATAATAAGAAACGACATGTAGCTTAAGGTAAGCCCCACCTGGACCCAAAACAACCTACCTTCTCAAGGACTGAAACAAGGAAATCATGATAAGAAATCCAATGAAGGTAGGTTTTTCATATCCAGTTAACCCGAAACCCTACACCCTAAGCTGGTCTCGAGTTTGGGGTAAGGTTTGCGTTTTAGGTTTAGAGTTCAGGATTTGGGGCTCGTGCTGAGGTTTAGGGATGTTTAGGGCATTGGGGTCAAAACATGCTGGGGTGGAGGTTTTGCTGTCACGTAAGAGGAGCTTTTGATGGACTACTTGGAGGGTCGGGGGACTTACTAAGTAGTTCTTTTAGAGAGTTATAAGTACCATAACCCCAATTAGGGTCCCTTTTAGGGTACTTATAACTCTGCTTATTCCCTACTACTTACTAAGTGCCCCGACCCTCCAAGCAAGATGTCTCGTTGAAGTACACGGTTTGCTTGCAGTGAAAAGAGGACCAATACTCACTATCTGAACAAGAAAACCACTTTCGCTTTCGTACTGTTGATGGACAAAATCCTGCATTACCGATTATAAGGAAATATACCATAGTTCCCACAGTTTAGTGTCCTTAGGGTCATGCAGGATTTTGTCCATCAACAGTACTCTTCGTGTAAGCCAAAGACTTCAATGTCCAGTCGTCGGCTCAAAATGGGTTCAAAGGCATTAGGATTCGAACTTTCTTGCCTCTAAGATTGAGGAACCCTAAACCCTAAACCCTAAAACCCTAAACCCTAAACCGTGTGCTTTCGGGATCCTACACCGAACACCTCCTGGAAGCCTCTAGGTGTCTGGCTCCTTGGAAGCCCCCAAAAGGAACGCGACAGGGATCCCCAGAGGAACCCTTAGATGCCTTTACATGCACCGGACTCCAAGGTTTTGCGATGAGCTGCGCGGTTTCGCAGGCTTGAGCAGCTTCATGCAAAGCTGTTTGGAGGAGGTTGACTGCGTGCCGGAGTTTTCCGATAAGTGCAGAGTTCCAAGCCCTAAACAGTCCACCCGAAGTAGGGTTTGGGGCTTCAGGGCTGTAAGGCTTCAGGGTATTAAGGTTTACCCTGAGGGTCCAAGCAATCCTTATTATAGGACTTTGGGGCCTTTTGGGAGACCAACAACCATAAACAAGGACTACTTCGGTTGATGATATAAATCCTGCATGACCCATAATAAGGAATATACCATAATTCCCATAGTTTAGGGCCCTTAAGGTATTGCAGGATTTATATCATCAACCGTTGGACCCTTAGGGTTAGAGATTGAGCTGCTTTCGATGCTACCTAGCCGAGGTCGACTAGGATACCCAGTAACCTAAGAATAAAAAGGCCTCTCTTTTTGGTATTGGGTAACTTTAGAAGGAACCTAGGACTACAAAAAGGGAATAAGGGTACTACTGGGCATCCTAGCCGAGGCCGAGGGGCTTATCCTCAGTCCTATCCTCGATGATAGGTTCCGTAAGAGGCTTACGATCGTATAGGGAACTCCAGAAAGTTGGAATATGGTTTCAGGGTAGGATACCCTATAATTTACCATAAAGGGTTTGTTTAGGATAATCATATTCCAACTTTCTGGCCTTTACTGTAAGTGGTTCTTGCAAGGTTTCAGAACGGATTAAGGCGGCGGGATGTGGGAGTTTCCGAAAATAGCGGACCCTAATATAGTACCCTAAATAGTAGGATCCTTATTATGAGGACCCCAAAATAAGGTGCCCCTAATTTTCGGAAACTCCAAACCCTAAACCCTTTATAGAACCCTTATATAGATCCCCTTAAGGAACCCTTGTAGATCCCTTTGAAGGTACCCCTAATTTTCGGAAACTCCCATGTGTTCTAGTTTAACAGTATGAAGGAGCCCCTAGGAGCGGCATAGGGAATTGCGCAGGCCTTTGTATCAGACGGGTTCAGGGTTTAGGGTCTAGGGCTTTAGGGTTTTTTAGGGTTCAATTAGGAGTTTAGGGTTTTAGGGTTTAGGGTTTAGGGTTTTAGGGTTCAGGGGCTTCGCCCTCAACACATGCCCTCCTAAAACCTCCGACAGCCCCGAAAGCCTAAGCGCAGAAAAAGGCTCCTGTAACACGTAGTTGCTGTGTTCATCAGCCTTAAAAACATGCACACTTTCAGTTCTAGAAGTGATCATATTGTCTCAAGAAGTGTCAAGTGTGCTCGTTCAGCTACGAAGTAACAGGTAACAGGCACACCACACCATCTACCATAGATCTCTTGCAAGATACCTTCAAGTCAGTTCCTAACATGGACTCAGTAACCCCATGGACCCTAAACCCTACAGCCCGAATCCCACAACTAAACCCTGGAACTGGGACCCTCAATTCCCACCACTAAACCCTAAAACCCAAATTCTGAAACCTTAAACCCTAAACCTCAGACCCTAAACCCTGTAAACTGCAAGACCTTAGACCTTGCTACTTTAAGCCCGCTAGGCTATAACTACAACAAGGAACCCCCAAAATAGTATAGGTAAAATGTAAGGCCCCTATGTTAGTGTGTTGGACTTCTTTCGCAGAGGTGCGCGCAGGCTGTCGTGAAGCCCAGGAAGCCTCCGATTTAGGGTTTAAGGGCCTTAGGGTTAATAGGGTTTAGGGTTTAGTTTAAAGGTTTAGGGCTTAGGGTTTAAAGGTTTAGGGCCTAGGGTTTAGTTTCAAGGTTTAGGGTTTAGGGGTTTAACGGTTTAAGGTCCAGCAATTTTAAAGGTTCAGGATTTAGGAGTTTAAAGGTTTAGGGTTTAGGGTAGATTATTCTGGGGGGTTCCTTATTCTAAGAATAGTATAATATATCTATTTATTACGGCCCCTACAGTAACTAAGCTACATTAAAGGATCCCACTGAAACCCTACCAGTACGCTCCCTTCTGTCCCTTAGGCCTTGGAAGCTCCCTTGAGCCTTCCTTTGAGCGGTCCTTCTGTTGATGATATAAATCCTGTGGGTTCCTTTAAAGGAATCTATAGGGGTACCTTTAAAGGGGTTCCCTTTAAGGGATCTATAGGGTTTTGGGGGTTTTGGGTTTAGGGTGATGATATACATCCTGCATTACCTTAAGGACCCTAAACTATGAGAATTATGGTATATTCCTTACTATGGGTCATGCAGGATTTATATCGTCAACCGTTTAAGGGGTTCCGAGTCTACGGTTTGGGGTTTAGGGTTTAAGTCTAGGGTTTAGGGTTGTCCCTCATACGATTACTACAAGGTGGGCCAATGAAAGCCTCTGAGAAATGGTTGCAAACAAAGGGGTCCTCTTCAGCCCAGTTAGGGAAACTATGAAAATTTGTCCCGAGGCCTACCCAGATTACAGCATGTACACCACAACCCTACTCTAAGTATCCAAGCTCCGGCATCAGTATTTCATGAGGTGTGGCAGCTAGGCTGAGGCTATTCTGAACCTGAGGCTGACCAGAGGGATGCTGGGGTCTACCGGGTTTCGGGTATAGGGATGTAGGGGTGTAGGGTTTAGGGCTTAGGGGTGTAGGGTTTAGGGTTCGGGGTTTAGGGGTGTAGGGTAGTTTTTGCAGATCAGCCTTAATGACTGGAACAGGGTTCCTTGGAAGGGTTTTGAAAAGAAGGTGCCTCAAAAGGATCCATTATAGTAGGGTTTCAGTGGGATCCTTTAATGTAGCTTAGTTACTGTAGGGGCCGTAATAAATAGATATATTATACTATTCTTAGAGTAAGGAACCTGCCAGAATAATCTAGGTAATTATTAAGGCCCCTACTTTACGCGATTTTGGTTCAGGAAGGAGTTTGGCCTTGTGCTGAGATCCTGCCGTTCGCGGTGGGGGTGAACTCCATCTCCACTGTTCCGGCAATCGCACCTCCGATGTTTATTCCCAGAGACTCCGATATCCCTTAATTCAGGAATATACCTTAAATTGTAGTAGGGTTTCCCAGAGACTCCGATATCCCTTAATTCAGGAATATACCTTAAATCATATTAGGGACCCTACTACAATTTAAGGTATATTCCTTAATTGAAGGATATTGGAGTCTCTAGGTTGCTTCGGGCTTGACACCTGTGGTTAGGATGCTTTGGGTTGGTTTAGGATTTAGGCGAGGTCCATGGATTTATGGTAGGGAATTGAACAGTCCAGGGTATGAATTCAGAATGAATTGTTCTGATCGTCTTGCCACTAGAATCACTAGAACCATGCTGTTTGAGCACGTAGGTTCGCAGCTACATTAACGACATCACTGTCTTCAAAAACCTGCCACGCTTCCGTAAACCCTAAACCATAAACACTAAGCTCTAAACCCCTAAACCTCTAAAGCCCCAAAACCCCAAAACGCCTCCGACCCAACGTCTCCGCCCCACAAACGCCTTCGAGGAACCCTGAAAGGAGGTGTTGAAGGAACGAATCTTCGGTCTCCGGGATTTGGCAGCAACTGGGATTTAGCCCCAACCCTAAACCGGCTCCTCACACTACTTGGAGGTTCATGGGTAGTTGTAAGTGGTGTAAGAAGTATCATAACTATAGTTATAACCCACATTAGGGGACTTATAACCCTACTTATTACTACCTACTGTTGATGGACAAAATCCTGCATGACCCTAAGGACTCTAACCTATGGGAACTATGGTATATTCCTTATAATGGGTAATGCAGGATTTTGTCCATCAACAGAATGAATCTCCAAATAGTACACCAGGCCACTCCTCCGAATGACAGCCACGAAAACCTGCAACCCTGCAGAGCACCCTTATGAAGCCCTTTTTTCACAGGGGAAAAGGAGGCCTATAATGGGCTATATAATGGGTATATAATGGCTATATTATGGGTATATACCTAGGGGTCTTTCAAAACCATATGGGTGGCTGTCAAAATTATGGACCCTTTTTGGGTACCCTAAATATTAGGTGCCGTACTATAACAGGGACCCAAAAAGGGACTGTAAGTTTGACAGCTACCCATATAAAGCCCTATGAAACATGAAACCTTGAGAGACCTTATGAGACCTTAAGAAAGCCACATACATTGTTTCAAAAGCAGACAAAACCTTCAGGAAGCCTAGAACAGCAATCACACCTCGGAACTTGTATCAAATCATGAGAAAAACAAAGAAGCCGCCGTGAAAGCACTACCCCAAAACTCCCCTCGTTCTGCTTGAGGCACCCCGCAAGCCGCCGAAGGCATCCAGTGACTCCAAGTCACCCATCTGCGTAAAGCGGACCTCGCCACCCCAAAACCGTAAACCGCAATTTCCGCCACCAAAAGCGAGCGCTGAGGCCCAGAGACTCCAATATCCCTTAATTCAGGAATATACCTTAAATCATATTAAGGGTCGACCTTCGGTACTAAAGCCCCTGTTGCCACCCATGCAGCCGATCTAACGCAAAATGCGGCAAGCAAGCCCCTGCCGTATCCCTAGGGCAGCGAGGTTTAGGATTTGGGGCGGTGGGATCATACACCCGCAGTCCACCTCTTGATCTCGACCCTCAACCCTCACCTCGTGAATCCTAAACCCTACGCCCTAAACCCTAAACCCTAAACCCTAAACCCTCCACTCTCGACCGCGTCGCCGATCTTTGCAGAAAGTTGCGCGTTCGGATCCTTCGCGGTGCAAGGGGCTCAAACGATGCATGAGGGTTACTATAAGGGTACCTTAGGGCTCCTTTAACGAATTACTATAAGGGTACTAAAAACGGTTCCTTCAAAGGGCTCTACATGGGTTTAGCGTTTCCGAAATACAGGGGTACCTTATTTAGGAATCCGTATAATAAGGATCCTACTATTCTGGGTGCCATATTAAGGTCCCCTATTTCCGGAAACTCCCATGTAGCATGGGAGCCTTGATAATTAGCGCCGGCCTTGATTTTTCGGATCGGGTTTAGGGTTTAAGGTCACAAGATAGTATAGGTACGGTAAGAAACCCCGAGGAACCGTACTACCAAATATCTAGGATTCTACGACAAGTTTTGAAGGCTTAAACGGCTAGATGCTGCAGGGCAAATGCTAGGGCGAGCTTCAAGCTTTGAAAGGGTTCAAGCGCTGCTAGAGCTTCTTCAGGTCTTCTGTGGTGTCATACAAGAGCCTGATTATGGCATAGCTTCAGACCACTACATTCGTGCTTTGGGCTTGGGGGTGCAGTTCCTCGGGCTTGAAACGGTTTAGGGTTTAGGGTTTAGGGTTTCAGAGAGGTTGCCGGAAACTTTAGCTCCCCGTGCGCATGTACCGATATTTTGACTTTTGTTCAGAACAATACCGATAAGGGCACAACCTTACAAGCTAACCCGAAGCCGACCCGAAATCCAAACCCGCAAATACACCTTTTCATAAACTCTACAGGATACGACTTTAAACCAAATCCCTGAACCCCAAAGCCCGACAAAATCCCTGGAAAACCTGAGAACGTATGTCAGAGTCAAAGCCCAACGACGGCCAACGCCCGCCAAGGATCGTGTGCAGACGCTCCAAGCCATGGAAAGATTTCATCGCAGGATTTTCCTGAAGCTGTCTGGTGCTTAGTAGGGAATGGGGAAATGGATCCCTAAAGAAGCCCCTATGTAATCCCCAATAATAATAGTCGCCATAACCCATTCCCCCATTCCCTAGTACCACCAGGGAGTGAAGTCAGAGGGGATGCGCAACGAATCTTACTATCTCGGGGTCGAAATGCACGTTTTTTTCCGTCCTAACGTCGAACCTGCCTTTGAAGTTTTGGCTGGGTGTTGTTTCTGTGGTTGTTAAGCTGATTTGCTTTCACTGCTCTTTAGGATTTAGGTCCAGGGCTTAGGTTATACGGTTTAGGCGTTTAGGTTGAGGGTGCAGGGTTGAGGGTTTAGGCTTAGGCAGCTCTAGGGCTGTGGCTGGGTTGTGACTTGTCAGGAAGGGTCCCAGTACGAGGTGGACAGGGCTTCCCCAAACTTGCAGGGGAAGTCCTGGCACGAGCTTTTCACAAGTACCTGAGACCTAGGGGTTTAGGGTTTAGGGCTTTAAGGGTTTAGGGGGTTTAGGGTTCAGGGTTTTTCGGGGTCTAGGGGTTTAGGAGTTTAGGGTTTAGTCCCTAAATCCGTATTTAGTATTTGGGGTTCGATGCTGCCCCAAAACCCCGAAAGGGTGCCTGTGAGGCTCCTTCTGGGAGTGCTTAAGCAAGTGGGCGTGGAATCTCTCGGCTGTTTTGGCTTGCTTGAAAGTTTGGACTCTACGGGTTCGGGGTCTAAGGTATACCTGGGGATCCAAAACCCTACCGTTTTAGGGGTTAGACCCTCTTATTTAGGGGTCATAACCTACTGTTTTGTAGGGTTTGGGGATACAGGTAGGCTTTGGGGCTTATTGTTTAGGATGGGTCTAGGTTTAGTAACACAACCCTAAACTCCAAACACCCTAAACCCCAAGCCCTCAACCCCCTAAACCCTAAACCGGGTGCAACCAGGGTGCAAGGCCATCCATCCAACCGACCTTCGGGGATAGCATTGACCCAGAATTCCGGGAGGATCCAAAAAGTAGATCCCTTAATGGGGATTCCTATATAGCATCTTTACTTGTTGGGGGCCCCTAAACCCCAGCCTGGAAAATTTTCAAAGCCCGGACAATACCTGGACCCGATACTACCACTACTAATACTACTCACAATCATCCTGCTTCGTGTTGCTATGAACATTACTTTTACTATAAGTGCGATTCCAACTGTTACTTTATTCCTACAAGAGCTTGCTGCAGATAGTAGCCACTCGCCGCATGCGCGTACAGCCGGGCCGAGGCGGACGACGCGCAGCGTTTCAAATTAGTTAAACTCTGGTTTTGGGGTACAGTATGGCGTAATTACATTCCGGAACTTTAGCGCATATAGTAAAAGCCAGAAAGTTGGAATATGGTTATCCTAAACCCTTTATGGTAAATTATAGGGTATCCTACCCTGAAACCATATTCCAACTTTCTGGAGTTCCCTTTAAGCTTTCTAATCATTGACTAATCGTTCAGGCTTCTCTACGCATGGGGTCATACAGTTCATTCCCTAGGCCCTCTAAACCCAAACCCCCCAACCCTTCAGCACTGTGCCTCGCTTAGCCACAAAAGGATACTGTCGATGTTTGAACAAGGGCAAGAATCATGAATTTTGCAAACCGCTTTTGAAACACTGTTGTATTGACGATTTCGAAGAAAATACTATTCTTAACACTCAACGGTCCGACACGCCAGACCGCTTATTTGAGGTTTATGGCTTAGGGTTTTCGGGTTTGGGGTTACGGCCAAGCCCTAGCGCCGAACTGCAAATCCTTACCTTAGTGGCTGGGCATCCTGAAGGGAAACCCTTGCATGTACAGCCCTCTCAAGAATTAGGGCTTAAGGTTCAGGGTTCAAGAAGCCAATAACCGTGCAGAGAGACTGTAGAAACGCACTCTCCTACAACCTTTGCAAGCCTTACATTGCAAACTTGACATCCGTGAGCCCTCCAGCCCAAAATCCTTCGGCCGAGATACGAACATCTTGTAAACGAGGTCATGGAGCTTCGGTATGTCAGCACCCTGTTGAAACCCCCAAAATCCCTAAGCTCAACTCAAAAACCCGAAACTCTAAACAGTGGCTTCCAAACCTCTAAACCCTGCAACGCTAGTAAAGCCAGCGAGGCACACAAGCAACTCGCCCAAAGACGACCGAACCCTGAACTCTAAACCTCTACCACGACAACGAAAACGACCTCATGATCACACTACAGCTACCATCCGAAAAGCATTGTCAACCCTGTCGGTGCAACTTCCGACTGACAGCCATAAGAAGAAAGAGGAAGAAGAACTCTCTTTTAAAAAAGTGTCAAAAACAACAAGCTTAAAAATAATCGCAGTCTTCAGAACATCTCAGCCCATAATCAACATGAACAAGCCTATCGACGCAATGTGATAATAGCAAAAATAGTAATAATCCGAATAATAGTAACAATAGATAGTAACAGTAGTTAGTAACAATAGTAATAATAGTACTAATAGTACTAATAGTAACAATAGTAACAATAGTAATAATCGTAATAATAGTAACAATAGCAATAGTCGTAATAATAGCAAAACCAGCACTTCGGCTGCCTCTTCGAGGGTTCCCATGGCCGCGATGTCGACCAAGGCGGGCATGGCCCTGAGGGCTGCAGCAGTTATACGGTTGATGATATAAATCCTGTGGGTTCCTTTAAAGGGATCCCCAGAGCCGCCAAAACCCCTTAATTAAGGAATATACCTTAAAATCTTTTTAGGGATCCTATTGTACTTTAAGGGATATTCCTTAATTAAGGGGTTTTGGAGGGTCTGGGTCTATAGGGGTACCTTTAAGGGGTTCCCTTTACGGGATCTATAGGGTTTTGGGGTTTTGGGTTTAGGGTGGTGATATACATCCTGCATTACCTTAAGGATCCTAAACTATGAGAATTATGGTATATTCCTTATTATGGGTCATGCAGGATTTATATCGTCAACCGTAGTGAACCCCAGAAAGTTGGAACATGGTTCTGGGAGGATAAGTGCTAGGATCCCTTGTGCTTTACCTTAAGGGCACGAGGATAATGATGTTCCAACTTTGCGGCTTCTACTGTAAGATCTCTGCTAGCTTTCTTCGGGGTTTGGGGTTTAGGGGGGTTTAGGGTTTGAAGAGGTTTAGGGTTCAGAGCTCGCTGTTCTGGGTCTTTATCTTTTTGATTCTTTGACCTGTTCTTCTCTTCTGTCTAATTTTTCGGGACCACGTGCTTGGAAGTAGCTTCTAGAGGACTCCTTGCAACAGGGGGCAACTGGCAGGAAAGCCTGGAAGTTGCCTACGCTAAATAGCCTCCACAGGAACCTCAAAACAAGCCTTGGTTTAGGGTTTATAAAGTTTAGGGTGTAGGGTTTAGAGTTCGGGATTTCAGGTTTACGGGTTCCCCCTGAAACCCTAAAGCCCAAACCACCCAAAGCAGGCGTCATCACCCCCGCCCTAACCTATCAGCAGCGTCGAAAGAAGGTATGCACATGTCCAAAAATTTCTGGGCTTTGAAGTCACCAGGGAGCGAAAAGTATAGACTTTTTCTCAGTTGGTTCCCTTCAAGTAACAGGCCTAAAAAAATCTGCTGATAGGCAAAATCCTGCATTACCCATCATAAAAAATATACCATAGTTCCCATAGCTTAGAGTCCTTAGGGTCATGCAGGATTTTGTCCCTCAACAGTATTAAAGTATGGTACCCCTAAACCCTAAACCCTAAACCCTCAACCCTAAACTCCAAAGCCCAGTTTTCTGCTGAACCCCTCACGCCCTTCATGAGGAAGTACTTAAAGGATCATGGGACTTAGTAACTTAAAGGGTTCCTTAAAGGGATCTATAAAGGGATCTATGGGAGTTTAGGGTTTCAAAGGAGGTTTAGGGTTTAAAGGATCGTGGGACCTAGTAACTAGGGTTATGATTGAGGTAATTGTACTTATCACTACTTATAACCCCAATTAGCTCATTGGGGTACGTATTACCTTACTTACTAAGTCCCATGATCCTCCAAGTACCCCGGTGAAAGCGATGAGTGCTTCACGCAGAGAGAGAGAGAGAGTGCATCATGTTACGTTGCTTCTAGACCCTAAACCCTAAACCCCAAAACCCTAAACCCTAAATCATGTTACCTTTCTTCTAGTCCAAATCTACTCCTGTTCGATGGGAAGCCCCAGACCAAAACCACTCATTCACAGATCCCAACGAAGTATACACCCTACACCCTACCCTAAACCCTTAAACCCTGAACCCGAAACCCTAAACCTAAACCCTGAACCCCTAAACCTCAAAAACAGAGCAGGCCCCCAGAAAAGAAACCAACCCGACAGCTCTCCCAAGGAGTGTCCGGCAGTTCACTCCAAAGGTTTGAACCCTCCAGCTGAAACCCTACTCGGAGGTTCATAGGTTTTCTAAGAAAACCATAGAAAACCTATAGTTTTTCGAAAACTCTACAGGCTTTTAAACAGCCTAGGTTTAGGTTAAAAAATTACTTGGAGGTTCATGGGTAGTTACAATCGGTGTTATAAGCAAGCCTCCTTACACTGAGCCCCCCCTGTATCTGGGAGGCAAGTGAGCCTTACTAGGTGGGGCGTTTAAAGCCTTTGGAAAACATTAGTAAATAAGATCCTCTTAAGCCCAATAAGGGAAAATGTAAAATGTCCCAATGCCCTACCTAGCCTTATCAACTCCCTGAGCCACCATAAAACCCTCTGCAATATCCTGTATTCCTTCATCCCTGCCATATCCTGATTCCAGAACCCTAAACCCTAAATCCCCTAAACCCTCAAGCCCTCCAGCCCTAAGATTCAAGTTCCTAAACCCCTAAACCCTAAACCCCTAAACTAAACCCCTAAACCCTAAACACCTGAATCCCTAAACCCTGAACCCCTAAACCCTCAACCCCGAAACCCTATAGATCCCTTCACAGGATCCTTAGAGATCCCTTTAAACCAGCCCCTGTAAACCCTAAACCCTAAACCCTAAACCAATTTAAACTCGCTTCGCCAGGGAGCAGGATCCGCCACAGACGATAGACTCTCCTGAAGGCCGGCAGGCCATGCAGACTCGTCACCTCGCTTCTATACTGAACTTAGAACCCTAGCATTATAATTTTAGCTGTTTCTTAGGGATTATAATAACCAAAAATTAAAGAATATTTCTAAGTACCCCTAAGGCTTTGGGCTTAGGGGTTTCTTAATGGGGACCCATACCCTATGATGGGCTATATAATGGGTACATAATGGCTATATTAAGGGTATATACCTAGGGGTTTCGGGGTTTAGGGTTGAAGGCTTGAAGGCTGCAGGGGTGTAGGGTTTTCAGGTTGAAGGTGGGCGTGAGGTTGTAGGGTTTAGGGCCTATAGGCTTTATCGTTAGGTTGTGGATTTGGGGGTTGCCGCGTTTGGGGGATTAAAGATACGACAGGTTTTGGATTTATAGCATCCCAGGTTGCGAGCTTTGGGCTTTAGGGTTTAGCGAATGAGGCTTCGTGGCTTGTGAAGGGCTGTCGCCCCAAATCTCAGTATTTCGATAAACTCCGCAATGCTGCATATCTGCTGAACCCTAAGAAACCCCATGCAACATGATCCTAAAGCAACAGAAGCCCTAACGGCCCTAACGAGAACCCTCACATGATTCATAGGGGCCCTAAGGGGGGTAAGGTCCTTATCATGGGCATTAAAGCCCCCTATCCCCCCTCCCCATACCCACCGCTCTCCCTACCCCCCTAACGGTCCCTATGAATAGTTCAAGGCACCAGAGGCATGTTGGCGACCATGAAGTTCATGAGCGTGTCATAGGCCCCTCCAATGCCTGGGTAATGGGAGGATCAACCAGAGACTCCCATAACCCTTAACTAACCAATCTACCTTTAGATTATAGGGGACTTCATATTATGACTGAAGGCATATTCCTTAGTTAAGGGGTACTAGGCTCTCTGGGCATGGGACTTAGTAAGTAAGGTTACAAGTACCCTAATTGGGGTTATACGTAGCTGTAAGTAGTATTACCCTCATAATAACCCTGGTTACTAAGGATCAAAGAGTTTCGGATTCAGGAGTAGGATTCGCGGCTTTGTGTTCCGGGCTGAGGGTTTTGGGTTCTTGGTAGAGCTTCCTACGACTTATTCAGGGGACGATCTTCATGATTAGAATACTTGGAGGGTCGGGGGACTTACTAAGTAGTTATTTTAGAGAGTTATAAGTACCATAACCCCAATTAGGGTCCCTTTTAGGGTGCTTATAACTCTGCTTATTCCCTAATTACTAAGTCCCCCGACCCTCCAAGTAGGATCCCTTTTTCGGCCTCCATAAGGGCTCTACAAGGGCTCTGAAAGATCGGGCTGATCAGCGCCGGGGCCTTGATCAAGCGTAGAGGGGGTGCAGGGGTTTAGGGTTTAGGGGCTTGGGGGTTTAGGATTTAGGATTTAGGGGCTTAAGGTTTTAGGTGAAGGGTTTAGGCTTCAAGGCTTTGGGATTGCAGAGTTAGTAAATGGAGATCTTATCAGGGTAACTAAACCAAAGGCTACTTGCAACCCCAACTGGGGTACTCACAACCTGGCTTACTAAGTCCCATGATGCTTCCAGTAGGGCTTGCAGATCCAAAGTGCAACGAAACCCTGAAAAAGCCCCTAAAGCCTAAACTATCAACCTCGAACCCTGAACTGAAAATCGTCAACCTACCCAGGGACTCCAATATCCCTTAACTCAGGAAAATACCTTAAATCATATTTGAGATCCTAGTATAATTTAAGGAATATCCCTCAATGAAGGGATATTGGAGCCTCTGGGTTAATCCCAAAACCCTAAGCCATAAACCTCAAACACTGAACTGAAAACCGTCAACCTCAATCCCAAAACTCTAAACCCTAAAAGCTCTGGACTCGAAACCAACTTCTTCTCAGCCCTGTTCGCCTTCCAAGCTGGCGAGTTGGAAGTTGCCAAGAATGCGCATATCGCCGACAATGGCCTGAGATGCCCCTTGGGCCCAACAATACGAAAGACAGCAACTAATGACTAAAGAATGTTCACAGTGGTGACAATGTGTAACCATAGTATGTAATATTGAATCATACCTGGAATAAGAAGAAGAATAAGCCAGAGTTTTGGTGTAGGGTTGAGGGTTGAGGGGTTTCGGAGTTTGGGGGTCAGGCCTTACAGTTTTCTTGTTCAGGGTTTAGAATGTGGGTAGTTGTCAAAATTAGGATTCCTTTTTGGGTATCCTAAATAATAGGTGCCGTATTATAATAGGGACCCAAAAAGGGACCATAATTTTGACAACCACCCATGTAGGGCTTGGGGTAGGGTCGAGGGTTGAACGTCCAAGGTGGTCTTTGTTCCTGTGGGTTTTATGCTTTTCATGAACAGTAAAGTGTTGTTCGAAGGGAGCCAAGCGGCATTCCCAAAGCCGGCCAAAGAAGTGACTTGGGATTGGATTACCTGGAGATATCGCTTTTGAAAGTTTGTTGAGGTTCGGACAGAAAGGTTCGCGGAGCTGTTCTGCAGGGGGTTCGGCGGGAACCTGAAACCCTAAACCCTAAACGCCTAAACCCCTAAACCCCTTAGGGTTTAAGGTGATTAGGGTCCCAATAATGTGGGGTTTAGGGTTTAAGGCTTAGGGTTTTTGGGTTCAGGGTTTAGGGACCCTTGAACCCAAACCCACAAGCTATGGGATACGGTTGATGGTATAAATCCTGCAATACCTTAAGGGCCCTAAACTATGGGAATTATGGTATATTCCTTATTATGGGTCATGCCGGATTTACATCATCAACCGTATCAGACCCGTGTGCCAAAGCGGAAGACTTCTTTCAGAATGGGGCCAGGTGGAGATACTTAGAGGATCATGGGACTTAGTAACTTGTAGAGGGCTCCTTAAAGGGTTCCTTAAAGGGATCTATAAGGGATCTATGGGGATTTAGGGTTTGAAGGATCATGGGACTTAGTAAATGAGCTATTATTAGGGTAACTATACGTATAACCCAGATTGTGGTACTTATAACCTTACTTACTAAGTCTCATGATCCTCCAAGTAAGGGTTCGGGGTTGAAGGGCTTAAGATTTAGGGTGCGGGGCTGAGGGTTTAGGGTTCGGCGTTTAAGGTAGGGTTAAGTGGTTTCGGGCGAAGGGTCCAGGTACGTAGTCCACATGGCTCCATTCCAGGAGCGCTGTGGCGAAGCAAATAGACTTCAAACTACTCTTCCTACTTTGAACCCCTATTTTCCAGCACATTTAGGGGCAAGGGTGTACTGTAGGGGCTTCAATAATTAGAATAGGGTTTTGGGCCCATTATACTATACGTCTGATATGGAACCCCCAAGGTAGTTTTGGCAATTACTAAGGTCCCTATATTAGGCCTCTCGGTTTGGGTATTCGGGGAATTGGGTTACAGCTTCAGTCTCAGGATCTTGTTCGAAGCGTCGGCTTCCGCGCAACCCGCCACGAAACCCAAACCTTCAATCCCCGCGAAACCTAGTTTTTTAAGGACTTCTACCAGGAAAGTATAATCAGCAGCCCTAAAAATCGTAGCATAAGTTTCAGGTACATCGTAAGCCCTCTCACCACGAACGCTAAACCCTGATTCGGGTTACTTAGAGGATCATGGGACTCAGTAAGTGGGGTTACAAGTACCCTACTTGGGGGCTTAAGTACAGTTACCCTAATAACTATTTAAGGTATTATATAATGTAGGAACCTGATGTCGAAACCTTGGGCCTTTACATGGGTTCCTCATATGAATCCTACTATTTGGGGGTTAGAGGTTAGGGCTTGAGGCGTCTGAAATTTGGCTCAGGGTTTAGGGTTCCAAGGCTTAGTGGGGTTAGGGTGTGCGGTGTAAGGCTCAGTGGGCTTAGCGTTTGAAGTTTAGGGTTCAAGGCTTACTGGGCTTTAGGGTTTAGGGTTTAGGGTTTAGGGTTTAGGGTTTAGGGTTTAGGGTTTAGGGGTTTACCCTAAGGCTCCAAACAGGGTCTTGGGCTTTTCGGGGGAAGGGTTTCGGCTTTGGGGGCTAGGGTTTGGAACCCTGCTCCAAGGGTCCAGGAGCCTTAGGGTACTTGGAGGATCATGGGACTTAGTAAGTAAAGTTATAAGTTTATCCTAATTGGGGTTATAAGTATAGTGACCCTAATAATCACCCCAGTTACCAAGTCCCTTGATCCTTTAAGTAGGGTTCAAGATGGTGGCCATTGGCACATCTGGTGCCTGGTTGGCAGATGCTCCTGCATCCTCTGCGGCCTCCTGTGAAAATGCCCTTGCCCTCGCAGGGTTTAGGGTTTAGGGCTTAAGGGTTTAGGGGGTGGGGGGCTGAGAGTTTAGGGCTTATGGCTTAAGGGGTTTAGGGTTTTAGGGCTTGGGTTATAGGGCTCAGGGCTCAAACTCCGATGGAGCCTCTTTCACCCGAAGCCCCGGCCCAAGCGACATACGGTTGATGATATAAATCCTGCATTACCTTAAGGACCCTAAACTAGGGGAATTATGGTATATTCCTTATTATGGGTCATGCAGGATTTATGTCATCAACCGTAGGTCTCCATCTTGAGATGCCAGCTCCCATTTGCTGGCGCCCTTGCTACTCGAAGGTTCATGGGGTAGCTACACGTTTTTTTGTTGTAAGTCCCCTGATACGATATAGTTATCTTAATTATAAGCCCACTTTAAGCTACCCAAGAACCTCCAAGCACAGCACAGACGCCGCATCTTGGCTGGGAAGAAGTTACACACGTAAGCAGAGTAATGATGGTCATAACCCATACTAGGAGACCTATGCACCCCACCTATAACTACCCATGAACCTACAAGGATGTTTCACCAGGGTCTCAACCCCCTAAACCCTAAACCCTAGACCCTTAACCCCTACACCCCTAAACCCCTAAACCCTTGACCCTAAACCCTAAACCCCGAAACCCTAAACCCCTAAACCCTAAACCCTTGACCCCTAAACCCCGAAGTCCGTCCTCCAAAATTAAACCTTGGGATCCGAACCCTCAGACGCCAGAACTCTATACTTGACGGTTCATGGGTGGGTTTTAAGTAGGGTTATAGCTAGGATTCCTTTAAGGGTCCCTTTCAAGGGATCTATAGGGATTCTATAAGGGTCTAGGGTTTAGCGTTCATGGGTAGTTATATAAGTGGGGTTATATGTAAGACAAGTGTTGTTATAACCCATATTCGGGGATTTTTAACCCTACTAACTACCTCGACAATCCCCCTAAACCCGAAACCCTAAAACTTCAGACTCTAAACCCTATACCCTGAAACCTCCCTGAAGAAACCCTAAAGGAAATCCGGGTCCGGGAAAGGAATCCCTCCACGGACCTCGAGGATGTAGATGTTTCGCACATGCGAGAAGACGCTGGAGTCGGACACTTCACTGGGATTTGCGGTGGGGATTAGGGTGATTAGGGTCCCCAAGAACGTAGGGTTTAGGGTTTAAGGGGGTTTAGGGTCCCAATGATGCAAAGATGCCCGTAGGTAAGGAATCTACCTTGAATCCTCATATCGGATATTCTACAAAAAAACCGAAAATATCCTAAACACCCCTGATGCTTTCTTTAAGTCCCTCATAACTTAAGGTATCTTCCATCCATGAGGAGGCTGAACCCCTTTGTACCCGGACTTACAATGATAAGATCCTTATTATAAGGACCCCAGGGTTTAGGGTTTAGGGTTAATTTTCGGAAACTCCCATTCGGGCACATGGAGCCTACAGCTTGAAATTGCAGGGGCATTGGGCTCTCTGGAGTTTGGGAGTTCTGGTTTGCGGTGAGGTCTCGGGCTGGTTTTTAGGGTTTAGGGTTTAGGGGTTTAAAACCAGGGGGTTTAGGGTTTAGGGCTTAGGGGGTTTAGGGGGTTTAGGGTTTAGGGGTATAGGGTTTAGGGTTTAGGGGGTTCAAAGAATAGCTCAGACTTGGGATCTTTAACCTAAGTATCTCTGTAGGATTTAGATAGCGGCCTGGGATTTAGGGTTTAGGGTTTAGGGTCCTTACTTGCACTACAGGCCCTATCAAAACCCAAAAAAAACCAGTGAAGCAATACAAAAAAAAAAACACTACAACCCTCGTAACTCAGACCCTAAACCCCTGACCCCTAAACCCAAAACCCTATCCGTTCAACCACAAACCCCTAGACCCCAAACGCAAATCCTCAACTTCAATTATCAAGACAAGGGGGAACCTTCTCTTAACGAGGAGCCAACAATAAAAGGAAGCCTCCCCAGGTTTGTGCTTTCGGGATTTGGGTTGTTAGAGTTCTCGGCTTAGGAATTACGGTGCAGGGTTAGGGTTTCGGGTTTTGGGTTCAGGGCCGTTGCTGGCGGCAGGTTTGGGATTTAGGGTTTGACGCTTGAGTCTGTGTCCCAGGTCGTGTACCCCGGAAGGTTAGATAGAGCCCCATAAACCCTGAACTCAAGCGTAAACCTCAGATCATACCATCACGTTTACGTCCCTCATGATGAAAACTCCACAAATCAAACTTCGGCACCCCTGGAACAGGCATTAGGACCGTGGTCACTTCAAGAGTGCCGACTACGCACTTTACTTGGAGGATCATGGGACTTAGTAAGTAACGTTATACGGTTATACGTACTCTAATTGGGGTTATAAGTAGCTTGAAGTATAATTGCCCTAATAATAACCCGACTTGCTACGTCCCATGATCCTTTAAGTACTGTTTAGGGTTCAGGGCCGCGGCTCGAGGATTGATCCACGATCTCAAGTGCGGGGCTCTCTAGGTGCGGGCTTTCTGTCCCAAGATCCTTTAAGTAAACCTAAACCCTAAACTAAACCCTGAACCCCTAAACCGCTAACCCCTAAACATTGATAGGATCCCCCTTTACTAAGTCCCATGATCCTTTAAGTAGACCCTAAACCCTAAACCCTATACATCCCTTTAAGGAACCCTTTAAGGAACCCTACTAAGTCCCATGATCCTTTAAGTAACCATACAACATCCAGGCACTCAAAGCCAAGCGAACCCTGGAGCCCCCCGAGTCGATTTGCAAGGTGAATCAACGAAGGGTTTAGGGCTCAGGGCTCAGGGTTTAGGGTTTAGGGTTCAGGGTTTAGGGTTGAGGGCGGTTGGGGTTTAGGGTTTAGGGTTCAGGGGTTAGGGTTTAGGTATAGGATTTAGGGCTTAGGGTTTAGGGCTTAGGGTTCAGGGTTCAGGGTGTAGGTTTCCCCAAGAACCCGGTACAAGACCAAAACACGATGCCAAGCCAAAAACAGCGCCCTCTACACCCCAGCAACAAACCCTGTTGATGCTCTTCTTTTAGAACCCTTTTTCAGGAACCGGAACCCTAAACCCTAAACCCTTATAGGACCCCAAACCCTAAACCCTTGACTCCGACAGGAACCCGAGGGTTCAAAAAAGTAGTAATTATAAATGGGTGGTTGTCAAAATTAGGGTCCCTCTTTGGGTCCCTATTATAAATAGTACGGCACCTAATAATATTTAGGGTACCCGAAAAGGGACCTTCATTTTGACAACCACCCAAATATCTCTGCCATGGGAACTTCTGCAAGCGCAGCTTCCGCGCCACGCGGCAACCCTGCGCCGTCCAAGCTGCGACTTCATCCTACAGGGCGTTCCATGGGCTCTCTTTTTTAAAACAGGGTTTGGGGCACTCGGGGTTTAGGGTTTAGGGGTTTAGGGCTTAGGGTCGAGGGTCGAGGGTTCAGGGATCAGGGTTTAGGGTTAAAGATTTAAGGCCGAGGTCTTTGGCTTTCAGAAAGGTACGCTGCGGGGACTTAGGGTTTAGGGTTTAGGGTTTAGGGTTTAGGGTTTAGGGTTTAGGGTTTAGGGTTTAGGGTTTAGGGTTTAGGGTTAGGGGACCCTGTCTTCCACATACAAGGTTTTGCGGCGTTTTGGTGCATTGTCGGGGCTCTTGTTTAAGTGCACTGGACTTTCACTAGCACGAATTCCCTGGGCAAAGCACTAGCTCGGACATGCCAGCTGAGACAACAATCCCTTCAACGCTGGCAACCAAAGTATATACTAGACAAGTACATGGACCTTTAGAGGTGTGCGTTTTAGAAGTCTGTAGGTCTAGGGTTTAGGCCCAAGTCTAGGGTGTGTAAGGTCTGCAAATGCGGGGTTTAGGGCTTGGGGCTCCCACGGTTTGAGATTCCATTAAGTCGAACAAAAACCAGGTGGAAGGCAGCGGCTTTGAATTCACTTGTAGAGGTTGTACAATATAATCTGTTTGAATCGAGTTTCGGGTATATTGCCATATACGCAAATTCAGGAACCCTAGCGAACAATATTGGTAATTAGTCAGGCCTTTATAGAAAGTAAGCTTCATTCGTCTGGGCTTGCTGTTGTGATTTCATACTTGTTCCGGAAAGAAACCTTCTGGCGTCTCCCCTCAACCCTCCACAGTTCACCTTGACTAAACCCTAACCTCTCCAACTGCTTTACTGTTCTGCTTACTTGCAGACTCCTCTTGAAACACCTCCCAAAGTCCTGAACCAGAAATGGGCGCTAAACTCGAAAGACCCAAGAAAGCCCCAACCGTCAATCCTAACACCCTAGGCCCCAGATCCCAGAGCCTCCAAACCCACTTAATTAAGGAATATACCTTAAAATCATATTAGGGATCCTATTATAATTTAAGGTATATTCCTTAATTAAGGGGTTTTGGAGGCTCTAGGATACCCTAATACAAGCAAGAGCAGACTGGCGTTCTCGCCGAGGCGTATGAAATCAGCCGAGTCTTGATTGAGATTCCTTTCTCCAGCCCCCTGGGAGTCTCAGGATCGCGTCCTTCTTGCGTCCTTTAGGCTCTGTTGTGTTGGGGATCAAAACCCCCCTTTGTGCAAGACATTGTGGTTTTTGCCATCACGTGAGCCCCAACCCCAAACTGCACACCCCCACAAACAAAACCCTAGACCCTCCACCCCTAAACCCTAAACCCTAAACCCTAAACCCTAAACCCCTAAACCCCTAAACCCCTAAACCCCTGAACCCCTAATCCCCACCAAACCCAAAACCCAAAACCCTACACCCTAAGCCCCTGAACCCTTGAACCCCTGATCCCCCGAACCCTAGACCCTAAACCCTAAGCCCTTAAACCCCTGAACCACTGATAGCCACTGGGATTCCTGGTCGTTCAGGATCACGTCATCCTTGCAGCGGGAGCATTCGCAGCAGGCGTCCCAGGCGCTTTGCCCGCCCACGGCGTAAGCTTCGATGGCTCCCCAACCTGGGACGTTCGAGTCTCTGGGTCCTTTAAGGGTAAACCAAATAGTACTACTACGCTACTACTACTACTACTACTACTACTACTACTACTACTACTACTACTACTACCACAACTACTACTACTACTACTACTACTACTACTACTACTACTACTACTACTACTACTACTACTACGTCTTCTTCTTCCACTTCTACTTCTTCCACTTCTACTGCTACTGCTACTACTACCACCACTTCTGCTACCACTACTATTGTTGTTAATGTTCTTATGTTTCGAACAAACTCCTTCTAAGTTTCCTGAAGAAGCCTTCCTCTGCTTAAAGGATCGTGGGACTTGGTAACTAGGGTTATTGATTACTGTAATTGTACTTATAACTACTTTGAACTCCCAAATAGGTACCTAAGACCTTACTTACTAAGTCCCATGATCCTCCAAGTACGGGTTGAGTGTTTAAGAACCACCGGACAGAGACCAGTCAACTGTCCTGAAATGCCATCGAAACCTTTAGGGTTTAGGGTTTAGGGATGCTTGGGCTTTCTGGTTTAGGGATGTTTAGGGTTTAGGGTCTAGGGATGTTTAGGGTTTAGGGATGTTTAGGGTTTAGGGATGTTTAGGGTTTAGGGTCAGGGTTTAGGGCTTCAGGGTTTTGGGATGCTTACGGTTTTTGGTGGAGGGTGGGACACCCTGAAGCCCCAAATTTACAGTAGGTTTCTGTTTTGGTCCTGTTGCGCATGTAAGCAGTTCAGTCACACTTCTACCCGGACTGTGTCTGCGAAAACTATGGACTATTGCTCTTAACCCTACAAACCCCAAAACACTCAGCAACAAAAACTTCAGTCGTCAACATCACATCAAGCTTGAAACCTGAACCTCAAATCCAAGGGATGACCCTAAAACTCAAAACGACCTTGTCAAATCCCAAACCCTAGACCCTGGACCCTAAGCCCCTACATCCACCTTTGGAAACCCAATCCTGTGACAGTCCCTCCTCTCAGTACTGGGCTCTTGTTCAGGAACTTACCTTCAGGTACCATAACGGGGATCTATGGTGGATAAGATGGCAACTACCATAACGGGGTTTAGGGTTTAGGGTTTGGGGTATCTATAATGATTCAGATGGTGTCCTTGTTATGATGACCCAGAAGAAACTCATTAAAGAGAACCCCAGGTGAAACCTGCTGTACCCAGAGCCTCCAATACCCCTTGATTAAGGAATATACCTTAAACTATAATAGGATTTCTAATATGATTTTAAGGTATATTCCTTGATTAAGTGGTTTTGGAGGCTCTGGGTAAGGTTTCAGAGCTGAGCCACTGCTGTCCCATCCAGGACCTACACCACCGGACCATGCGCACCATTGCCTGAGCGACATGACCAGATGATTTCGGCGAAAGCACAGTCAAAGGGGAAAAGGACCCTTAATGGGGACCCCTACCCTATAATGGGCTATAAAATGGCTATATAATAGCTATATAATGGGTATATAATAGCTATGTTAAGGGTATATAATACCTAGGGTCCTATTAAGGGTCCCTCCTTGTACCCTTGGACACAACACAAAACACCAAACTGAAAACCAAGCGGCATGGCATGCACTCTTTTGACGACAAAGAGCCAGGGCTCAGGGGGATTAGGACACGGCGTTTTTAGTAACAGGGTCTCTAGACCTCGGGGGCAGTTCGGATTTTCATGCTAAGTGGCCTCGTCACTCCTCTGATGGCTTGCTCTCTGCTTTCTTCTGCTGTCGTGATGATGTTGGTTGTGGCCCTGGTGTAATCTACACTTGGCTGACTTCTGCACCCCTCCTAAAAGTTAAACTTCTGGCCTCCTTATGATAGTTCATATAGAAACCCAAGAAGCTAAAGTCCTAAGAGCCAGCCAGAAGAACGCAAAGTACATGTTGCTGTTGCTGCTGGAACGGCAGCAGCAGCAGCAGCGGCAACAACAACAACAGCAGCCGCAACAGCAACGTTTGTAATTGCATGCTCTACAACATGCTGTAGCAACTGGTACTTAACTTGGCCACGTGGCTGGTGGTAGTAGGCGCTGCAGTTGTTTCCCCCGGAATCTACCCAGGTGCTGGAACTTTGACAACCACCGCCACATTGGCAGCCTCAGTTTAGGGTTTGGGGAATCAAACCTTTCAGAATCGATCCTGAGCCAGAAGATACTTCAACCTCAAAGCCTCAAGAACCACAAAGCAACCGTTATAGTGCTCTTTTTGTATTAGAATACCCTTGTGATACCCTTGTCCCCCAAAAGTACCCTGTAGTACCCCTCAAAAAAATCCCCCTTTACGTTGCCCCGAAACCCCAAACCCTAAATCCTAAATCAAGGGGTCTACTTTTTGGATCCTCCAAGGGGGGTCTGGGTAACTGTAGACTTCGTCTGATACTCAAGGCTTCGGGTTTGGGGCTCAGGGTTTAGGGGTTTAAGGGGCTTCGTGTGATTTTCAACGGCTTTGGGTTTAGGGTTTAGGGGTTAATGCTTTAGGGTTTAGGGGTTTAAGGGGCTTAATCGTCAAGGGGTTAAGGCTTGGGGTTCAGGGTCTTCGTTACCAAGGGTTTAGAGCTTAGGGTTAAAGGTCTTCTGATGATCAAGGCACCACACGAGGGATCGAAGACTTCGGTTGTAGGATGACGCGTCTGTCTCAAGAAGCTTATACAAAGGTGCGCGCATGCGGCCACAATCAAACTGCATATGGAGGTTTACCAGTGTCTCCGGTCGTTCTCTCACATTTTCGGTATCATGCCGGTCTTGACCTCTTTGTTGACTCGTCCTCTGTGCATATATATATATATGTATGTAGGCAAGTTTTGAATACGTATTCATGTGCATACATCTGCATATACATACATGAATGTAGGTGCTTATGAATATTTTGTGCACATATATATATATATATATATATATATATATGCGTGTGTGTGTGTCTCTCTAAGAACAAGAAAGGAAGCAGGCTTCGGCAGCGGACACATTGTCCACTGCATAGGCCTGTAAGCAGTTTGGGCTCTGAGGTAGTGTAGGGTTGAGGAGCTTGTTCGGAATTCAGGGTTTAGGTGTTTAGGGTTTAGGGTTTGGGTTTAAACATCCTATAGAAACTCTCAACCCTAAACCAACACGGCTTCTGTTCAGGGTCTGGAGCAGATCTTCGCGCTCTTTCAGTGATAGAGAGACAGTACAGCTTAGCCTTTATTGACGTCTTTCTGACTGCTACCCTTGAGGGGACCCTTAAAGTAAGGAACCCCTTAGAGGAATACTTTGAAGGAACTATTCTGTGACCGAAGAGCACCAAGTAGGGAGTCGGAGGTTAAGGTGTGTTGAGTTTCGGGGGTGTGGGGCCCAGAGAGCTCAATACCCCTTAATTATCATAATATTAAGGCGCCTATAATTTCAGGTATACTCCTTAATTAAGGGATAGTGGGGGTATTTGGGGAGTTGTTGTTTAGGATTCAGGGCACCTGAAAAGGCTACGCAAGGATAAGGTTTAAAGGGTTTCGGAGTGGGTCAGGAATAGGGGGTTTAGCGTTTGGGGCGTCCAGCTTCGGAATTTGATTTACGGTCTGGGGCTTATGGTTTGGGGTTAAGGGCAAGTGTCGAAATGCAGACTTCGACGAACAAATTCAGGTTTGAGTAGCTGTCACCTACTTGTAGCACTACTTAGAAGGTCAGCAAACCCTCCAAATACACCCAATGTTGAATCCTGAACCGTCAACCCACGCCGAATCCGCAATGAGAAATAGAAGCACATGAACATGTTAAACACTGCCCACGCTGTCTAACTACTTACTGTTATAGGTGGTCACTGCCCCATCGCACCCTCACGACCACCAATATCCAGACGACGCTGGCGAAAGCGCTTCGCAGTCGCAGCATTAGCAGCAGCAGTGGCAGTCATTAACCCATGAACCCGAAAACCTCAAACCTGAATCGGACCCGTTTCAAGAACTAGGAATACCAGAAAGCTCAACCCTTAACTCCAACACCTAAAGCCTGAAAAGACACCTCGCAAAGACCCTTTCAGAAACACAAAAAGACTCATGAAGGCCCTCATAGATCCCGAATTCCAAACACCGGAACCCCGAAAGGGACCCTTGACCCTTGTAGTAGCTTTGAACCAACCCTCGAAGAAGAAACCCCTGAGACCCTAAACTCTAAACACTAAGACCCTCAACTAAAAACACTCCAAGACCCCTAGCTCTAAATAACCCCAAACCCCAAGCCAGAAGGTTGAAGATAAGAAGGCACCTGCAAGTTCTCTCCCGCAGGAAGCCCGGATGGACACCAGCCCTCCTGGTAGTACTGGTCGCATGACCAACCTAATATCAGTGTCGGCTTGAAGATGTGCGTTATGGAGTTTAGGGTTCAGGGTTTGGGGCTGAGGACGTTGGTATCATGACACAGCGTATTGCTTTGAATGGATGCAGCACTGCCATGCTCACGAGTTTGCAGTGGTTCAAACATCGAAGATGTTTACAACAACCGCCAGTATGAGTATTCAGAACTGTCCATTTCTTGCGGCCTTAGGGGGATTGGCATTTGTCAGTGCTTGTCCCAAGGTTGCATCAACATCGTGGACACCGTCAATACAAGCTATCCTAGCCTCAACGGTGGTTGCGATTACTCGAAAACCCAATAACCCGTCGCACAAAGTTTGAGACAAGACCCTTCAGACACAGCCTACAAAAGGGGCCTTAATAGTCAGAATAGGGTTTGGGGGGGGCGCATTATACTATAACTATAATAAGGAACCCTCTCAAAGTATTGATAATTATATAGGCGCCCATAGTAATTCTCCAACTGTCCTCAACCCCATCGATCCATGACGGACTCGAAAACCCTCAGCCTCGAAATACCGAAACCTAGAATCCCAAGTGCCTGAACCCGGAAGGCTAGTACAGGGACTTTAATAATTAGAATAGGGTTTGGGGGTGTATTGTAGCATTAACATAATAAGGTATCCCCAACTAGTATAGGTAAATATTTAAGGCCTCTATATTACACCCAAAAAAAGTTGCACCCCAAACCCCAAATCACAATGAGGGTTTTGGGCTTTAGGGGTTTAGGGTGTAAGGTGTAGGGGTTTAGGGTTTAGGGGTTTTGAGGTCTTAGGGTTTTAGGGTTTTAGAGTGTTAGGGTTTTAGGGTTTCGGGTTTCGGGCTTAGAGTTCACGGCTTGAGGCCGCAAGGGTTTAGGGTTTGACCCTCAGCTGAGCACCTGAACACCGAAAACTGAAGTCCGCAAACCTCATCCCTGTTGAGGGTTTAGGGTTTTTCAAACGCTGCGAAAGCCTAACAGCATGCAAACACCATGGACCGACAACAGCAAGACTATGCTCAACTATCCTTTAGGTTTACCTAGACCTGCTAAAGCATACCTTTCTGCAGGTGCTTTCTATAAACTCTGATATGGGATTTATTAGGACCCTACAACAAGTAGGTTCTGGTAGGTTGGGGTATATGAATATAAACAGTGGAAGAAGGTTCCCAAGGAACACTAACTTTCTCGAACAGTTCAACAGAAACATGTAGGCAACTAATTAAGAAACCCTGGTCATAAACCCCAAATAAGTAGAATTCATGAAAGGGACCCTACTCATGACCCAGGGGTTTTTAATCAGGTTCCTATATTATCCTCTGCCGCCCAGCCACCACGAGAGTCGACCCAATGCTTCTCGTCTTTGCAAAGACCGGCGCCGCAGTCTGGGCTTGAAAATGTTTCAGAAGTGAACAGTTTCTGAATAAGGGTTTTAGGGGTTTAGAGCTTAGGCTTGTAAGAGTTGTGTAAGAGGTTTTTGGATTCGAGTTCAGGGTCTAAGTAGTCCTTTTTATGGCTTCCGATACCTGAAAAGCCTCTAAAGTCCTACAAGATGGAGCACTTGGACCCTCAGGGATTTCAGTGTTGAACAAAGGCTTGGGGTTTGGGGTTTGGGGGTCAAATGCTTTCGGGCCCTAGGGCCAAGGGCAAGGGTGTTGAGAGTTACGGTTCTGCAGAGTCTTTAGTGAGTGCCGTTTTCGGGAATAGACGTGTTCTTATGGCTGTTATCGGGATTTTACAATGCTGTATTTGGACTTTTCGCCGCCTCTTTTCAGGGTCTCCCCTCGAAAACGCAAAGCCTGTGGCCGGCTTGCGGTGTGGAGTTTGGTGTTGGAGAGAGTGGACATTTGGGCTTTATTGCATGCATCGAATCTTGCGGAGTCCAGGGGCATGTCTAGGACTCAGGGTCCACGGTTTGAGCGTCTTGGCTTCCAGCATGTCTATGATTGTGGTTTATGGGTCTTGGATTTGGGGCTCAGGACTTGGCCTTGGGTTTAGACCTCCTAAAAGTTACAACTAATGAGAACCTCTAAGTTGGGCCAGCAAGGATGCTCGTGAACATGGGGATCTACTTAAAGGATCATGGGACTTAGCAACATAGTTAATAGTTAATTTAAGGTAACTAAACTTATAACCCCAACTAGGGTACGTATAACCTTACTTACTAAGTCCCATGATCCTCCTTATAGAAACCCTATACATCCCTCTAAGGAACCCTTTAAGAAACCCTTCAAGGAACCCTTTAAAGAGCCTTGCTTACTAAGTCCCATGATCCTCCAAGTAGGCTTTAGGCTTTGGGGCTCAAGGGTTCATGGTGCCCGCGAGGAACTGCAGCAAACATCCGCCGCGGTGAGCGTCTCGTTCTGGGGGATGTTCGGCTTTGATACTCGGCTTTAGGCTCCCGAAACCCTACTTAAAGGATCATAGGACTTAGTAACTAGGGTTAATATGGGGGTAACCATACTTATAACCCCAATTAGGGTGCCTATAACCTACTTACTATGTCCCATGATCCTTCAGGTACGTTCCCGAGTGTCTGATTAAGGCATCTAAAGCCTGGTGCAACGACCTGCACATGATTTTCGTGCTTCATGCCAGTACCCCCGGCCCTGTCCACATTACCGAACGATGAAACTCGATGACCCTCTGACAGTCTGAAACCCGATGAAACGCATCTAAAAGCTTACAGGAGTTGAAAATTAATCCTAAGACCCAGCACCACATCGTCGAAGCATCCTAGACAGCCCTGGCTTGCTTGTGTTTGAGTTCACGGACCCCAGTCCGAACCCTAATCCCAAATCCTGAAAACTAAAGCCTAGATTTCAAGTTCTAAAGAAAAACCACCCTAAATCCTAAACCGAAAATCCTAAAATTCAAAGTTCCAAAGAAAAACAACCCTAAATCCTAAACCGAACATCCGAAAATTGAAGCCCGAACCACGTGATGGTTAAGCTCGGGCTTGCGAGCGGGATGTGGTTTAGGTGTTAGAATGGATTTTGGGGCGCGGGGACTTCAAGGCCAGACGGATTTAGGGGCTCGCCGAGTCTGTGAAGCTTAGGTTTTACGGGCTTTAGGGTTAGGGTTTAGGGTTTGGGGTTTTGGGGTGCAGGGCTCAGGGTTTGGTGCTTAGACTTTGAGGCGTGGTAGCTTGCGCTTTATGCTTCACTGACGCTGCAAACTACAGGACCCTCTCGCCCCCCGGGTTCGGGTATCGAGCCGTCTGAGAGAGCTCGGAATTTTCGAACCTTCCTGAAGTCGTAATGCGGAGGCCTGTAGATATTGAAGTTAGTCCAGCTCGAGGTATGCATAGAGGTGCAGGTAGATATCTGTGTATATAGAGAACACACAGCACCATCCAGAGCCCTGACATGAGCTGTAAAAACTGTGTTATCGAATGAAACCCTGTATGAACCCGAAGCATATCTGGATCCAACCATCCATCCATGTGAAAGATGTTACACTTGATTAGACTGTAGTCATATATAATATTATATATATGTATACACACACATAATGTATATGTGTACAGATGTAGCAACTGTCTAACTTAGTTGAGCGTGTCTGTACAGGGCGGTCCGGCAGCAGGTAGTCGGCAAAGAAGAATCGGAATTCTGGGTCCCACTCGTGGTCATACCTTGCTTGGGGCTTCAGATTCAAAAAAAAATAGACTTAAGGTTTTAGGGTTTAGTGCACAAACGTTTTAAACGGGCCTTGCAAGGGCTTCACAAGGAGCGTTTTGAGGCTTTAGAAGAGGTTTTTATTTACAAGGGTTTATAAGGTTGAACAGGGTTCTATCAGTTTGAAGAAGGTTTTACAGGAACTTAACCTACGTAAGCTACCATCATAAAGGGCTGTTCCCCCATCCGCGGAGCTCGGAGCCCTTTAAACCTAAACCCGAAACTCTTTCGGGGTTTAGGGTTCAAACCGACAAACCGGACACCGTTTGTCCCCTGAAAAGCCGAAATCCCAAACTCTGGATCCTGTACCCCTAAACCCCATAGTCCTGCAACCTAAACCTCGATCCCGAAAGCCTAAACCCTCAACCTTCTAGAAGCCCTTATGGATCCCTGGAATTCCCAGAGCCTCCAAAACCCCTTAATTAAGGAATATACCTTAAAATCATACTAGGGATCCTATTATAATTTAAGGTATATTCCTTAATTAAGGGGTTTTGACCCCTTGAGAAGGAACTCTCTAACCCTCCACCTCTGGGGCTCAAGTCTCTGAGGCTGGGGCGGCTTCGTGGCTCTAGGTTTCTATCGCTTCTCCGCACCCATATGGAAGTTTCCGAAAATAGGGGTACCTTAAAAGGGATCTACAAGGGTTCCTTAAGGGGATCTATATAAGGGTTCTATGAAGGGTTTAGGGTTTAATATAAACCCTAAACCGTTTAGGGTTGGGGTCTCGGGTTTAGGAGCGGGCGAGACGGCGGAAAGGCCAAACCAGTGAAACATCACGGAGATCCTCACAGTCACAACAATTCAACTAGGGTTTAGGGTTTAGGGTGGAAACCCTACAGTAGATGCCAGAAAGTTAGAATATCATTATCGAAACCCCTTTAAGGTAAATTATAGGGGATCCTACCATAAATCCATATTCCAACTTTCTGGAGTTCCCTTTAAAGGGATCTAAATTAGAGTAGGATTCCTTTTTAGGGGTCCTTTAAAGGGATCTAAATAATCAGAGTAGGGTTCCTTTTAAGGGGGCCTCTAAAGGGATCCCTCAAGCTTCAAGGCTAGGTCCCGGATTGACTTGGGTCCCGTAGCCTAAATCCCCGGCAGCAGACCCACCCATGCCGGCCGCAAGGAAACCCCGAAAAGCCCAATACCCCTCAATTCCGGAACTAGGGTTTAGGGTTTAGGGTATTTTGATTGTGACCAATAGAATACCCTAAACCCTAAACCCTACGGAACATACCTCAGCTTGCAGTAGGCCTCATATTCAAAAGCAATGGGTTCTCGAGTTCTGAACGGTCAAGCCACGCACCCGTCGGAGTACACCACTTCCTGGGATGTAGTTTTGGGGCTCTGACAAGTATTTACAAATAGGTACCTCTACAGGAACCATAAGGAAAATTAAAAAGTTTCCCAAACTGCCACCCTGTTTCTTGGTGTTGCGGTAATGGTTGCAGTCACGCCCATCCTTGTCCTGTGAAGGCTCAAGGGTCTGCGACTTATCCGGGAGTTTCCGATTATTAGGGGGTACCTTATTTTGGGGTCCTTATAGTAAGGATCTTACTATTTGGGGTACTATGTTAGGGTCCCCTATTTTTGGAAACTCTTATCTGCACTCTTCGAATCGTGCAGGGTTTAGCTACGTAGGCTTTAGACTTCGGCATTCCCAGAGACTCCAATATCCCTTAGTTGGAGATCTTCCTCAAATTATCATAGGACCCGTAGTACGATTTAAAGTGTTTTCCTCAATTAAGGGATATCGGGGTCTCTGGGTTACGTACAGTGGTTTCCTCGAGGGCCTTTTTCGGGTCTACTTGAAGGCTCATCGGACTTAGTAAGTAAGGTTATACGTAGGTTATAATTAGGATAACCCACTTAGGGGACTTATAACCCCAGTTATAACCTACTTACTAAGTCCCATGATCCTTCAAGTAGCCTAAACTACCCCTTATAGAACCCTTATATTGTAGATCCCTAAACCCTAAACCCTTTAAAGAGCCCTTTAAGGAACCCTGTCCTAGGTTACTTGGGGTTCTCTAAATAGGGTTGAGGGTTTAGGGCCCAGCTCCCCTTCGCGAGAGGGCCTGCCATCCTGGAATCAGGTCGGTGCAGGCATCTCCGCCGCGAAGCCTTGATGGGTGCGATCGGTTTACGGTTTAGGGTTTTGGGTTTTGGGTCTAGGGTTTTCGGTTTCGGGCTTTGGGTTTAGATTCAGGGTTTAGGGTTTAGGGTTTTGGGTCTAGGGTTTTGGGTTTCGGGTTTGGGGTTTAAATTCAGGGTTTAGGGTTTTGGGTTTTGGGTTTTGGGTCTAGGGTTTTGGGTTTCGGGTTTTGGGTTTAGATTCAGGGTTTAGGGTTTTTGGGTCTAAGGTTTGGGACATGGTTTGGGGTTTCGACGGTCTCGGCAGCGAGGGCCTGCAGTCATGGTTGCGGATTCGGGTTTGGGCTTCTTCTGCGGTTCAGGGTTTCGGGTTCAGGCATCGGACTTGCAAAACTTGTGGTCGAGAAGTCTTGCAAGTTTGGTTTCACCCTGAATTCTGCCCCATTGTAGTTAGGGCTCAGGATGTACCTGCGCCAGACCCCAACCGCACAATTATGCCCTATTCTCGCCACATACCCCACCTCCCTGCAACATGGACATGACGGCTTCTGAAGCTTAGGGTGTACGGTTAGGATCAAGAGAGCACACATGCACTCTAAATCAGGTTTATGCCGGAACTCGTCACTACGGTGCGGGATTTAGTCAGAGGTTTAGGGTTTATAAGAGTCAGGAGAAGCCTTCTATACCAGGTCCCCCCTTACTGAACTGGTATGTATTTCTGAATACCCTAAACCCTACCAAAGCCTTGCAATCAAAATGTTGCGAACGAGCAAACCCCAAGGCAAAACCACGTGAAAGCCCACACACTTTGAATCCTGCCGAAACCGCTCAGAGGTCGATCATCAGGGATCCCTAAACCCAATATCACTTCTAGAAAGCTAAGCCCAATGTCACTACTAGAAAGATTCTGACGAAAACCTATACAACACCTATACCAAGTTGCCAAGCGATCGTGGCAACAGCCCACCAGGAAGAGCCGGGGCTCATGGCTCTAGGCGTCTAGCGAAACTCCGGGAATTTTTCACACTTCCCGCACCAGATTCCGAAGGCTTTGGAGCGTAGGCAGAGGGCTTCGGACTGACTGTAGGGTGAGGCTTAAGATTTAAGTGCGTGGATTACAAAGCATTCTTGTTCACAGGCATATCACACTTTGAAAACGTGTCACTTGTTTAGAATCTTGCGGGAAATGGCGAAAAAGAGGGGCCCCCGCAACAGAAACTGAGCACCATACTTACGACAATTGGGGTTCGTACGTGGGGCCCCTTCACATCCTACTTTGTGGAGCCTGTGTTGTGTAGATCAAGGGAACAGACATGCTGACAAGTCGGCGCGATGGTAGGGTACTCGGAGCTGTCAAACCAGGACCCTCGCATGTCTGAATCTTTCTGCCCTTCGTTCTCAAGTTTAGGGTTTAAGCGTAGGGTCTGGAGTTTGAGGGGCACGAATGGAAAGCCCTTTAGGAACGGTTCAGGGTTTAGCGGGCGAAGGTGTGTGAAAGTTCGAATTCACGGAGTAAGTTGAGAGTCTAGAAAATGTCAGTGGCCGGTTCGTTGACCTGTATGGTCACCGGCCACACAGCAAACGAATTCCTTCTTCGAAGGAATAGGTTGAAAAACTGGTCAGAATCCTTGAGATTCGTCCCGGGGCGCTGCGGTCGTGTGGAAGATGTATTTAAGAAGCATGACACTCGCTTCATTTTGCTGCGATCATCTGGATCTGTCGGCGCCAAGGACGAACTAATCACTGTAAGGCTTCTGCACTGAAGTACGGGCACACTAACGCTGCGTGAGCCTCAAACCAACACATTGTCGAAAGTAGATCGGCCTTGGTCTGGTCAACACGGCGACACTCAAAAGACATGCTTGAGATTGTCGAAATCCACTCGAGGGTAATGGATGCTTCGTTGTATATGAACGTTTGTTCCAACTACTGAATGGTTTGTGTTCCAAATTTGTCGCACATGGTGCCAACGATGCTGACTAAATTATCTGATTTGCGACCATCGACTCGACGCACGATCGATGCGCACTCAGGTTTGGGAACTGCCAACCACACGTTGGCTATACCAAGTTAGAAAATTGAAGTCATATGATCAACTCTAGCACTGATTGAAGCTTGTGCAAATCCCGATCTCCGTATCACCATATTGAACAGAATAGCCTTTTGCGATGTTCCCCCAGCCACCCGAACAACAGCCGCTGCCATCTTTTCCTGGTTTCGCCTCAACGACAGCAACATCTTGTTCGGTTCCGACAAGATCGACGCGTCATGCGGTTGACACAATTCGTGTTGTTTCTTTTCGGAGGATGGAATCCTCAATCTGTGAGCGCTCTGGACGTCAACGGTTTCTGCTCAGTCTCAACCGGACTTGCAACTTGAAGACATTAAACCAATCCACCGATCGCCCAGGATCTTCTTCATTTCTTCCATCAGTGTTACACCAACGGTCACAATCTCAAGACCGCTGCACTGGATCACTGGACTCAAGAACACATGTGTACCTGGTCGCAACCAATGCGTCACCAAACGCAAAAGTGTCAGCTGACGACAATGGAGGGACACTTGTTGGTCAATGAGATCATCCTGCTCAGCGTGGATCATGCGAACCCAATGTGTTGGGGTTTGAACCCAATGATCCGTTGTTCTGGTTTGATCTGTTGGAAGATGCTTAATGTAAAACAGCCGCACACTCAAATCCTTCATATTTAATTGAACTCACGCAATTGATTCATGATGGCCTTCTCACTTCTTTGTTCGTCATAATGTGCTGTGATCAAACTTTTGTTTTGGCTTGGGGTTCAACTTGATCTGATGCGAAATGAAAAGACATTTGTCTTCATTGAAAATCGTGTCCAATGGTTTCGCTTCGCTTTAGCTTTGGATTGAGTTGTAGCAATCAATCAATGAACTGCTTGTTTTTACGGAATTGTCGATCGTGCACGTAGTTTCTTGGATGAAAAGAGTTTGGCAGTTTTGAGGGCAGTCTATCATGAAGCTGGCTTGTGCAAACTGGACCGAAAACCTTAACAAAAAGCTTACAGGTCAATGCCCGGCTCCTCTTCAATGTTCGCTGGACTACAATGCTACAGGGCATTGAAAAGTGGTTCAGCAAGTTCTGGAAACTACACATTGCACCACAATTCCGAGTGGATTCATTTGTTGTATTGGAGTTTCTAAATCCAAAAATGGACCAATACACAATATTGAAAGAACGCAATGTTCGCTGACATGCCCTATTTTTCGTTTCTAGAACCGGTTTTTAGCTTGCTCAATGCAGCAGAAACAGGTCACCAGCTTGCTAGCATCCAAAATGAACTACAAAAGTCTGTCTTTCTTGCCCATATTTGCTTTCTGAGGTTCCAGAGTTGCTTCCAAAAAAGGAACAACGAGCAGTCTCATAGCTGGCTTATGTTTTTTTCCAAAAACTTAGCAACTCAGCTTTTCGGGGTTGACCCAATCTCAACTGCGGGTTGTAGTTGAGTTGGGATTGCGGTTGAAATCCTAACTGACCCTAACCCCAACCTCGAGCCCGGCTTCAGGGTTGGGAGTTGAACTCCAACTCTAAACCCTAACCCAGGTTCCAAGTTCGGTCACTTCCAACCGATATTTGAACATTCGAAGGAAATTTACCCCAAAAAAAAAAACGCAATTATGGACACAAAAGAAAAAAACGCACGAAATCGCTTTTTGCGAAGAAAATAATATGAAAAGAATGAACAAACCAAAAAATACAATCACGAACACAAACTGCATGCAAAACTCAACAAAACACGAATGCGAAAAAAAAACAAGAAGCCAGACTTTTGTTGATTTTTGCGAAGAATCAATGAAAAAATAAAAAAACCACACAAATTCGTTTTACTGGTGTTTCCAAAGAAAACAAGGTTATACAAACGTAATCCCAAACAAAAGAGGACTGTGAAACGGAACGCAACAAAGAGGTTTCTTATGGTGCACACGTTGCACGGAGTGGTGGAGTGTAGCAGTTGCTGCGAATTCGTGACTCCATGTAACAAATTCGAATGCAAGAGCTGTGATGTTTCAGTAATCAGATCAGTTAGAGCTCAGTTTTGAAGCAAGTCAAAACGTTTCAGCGGCCCAGCAGAGTTGCGCGGAGGAGATAGTGGGGTTACAAAGAAGCTGAAACTGCAGCAGTTGCAACGAATTCTTGACTCCGTAACGTTTACTGTGGGGGTACTAGGGAGGCCACCCCCCACGGACCCCAAACCATACCCAGTTTTCGGACTCCAAAACAGGGGACACATTCCGGCTCAATGGGAAGCATGCCTCGGCGGCATGGCACCTCAAAGGATAACCATGCCAGACAACGCCAACTCCAAAGGACAATATTGAGTGTCCGACCAAAGCTCTTGCACGTGCTTTCGTTAGGGCTTTCCGTACACTGCGGAGCTGTGCGGCTGCCACTCATTCAGCCATCCGAAACTCCGAAAGTTTCAACGGGAAACTGAAGATGGTAACGTGCTGGACGCCCTTCAATGTTGGTACTGTACTACTGTACTACTACTGAGAGCCCCGGGTCCCAAACAACTTCGACCCCGGTCCCCCAAACAACTAAAGATCAGAGAGGCGGACCCTCCGTTATTATTGGTTGGGGTTGAGGGGGGGGTTTAATAATCAGGAAACAACATTAGACACTCCGTGACTTGCGCATTCACTCACACGCTCACCCAAACCACTTCTTGACTCCCAAACTCCCTCACACACTCACTCCAACCGTGCATCCCCCGCAGTCCCTTGCGCAATATTGCCGACATTGCGCGAAGACAAAGTCGAAGGTTTCTTGGTGTCACTTTAGTGTGAAGACCGCACAGAGAAACGTCTGATGATGCTTTCACTTCCGGCTTCTATGCCTTAGAGCCCACCGTAAAGGTCTCTTGGTCCCATTTTGGGTGAAGACCACACAGAAACACGTCCGATGCTTTCACTTCCGGTTTGGAGCTTACCGGAAAGGTCTCTTGGTCCCATTTTTTTGGGCGAAGACCATGCACAAACACGTCTAATGCTTTCCTTTCCAGTTTGTAAGCCTCGGAGCCCACCAGGAAGGTCTCTTGGTCTCAGTCTTGGGTGAAAACCACACAGAAACACGTTTGATGCTTTCACTTCCGGTTTATTTGCCTCGGAGCCCAACAATCTGCACGGCGGTTCCGGCTCGCTTCTGGTTCCAGGCATGTTTGACAGCGAAATTGTAGTGTTCTTTAGCACATCGTCCATCAAAGTTACAGTATTTTCACAGGTCCAGCCCTGCTCTCGCAGCATCTTGCGTAGAAATCGCACTGTTTCCACAGTTCCAGGCTTGTGTGATAACGAAATCTGGCATTTTCCAGTAGCACGGGGCGCAATCGTAACGTGCTTTAGGCGCGTTACAATTGATTTGGGTGGCATTTGCACGGGAAAACTCGAAATCGTAACGTGCTTTTCGCGCCACAAAAAAAGACTAAAGAGCTTTGTTTGACGCACGAAGCACGTTACGATTTTGACGTTTCCTTGGAAACTGCCAGCGAAAATGATTATAACGTGCCTAAAGCACGTTATGATTGCGCGCCGCGCTACTGTAAAACGCTTAAAACCGTTCTGTTCTGTGTCTCCCACTGTGGCGCAGTGCACATTTTCCAGTAGAAACAGCATTTTTCCCACTCGCCTGGTGGTTCTATTGTTTGGAGAAACCGAATTTGCGATAAACAACACAATGTGGGCAGCACTCTGGACCCTGCTGCGAAATGTCGAGAGCCCCAAAGCCGGACTCGGCAAGCACCGCCTGGCTTGACAACTGTTGCAAACACGGCATAGAAAAAACAGGACCTTGTGACCGCTCAGATGATGTGGCCTCAAAACCACACGTTGATGTGGCTTGAGAACCACACGTTAAGTGGCCTTGATGTGGCTTCAAAACCACACGTTTGTGGCTTATGTGGCTTCAAAGCCACACGTTTGTGGCCCGGATGTATTAAAGGGGTCACCAGAAGCCT